CTGCGGCGCTGCCGGCACTGGCTGCGCCTGCTCTGGCTGCTCACTTGGGTGCGGGCCCCATGGGGCGCTCAAATATGGGCTAAACGAGGCAGAGGGGGCGGACTGCGCATGCAGCATGGAAGGGCCAGTCGAAAACCGGCCATTCACCGACGGCTTGGCTGCAATGGGCTCAGCCAAGAACATTTGCTGCGGAAGCCTGGGCCATACTGGAATATACCCCGCGAAAGGCCCCCCGTACATTAGCCCGGGCTGCGTCACCGGCATCGGAAGCGAGTTGTTCGCTCCAGCATCCCGCCACATGGCGCAGAATGGGCGTCACAGCTTAATGTTTCAGACTATTTGCATGTTCCGATCTCATGTGCTGATGTCTGCCATGTGCCACGCTTGAGCCAGGATCCTTCCTGGCTATAGAATCGATTCAGGCCACGTTTGAGCCTGGAAGTGCGAAGAAAGCAGTGGCCTTGCCAGGGCACACAGCTCTCGGAAGCTCGGGTCAGCGACAGGAGGTACTCCACTTGGAGGACTGCAGGTTACTTCTACCAACTTCTGAACTTCTGAACTGGGCCAAATGTCCAAGCCCAAGTTGTTGCCAGCTTGATTTGGCACCACCTGGGTGCGCCTTTTCGGAAATAGAGGGACCTGAAAGCGCAGGAATCTGTGTTAGGGCCTATGCAAGTTAATGTTCAACCCAGCAAAGGCAGGGGTCAAAGGTCAACAGTGCTCCTGAAGATCCCCTTGTCGGACCTTCAAAAGTGCCAGTTTCATTGGATCAACCCGACCGACTCAGTTTTAATGCCCACACACAAGCGAGAACCCAAGGCTTTGAGTCGTGGCCGTTGATTGGGGTTTGTTTGTTTTGGAGGTCAGGGACGTCCCATTTCCCTTCTGCAAAAGCCAGGGGTTCAAATTCCCAAACCACCAATCCAGACCGAGGTGATAGCCTACCAATAAGCAGCCGAAGCAAACTTCTGCGTCCACAACTAAGTAACTCCGGATGTGTCATGGTCTCTCACTGTGACGGGTTTCTTGCAGGGTTTGGCCCTTCAAATCTGGCTATTCCAACAAATCTTGCCCAAACCTGTTGAAGGAAACCCTTTGGAACAACCTTTGCTGTGTTTTGCACCCAACAGCTGGATTTTCAAGGGCTCCACGTCTGGTCCTTAGAAGGAAACCACCAGTTGGATGGTCCTTAGGAAACCACCAGTTGGATGGTCCTTAGGAAACCACCAGTTGGATGGTCCTTAGGAAACCACCAGTTGGATGGCCCTTAGGACACCACCAGGTGGATGGTTCCATTTCTCATTCCCTGCCTATCGCAGCAAGTCTTGGTCGTGCCGTGTCCTCCCCATCCTTCTCGTGCAGGTCCTCAGCCTTGCCCTGCGTCGAGCGGTGGCCGCATATCCCAAAAGGTGCATCCCACGAAAAGCGGCTCGGCCTCGTTTCCCACCTTGACCTCTCAACAAGCGTCCCTTTGCGTTTGGAGCGGTAAATCCCTTTTCCTCTGAAAACGGCGTGCGGCCCCTCTTTTCCCTTTACCCTAAAACGTGGTCGTTTCTGCTTGGTGTCCTTTTGAAAACCATTTACAAGGAGGCAACAAAAATTCTGGAAGTGTTCACTTGATCCGAATCTTTCCAAAACCGCCCGCAACGCCGAGTTTTGAAAAGCACGATGGTTGGAAAAAGTGGGGAATCATTCCAAAACGTTCGGGCGCAGTCAAAGAGTCCAACTGCCAGCGCCAGAACTGCGAATCGAACGTCCGGCGCTCCTATTCCGAATCGGGCCCCACTCGCCAACGTCCAGGGTTGGCCTTTAGACCCGCGAGCAAATCGTAGATTGCGAACCCCCCGGATCAAGTGAAGATGCTGATCCACTTTCAAAAATTCCTTACATCCCACCCCCCAAAACAACAAAGCCCTCCTTTTGGAAACCTTGGAGGTTGTGTGGGAAAGACACGAGACGAGAGACCCGGCGCCCGCCTTCACTCGCTTCTTCTCTTCCTGCAACGAGCTTCCCCACATGCGTGCATGCATACATGCATATGGGCGTGTGTTTCTGATTGTTGTGTGCATGCAAGGATGCACGCCCACGCGCATGCATTTCGTTTGTCATCAATGTGTCTGGCAAAATACTATACGATTCACAAAACAAGAGCGGAATCCCAAACAAAGGACTGGTGCCACTCTCCATTGTACAGCATTGTACTGCACTTCAATGTATTGCATTGTAGGGTCTAGCATCGTAGTGTCGCGTATTGTTGTGTCTTGCATGTCAGCTTATGTGTTGTTTATGTTGTATGGCATGCTGGTATGTTGGTTGCGTGTGTGCGGCTTATAATTCTAGTGCCGTATTGGCTTCGGACAGCTCTCGCGTCCGATCGAGACACTCCAATCCCCGGCGCAATGGCCCATGCCAACGCGACTCCATGGCACGCCTTCGACTTCAGCGAGCTCAGGTGCTCCTTGATCTTGTCTTCAATCGCCTCGAGTTGAGTTATGTGTCAAAGTTGAGGGCCCCCCCAAGAAACGGCTTCGGTTCTCCTCTTGGTTTCCCTTTAAAAACAAGGCCTAGAAGCGTACCATCTAAAAACAGAGGTGCAATCAAACCCTGGCTTTCCGCGTATTGGTGGTTTGGACTGGCCGTTTGGAGGCTGGAGTTCAAGTCCCCAAACCACCGATCCAAACCACTCGTCAGCGAGAGAGGTAAAGGAGCCTACCCACAAAATGCAAAGAATCAAAAGGGCGGATATCCCTTACTAACCCTCACTCACCCAAATCGGTTTTGACTGTGGCTCACTTGGGCAAACAAAGCAGTGGGGACTAAGCAGATTGGCGAAGCCCTTCATTCTCACACGTGTTTCTCACAAGTACACTCGTTTCTTACAAGTCAAATGTGCCGGTATTTCCACTTTTTTCAACGTTGCCAAAAAGCACTGGTCAAAACCCAGGTTGGACTTATGAGAAATGAGTGCGTTTAGGGTTGAGGGTTTTTAGTGTTTTTTGGGTTTTGGTTCAGGGTGTTTAGGGTTTACATTTAGGGTTTTTAGGTTTCGAGTTTTAGGGTTTAGGGCTTTTAGGGTTTTTAGGGTTTTGTGGTTCTAGGTTTTAGTTGCCGGGTTTCTAGGGTCTAGGTTTAGGGCTTTTAGGGTTTAGGGATTCAGGTTTTTCGGGTTTCTCGGGCTTTCTAATGTTTAGTGTTTCCACGGTTTAGGCTTGTTAGGGTTTAGGTTTAGGATTGGTTCGGGTTTTTGGGTATTAGGGTGTTTGGTGGTTCGGTTTAGGGTTTTTAGGTTTTAGGGTTTAAGTTTAGGGCTTAGGGTTTAGGGTTTAGGTATGAACAGACCTGCGCATGTTGAAATATAGACGGATGGGTGGATGGGGATGGGATGGATGGATTCGCTCAAACAAAAGCAAAAGGCACGGAAAAACAACTCGTGAGAAACGAGTAGACATGACTCGTGAGAAATGACGGAATCCGACTCGTGAGATTTAAGTGCGCTTCCGGCAGAGTATGACAAGTCATCAAGCCTATCTGGCTCTCAAGACCTGCGCGTGTCTTCCAACCAGCCCTTCAGGGGTGACTGAATTGTCTCCGGTTGCAACTTACTGACTGTCACTTCACGGAAAATACGGGAAACGGAGCGAGCCCTTTGCTTCCCAGTTCCTTTCGCTCTGAAACTTCTCCCAGCCTTCTGCGCTTCCTCGTCCGCTTTCTCTTTTTCCTTGGCTCTCCTGCGGCATGGAACTTTCACCAGAAATGGATCAGAACTGGGCGACCAAACTGTCAAAACTTCCGTCTTGGGGGAGCTGAGAACCTATGACAAGCCAAAAGTCACTGGATCTTCCCTTAAAGTTGCAAGCTGCTGGTAGGTACCATAGAGCAACTGCAACCTCTTGGAGGTCCCAAAAGGAAGAAACAAAAACTTGAGGGAGAGCTGAAGCTTTCGGCTCCTCTGCGACCTCACAGGGTCTGCTCGGTTCAGGACATCCGCCACCCCCTCACGCGAGCGAGCCCGACGAGCGAGCCCGACGTGCGAGCACCACTCAATCCGGGGACGGAGTAAGCGGTTCCTGGCTATGAACCCGAAGGGGTCCCCAACCCATTCACGGCGGGCATCAGCTGTTTATATATATATATATATACATGGGGGATTTCTGTCCAACCGTGTGAGGGTATGCCCCATGCACATTCGTTGTTTGTGAAAGGGAGAAACACGCGGCAGCATCCTAGAACCCGTTTGTGATAACTCATTCAACGCCCGCGGTTCGCGGAATTTGCATCAAAGAAACGGTTCCAGTCACCATTAAACATTCAATTGGAGAAAGGGGTTCCACTCCCCCCAAACCATCCCAAAAAACAACTGTGGTGCGCATATGTAAGAACTACATAATATGGTGAATAGTGGGTAGTGGCTGGGGAAGCAGAAATCCTCTCAAAATCAACAAGACCCGCCAACCGCAACCAGGCCATCATGTTCCTCCCAAAAAAAGGGTCTCATGGGTGACACCCTCCTTTTCATCAACCGAGTTGTTCCTGGGTCAACATTTGTTAGAACCTTGGCCTGAACAACCCCTGGCTGCACAAGAGTGGGTGTCCCGAATTGGCGGGAACCTGGGTCACAGTTGGGGGGACACACCCCTCCTGGTGCGATCAATCCAGGGTCGACATCATGTGGTTGTGTGAGGCTTTTTGGAAAGGCGTCCAAATAAATCTGGTTAAACCAAAAAAAACATCGTAATCCGGGCAGAATAAATATTTCACCAACAATTTGTTCCTCCTTGCCTGACATGTAGTGCCTAATAAAACAAGTCAACCGAAAATCAGGGGCGAGCCTCAAGGCAGGAACCTTCACTTTGGGTACCTTCGCCGCCCCTACTGTGGATGGACGAAATCCATTTCGCACCACCTAAGAGACCCGTGGTGGAACCCATGGTTTCAGAGCGGTGCGAAATGGATTCTGTCCATCCACAGTAGTGGTAGTCGCGTCGCAAGTTGTGACCAGCCGTCAGGCCACGCCTTGAACTTGTTGGACGCTGCATAACTGGCGGCCGTGTGGCCATAAATGTTCTTCAGGTCCTGCGGTTTGTTGACAACGACAGTCTCTGCATCTCTCAGTAGCCGGTGACCCGAAACCCGGTTGCTTCCCCAGACTCGGACACACTGCAAAAGCTCACTTGTTGTTGTCACCATGGATATGGTCCGTAGTGCCCAGTCTGGCAGTTCCCAGTTGAAACGGGGAGGGGATCCGGAATCCACTAGAAAGAAGTCGGTTTCTTTTCATCCGCAAGATCCCTGCCTTGGGTTGTGCCTTGGGGTTTTGTTGGTGGGATTCGCCAACCAACACCAGATTCAATGCCCAGAAAACGCCACACCCAAATGCAACCCTGGGTAAAAAGGACCTACATTACACACAATTTATCTTCGAATCAGTGGAATCCCTCGCCAAAAAATGGGCAGCAAAATGAAACCCTGCAAAAGGCGGGCCCCTTTTTGGCACCCTACGGTTGAAGCCCTAAATATGGCAAGTGCGGAGCAGCAAACCAAAGGGCACGGTCCACTAAGGGAAGAACTGTGACATGATATCTGTGGCCCCCTTCCCCTGATACAATGTTGAACTTGCAATATATTGGGCCTCGGAAGAAGGGTTACGCGCTTGGCTTCAACATTGTAACTGGGGGAGAGGGGTCCGCACACAGCGGGCGATGCCACAGAAATGGTGTCAACATGCGCCTTGGTGGCACTTGCAATATTTAGGGCTTCCACTGTACCTTGGGGCCTGGGGATCCCTCCAAGAATGGACTCAAACAAACCTTGAAACCAACCGAAGGGGTGGAAAAAAATGCCCAAGTCTACCCTGGACCCAAGCAAATCATCTGGGGACCGGTGATCCCTCCTTGTTGGGGTTGCTCTTCAACAGCTCCAGCACCACCGGCAGATGCCCGTGGTACGCGGCATAGTGCAGCGCCGTGTTGCCATGGTCGTCCGCGATGTCCACCGAGATCTCGGCGCGATGGATAGCGAGCTAAGGGTTGAGGACCTAAGGAGGCAGGCTGCTTAGTAAGTCGTTGCTCGGTTGCAAACTCTGCCCCCTGCTAAAAGTGAAAAACTTTTAGTGATTTAGTGGAAAGCCAATTAGTTGCAAAAAGTTAAGGTCCTAAATGGTCCTAACATCCAAGCAAAATGCACCGAAGGTTAGTTTCCCTGGTTATAACCCACTCGGGAACTTACAACCAAATTGGTTGTAGCCAGGGTTGCGAACTGCTAACCACTTACTAAGTAGCCGAATGCATCCGTAAGCACAACTTCTCTTCCCCATCCTGCTCAGACTGGGTTTTGGGCCATGTTCTAAACAAAAGGATCCCTGAACAGAATGGGTATGGTCTGCTAGAAAGATGGTTTGCCCTACCACCAAACCGCTACCCAAGGGGAAATAGGGTATATGACCACTCTTTAGCTATTGCGTAAAGGGTATATACGCATAGGTGTCCTTTTTGGTTGGTTTGCTCAAAAAAAATAGAGGTCCCTGGTTTAGATAGGGTTCATTCAAATTATCAGGGCCCACTTATTTGTCCAAAAGGCCACCTATGTATATACGCCTTTTGCCCTTGGAGATAGTGGGTGGCTACCGGAAACCATCTTCGCCACGGCATCAAAAGACAAAGGCAAACTTACATGAGCCACGTTGGAATGTCCGCATCTGTGGGTCACGGTCATGGCTCCCTTAAGCTTAATAGGAACCTTTACGTTGGTTGTCCAAAGTCCCCCCCGAAGTAAAAGGAGTCTTGAAGCCACAAGAAGCGATTTAGGGGTAGTAAGTCGGCAATCAGAAAAACGTCAAGCCTCGCCTTTGAAATCAAGAAAACAGAATCAGCAAGCAGAAGCTGCTTGAACTTCTATTTGCTGGTGATTCTGTTGTCTTGGTTCTCCGAAGGCTTCTGCAGGTGAACCCCACTCAGGTACGTGCGTTGGGCATCATGCGCAGGGCTTGTACCTTCCCACACGCGTGACAGCGGTCAAACATCGTGGGACAGTAGGGGACTAGCCACTGAATATCAACCACAAAACCACAAGCAAAAACCCAGGGGACAAAACCCTGATTTTGACTGATTTCTTTGTGCGCTGCTAAGAAAGCTCCACTTACCCCACCGGCAGGTAGGTCATGGATGCCTCTTCACAGCGACTTCATGAACGACGGTGCCAGGGACACACTTATGATTCCGCATCTGTATGTACGCACGTACGTACGTACGTATGTATGCATGCATGCATGCACGCATGTATGTATGTATGTGTGTATGCATTGATTTGCACCGAGCACACCGAGGGGGAAAACGAGATCAAAATGGTCAAAGCCTTTACTTAGAAATCCCTTCTTCCAGGTTTTGGAATTAGTAAAATTCGAATATTTATGAATTTATGTATTGAGCTATGTATGCACGTATGTATGTGTATGTATGTGCATGCACGTGCATGCACGTGTATGTGTGGGTATGGGTATGTATGTGTATGTATGTGTATGTAGGTGCATGTAGGTTTATGTAGGTGTGTATAGGTGTATGCAGGTGCTTGTATTGACGTACGTGCGCACGTATGCATGCATGCATGCATGCATGCATGTATGTGTGCATTTATGTATATAGGCAGGTATGTAAGTACTTGGAGTCTGTTGGCTCCTCTGCAACAAGCCTAACTCCTTGTTGGTTCATTTTACAATCCAATTTTTCCGAGGAAAGTTAAAGTCCAAAGATCCAACCCAAGATGACATGAAGGTAGGTATGTAGCTGTGTAGGTGAGGTGTGTCGGTACTTCGGTATGTCAGCATGTCGGTTTTTCGGTATGTAGGAATGTAGGTAGGTGGGTAGGTAAGTAGGTATGTAGGTATGTAGGTATGTAGGTATGTAGGTATGTAGGTATGTATCTGTTTTGTGTGTGTGTGTACGGGTGTATGACGCAGGGAGGCGGGTGGGTAGCGATGCATGCATGCATGCATGCATGCATGCATGCATGCATGCATGCATGCGTGCGTGCGTGCGTGCGTGCGTGCGTGCGTGCGTGCTGTCTGTCTGTCTGTCTGTCTGTCTGTCTGTCTGTCTGTCTGTCTGTCTGTCTGTCTGTCTGTCTGTCTGTCTGTCTGTCTGTCTGTCTGTCTGTCTGTCTGTCTGTCTGTCCGTCTATATAATCTGTCTCATCTGTCTCATCTGTCTCATCTGTCTATCTGCCTCTGTCTATCTGTCTATGTGTCTTTTGTCTATCTGTCTATCTGTCTCTCTGTCTGTCTCTCTGTCTGTCTGTCTGTCCGTCTGCCTGCCTGCCTGTCTGGATGGATGTGTCTCAAGCAATCTTGAGAAGTCAGACCTCTAGAGAACAGCGTCCTATATGCACATGCAAATATGTATACATGTATACAGATACATATATGTATTGTGTGTAATATATATATATATATATATAGTTACACAAAACAAACCACCTCACGACTGTTTCACCACTCCCAGCCAGGCGCACAATGTCTTTGTAACCAGCACCTGCAGCCTCCATCAAAGGGGTTCGCCCACCTGCAGCAAAGAGGGTGCATGTGAGCCGCGGAAGAAAACGATGGGGAAACAAACGAGCCCCACTGTTTTTGGCTGACATTTAGGAAGCCCCACTGTTTTTGGCTGGTGGCAAGTATAGTGAGTCCCATTTGTTTTGGTTTCTTTGTGTGGAGATTGAATGAGTCCTTCATGTTGAAATTGGCCATAGACTACTGCGAGCCTCACATGTGAGCCGTGGGAATCAACTTTCTTGGTTAATTACCCGAAATTCGGTGGAGGCGTTTGGGTGCCCCAACAATGTCCTGCCCTGAAAGAACACTACACTGCCAACATTGTCAGTTGCTCGTATCATCACATTTAGTATTCCACTATTCCAAAGCTCACATCTCCTTGCGAAAGCAGAACACTTCCATGTCCCATTCTAGAATGGATAATGTTGCGAAGACATGACAATCGGGCCGGAAAATTGGAATGTTGATTTCGGAGGCAAAGATCTCTTAGCCCGGAGATCTGTCACCATTTGGCAAAGCGAGAGACCCCAGCGCTCCATTTCAGGCCCTTGCTTCCCTATCTGCAACAGGTTGCGGCCGTACAGCAACTCATTCAGACGTCCCTTTTTAAAGGGGCAACAGCAGCATCTTGTGGCTGAACCCCAACTGCCCTTCAAAGGCCTCTATCTGCTTTACCGTCTACCCCTTTCAGAAGTCCAGGTCCTTGGGGGCGCTCGGTTTTCTTTGACCTGTAAAAAAAGAAGTCCCAGGCATACGTATACAAACAAGGAAGAAACAAACACGAAGAGTCCCAAGCCCCCCCCCCCAAAAGCCCTTTGGGGACCTCCCGTCCAGTGCTGTGGGAAATGAACACTTCTGTGATTCAACCAAACTTGCTTCTCCAAAACAAACCTACCATATAAAGGGGGGAGAATCCCTTGTATCACAGAAGTCTGGATAAACCCCTTGACCTGTAAAAAAACAGTTTCCAGGAATATAACAAGGAAGAAGCAACCCAAGTCCCCCCTTGTCCCTTCCAGGCCCAGGCGTGCCCCCCTGAAACCCGAAAAAACCGAAACCGGCCGGGCCGTTGCCCTCGTTGGGCAGCTCCGGGTCCGCGCCCGCGCGCAGCAGCGCCGCCGTGCACTGCCGGAAGCCCTGAGACTCGAGAGCCCATCGAGCGAAAAACGACGCGCCCGGAGAGTTTGTCCCACAAGGCGACCAAACCACCTGCCAAGCAAACAAGCAAGAAACCAAGCAAGCAAGAAACCAAGCAAACAACCAACCAAAAGCCAACCAACCAACCAACCAACCAACCAACCAACCAGGCAACCAGGCAACCAACCAACCAACCAAGAAAAAGAAACCAAGAAACCAAGAAACCAAGAAACCAAGAACCCAACCGACAAAAATCCTGCAGCTTGCGTCTGAGAGTACAGAACATCCAAAAACCACCTTTACAACACAAGGGATCCTCTGCATCTGGCAAAAGGTGAGGTGTTGACTGGCCCAATTGAATCCTAGGGACCCTAGGACGCTAGGGTTTAGGAAGTTTAGAGGTTGGGGTCTCGGATCCTCGTTGTGTTTCCTTTGAGGGACACGACTGAATAGTTTTGGCAAATCAACTGGCCCACTTGTTGCTAGTTGACGGTCGAACAAAGCAACAGGGACTTCTCAAAAGGTTGAACGACGAAAAAGTAACGAACCAAAAGGTGGGTACAACTTATGTCCTTGTGCACAAAAAATAGAAAGGCGACTTTTATCTCCTCGAAACCTCCTGTGGAAATCTCAGACTGTGGGTCGAGCCAATAAGCCACGAGAAATCGAGCCAAGCGGAAAGCCTTGGCGGAAGCATAGATCAGGGCCGTGTTTCCGCTGTCGTCCCGAGCATCAATGAGGTCCCTGGCTTTGGCCAGTTCATGCAAGCAACAGGCAAGACTGCTTAAACTAATAATGGTCACCCTTCATTTATAAGATATACCAGACAGGTGAATAAAGGGGCACTTGCCCCAAAAAATAGAAGTTGTGAAACACTGCTTAAATTCGACGCCCCTGATGTGATCAACCAGGGGAGGTTTGGTCTAAAACCCTAAGGGGCTGATAACCATCCCTACAAACCCCAAGTAAAGGGGTCTTTTGATCATGGATCATGACACATGTGAGCGACAACAAACTTACGAATGTGTAAGCCAAACCTGGTCGTTGTTGAGGTCAGAATTTGTGCTGTCCCCCTGCTCTTCCTCTAAACTAAAACTAAACTACCAGCAATATTGTCAGCGACTCATGCGTGTGTGTGTGTGTGTGTGCGCGTGTGTCAGGTCCAAACTCCCCAAATGCGTGCCAATGTGTGCATGGCTTCCTCGTTGGAAACCCTTATACTTGTTGTCAGAGATACCGGCTCCGCTTCCCCTCTTTGATGGGGGTTCAAAGGCAGCATTTTGACACCAACAAGAGCTTCTGCAAGCCACTTGTTTGTTAGGGGCGCGTTCAACGGGGTCTAGTTAACGGGTTCCAACTTGCACCAAAGAACGATCATGTAGGGTCACGTCTCACTCTGGCAACCTATACAACAAACTCAAGAAGACATGTTTGTCCATACCCCCTCTGATTGACAACCACAAAAACTCCGTATGTAGAGAATCTCCTTTTAGGGGGACCTCCCCCTTCTGGGTTCCACGCAAATTTGCAGGGGAGCATTTAGAAAATCTATCATTCGGGGATGTCTGTTTTGAGCGTAGCCTTTTGCGGGCTTGACAGGGAAGCTGAAAGGGAACCAGCGGTATGCGCAAGCGGCTGTCCTGTACCCCAGATCGTCGTTCGTGAGGAGCTCCCGGACAATCTGGGGGTACCTGCTTGCGTCTTGATTGGTTCCCTGTTCGCCTCATTCTGCATACGGAACGTGGGATTCCCTAAAACCACACTTGGGTCTGCCCTTTTTGCAGGGTACCTGTTGTTTGGGTTTATCTAAAGGGAAACCAACAGGCAAAGCACCCTTACAAACGACACACCCATTTTCCGCCCACCGCCAAAGTGGGGATTTTGTCATAGTTGAAGGGCTCCGCCAAGAAGAAACATGATTCCGTCGATGGACATATCCCGACTTTTTGCGAGCGGAACCTATGTTAAACAAGTGTCCCATGCCATCTCATCCGGCGCAAAAAACGGGGCGTGTCCGCAAAAAAAAGCACCACAAGGGCCCGCAAAATGAAAGGTTCATCACACAGGTATGCAGATTTGTTCGTGGGGCCCGGTTGGTGGACTGTTTGATTACCGGAAAACGAATGTGGACATCATTGGCGATGTTTATGTCCACCAATCACCTGGGAGGGTATTCCAACCGTTGAAAATGCATAGCCAAAACCAAAAGGTTGCAAGGTGGATGCATAAGAGGGCCCATTTGGATTACCTAAGCCACCCTTTCTGGGTACCCTGAACACACAAACCGAAATGTGGGTTTACCTCTCGAGGTAAAATGTCCCCTTTCAAAGGGCAAACAAATCAACTACCACGTTTCTGGACACCAGGAATAAAGAAAAAACCACATCTGGCAATGAGGCAATGTGAAAGCCTGTTGGTGAGTAGAACCACAAAATCCCTGACACACCTGGGAAATGGCCATTCAGCAACTTCCTAGTGGCAGTTTGGTGAGGGTACCCAATGCCTTCCCTTGACAAATGATGGCAAACCATGGCTCTCCCTGGAGGAATGGGGTTGTCTCAAAATGAGACTGGGACCCTGGCCTTTTTGCTTTCCCTTTGGTTTCCCTTTGGTTTCCCTTTCAAACACACACACACACACAAACTAGACCACGGTTGGCCCGAAAGCAGAACATCGCAAGCGAGGTCGGCCCAACGCTGCAGGATGCGTTCTTTTTCCCTACGCTTCGTGAAGCAAGCGCGAGACAGCACCAGGCAAGGTGCTCTGCGCAAACTGGTCGGTGCAAGTTGGTCTGCGCAAGTTGCTCTACGCAAGTTGCACTGTGCAAGTTGCTCTGCGCAAGTTGCTCCGCGCAAGTTGCTCCGGCAAGTTGGTCCCTGCAAGTTGCTCTGTGCAAATTGCGCTCCCTGCAAGTTGCTCTGTGCAAGCTGCTCTGTGCAAGTTGCTCTGTGCAAGTTGCTCTGCGTAAGTTGCTCTGCGCAAGTTGCTCTAGGCAAGGCGCTCTGCGCAAACTGGTCGGTGCAAGTTGGTCTGCGCAAGTTGCTCTGTGCAACTTGCTCTGCGCAAGTTGCTCTGCGCAAGTTGCTGTAAAATGCAAGTTGCATCTTGCGACGCCCGCCCGCGGACCAGGGAGGAATCGAACCCGCGACCCGCCGGTTCCGGGAGCAGGCGCGCGAACCACGAGACAACTCCCGAGGACCAGTTCGAACAACAAAAGTCGCAAAAAACCTTGAGTTTTTGCACCTCGACCACGCCGATTCCCGCAGAGGGTTGCGCGAGCACCGCAGAAATCGCAAAAAACCATGGGTTTTTGCACCTCGACCACGCCGATCCCCGCAGAGGGTCGCGCGAGCAGGTTAGAAATCGCAAAAAACCATGGGTTTTTGCACCTCGACCACGCCGATCCCCGCAGAGGGTCGCGCGAGCAGGATAGAAATCGCAAAAAACCATGGGTTTTTGCACCTCGACCACGCCGATCCCCGCAGAGGGTCGCGCGAGCAGGATAGAAATCGCAAAAAACCATGGGTTTTTGCACCTCGACCACGCCGATCCCCGCAGAGGGTCGCGCGAGCAGGCTAGAAATCGCAAAAAAAACCATGGGTTTTTGCACCTCGACCACGCCGATCCCCGCAGAGGGTCGATTTTCGTGTAGTGTCGTCGGCACTACCCCGCCGCCCTAAGAAGAGATTTTAACTCCTCGCAAGTCAATTGCACTTGACTCCTTGCACTTGCAACTTGCACTTGACTCCTTGCTTGTTTCAAGGAGTCATTGCAAGCAGTCATTGCAAGGAGTCATTGCAAGGAGTCATTGCAAGGAGTCATTGCAAGGAGTCATTGCAAGGAGTCATTGCAAGGAGTCATTGCAAGGAGTCATTGCAAGGAGTCATTGCAAGGAGTCATTGGAGTCATTGCAAGGATTGCAAGGAGTCATGAGAGCCATTGCAAGTTGCAAGGAGCCAAGTGCATGGAGTCAAGTGCAAGTCGCAAGTGCACGGAGTTAAGTGCAAGTTGCAAGTGCAAGGAGCCAAGTGCAAGGAGCCAAGTGCAAGGAGCCAAGTGCAAGGAGCCAAGTGCATGGAGTCAAGTGCAAGTTGCAAGTGCATGGAGTCAAGTTGCAAGTGCAAGGAGTCAAGTGCAAGTTGCAAGTGCAAGGAGTCAAGTGCAAGTTGCAATCCTTTTGACTCCTTGCAATGACTCCTTGCAATGACTCCTTGCATGACTCCTTGCAATGACTCCTTGCAATGACTCCTTGCAATGACTCCTTGCAATGACTCCTTGCAATGACTCCTTGCATTGACTTTCATGATGATGATTCCGTGCAATGACACCTTGTAATGACTCTCATGAGAACAATTCAAGTGAACCCAGCGGAAGAACCCTTCGCCATGCTTTCGGGAAAAGAAAACAAGGAAAACACGAGAGCGCCAACCTAAGATGATCTAGTTCTTGAGACTCTAAGTCTTTAAGTGTTAACTTTTTACATCCTTGTTTGATTATCTCCTGTCTTTGAACATGGTTTAGTTTAGCCAAGTCCCACACTATATCATTCTTTGTGAAGTTAAAAGAAGCTATCCATTTTCTTATCGCTTCAGGATAATGCCCATAGGAAAAAAAAGGCTTTTTAAAGAAGGAAAATCAGCATATTACCCTTCTCTGGATTGTTGAGTGGTTTCCCCCAAAACCGGGTGCCAACTCCCGCTAGTTGCCCTTGAGGCATCGACCCATCGTGGGTCGAGAAGATCAAGGCCTAGCGAGAGGGGTCAATTCGATCAAAAGCCTCCAAAAATGGTCATGGGTGTATCAAAAGTCCAACTTGATCCTACCCCTTTTAAGAGTACCCTTTTGGGGGGGTGGGGGGGGCGGGGGGATTAAACGGAAATTCTCAGTTCACATTCATCCGATTCGTGAGGTTGTTCGAGGAATTCCACCAAAGAAAAAGCGTAAGTGCAACATGAGCATCCGCTATCCATATAGGAGCCCTGACAAATGACAGGGAATTCGGGTAGGCTCCCCTTCTCGTCCGCCACTCTTGGTTGCCCTTAAAATCACCAAAGAGGTGCACACCCACATGCATCCTTTGCCAAAGGAAACTCAAAGTAAGTCACTCGCATAGGAGCCAAGCATAATATCGTTCTGTGGATGGACAAGCTCCTGCACCAGTTGGTAGCACCAGTTGGTAGGTGGGTATCGTATTCATTGGACTTCTTCCATCCCAATCAATGCAGGATTTTGCCCATCCAACAATATGATTCCTTTTCCTTTCGTGAAACGCACACTTCACATGAGGCCCGTGCCGCGTCTCCGTACTGCTGCACGTAGCTATCGACGTACCTTTCAAGTCGCGGCTCGCTAGTGTTGATCTGGGATGTCAGCTGAAAGGAAAACTGAAAGACCCACTTTTGTGCAACGCCAAAGAATTGGAAGCCCCTTGTGTTTGGTGATTGAAAGGAAACTGAAAGGAGCCCCTTTGTTTGGCGCTTGCCAGAAAGGGGCGCCTTCTTTTCGCGACACGCCGCGTATAGGGGGGTGCAATGAGGCCTGAAACATACCGCGAGATGATCTGCTTGATTGAGAGGGCATTTGGAACCTATTTACCGTGACCTCTTGCAAGCTGAGGTCTGCCAGTGTAGCATCGGCACAGGGGCACTGAGATACCTGACTTTGAGGTAAAGTAGCCTCCTGCGCGCACGGAAGCGAATAAAGCCCTCAGTCAGTTTTGAAGGGGCTCCCGAACCCTTCTTCCCAAGAAGACTAGGACCCCTGAAAAATATGAGGTATTTTTGAGACATACGTGCACGGACTCTAATCTTGGGACCTGGAGGAAGAGTGAGTGCCTTTGGGGTGTGTAACCTGTCAACCTGCATGCCAGGTGTGCAATCCCTCAAGGGAAAAGGGCTTGTCTTATGGATGCGTCAGGTGGTGAGTGAGATGAGTGAGCAAGGGACAAAATTGCCTGCTTTGCAAGAATATGGACTGGTCCCCCCACGTCCGCTCCGAACCAACAGTACTTTCAGTGACTCAAGTCACATCATGTTCAACCTCTAAAGGCGATCGGCTCATCCTCCACCGGCTGCCCTTGATTGAGCAAAGGCGCCCCTCGGGAGAACCTCGACCCATGTTCGGCCCATGCGATCCAATTTCGCCCATGTGGCCGAAGATGGGTATGCTTCCTTTTGAGGGTCCCCTCTCATGGAACTTGATCGTGGGCAGGCAGCAAAACGGTCGTGCAGGTTCCACGTGTCAAACGCCTCCCACCAACTAACACAGAGCCATGGCGGGTTCCGGTTCGAGGAAGATGGTCCAAACCCTGTCAGGCTCCATGTGCGTCGGTACCTGAATTTTCTTGTTCAGCTTGGTTGCAAGGGAGCCTATTTCCGGCGTTGCCCGATGTTCAGAACCCCAAATGGGGCGTTCGGCGCCTTTTCTGCGCCTGTTTGGGCTTTCCCCAGCTTTTCTGCTCGCCCAAAATGACATTTTTATCAGGGAGTCAAGGGAATCAGCTTCCACAACTTGGGGCTTCGGCGGGATGGGTCCTGTTGAGCTCATGGGCGGTTCTCCCCATGAAGGGTCCCAAATCAACTGACCAACCCCTTCGGGGCCTGAGGTCTCCTTTCTTTGCGCATTCCCTCAGGCCGCCACCAGCCGCTGAAGAGCCAGGAGAACCAGGAGAAGGGTGGATACGACCTCGATCCGCAACAGCTGACGGATATTGAGGTCCTTGGTCTCCCAAAAGGACATAGCCGATCCATGACACATGAACAGACGGATGTTCCTGAGGTCCTTGGTCTCAACTCCCAGAAAAACGTACAAGAAAGCTTGCCACCCTGGCTTTGGGAAACTCGCGTTGTCCCCCCGATGTCCTCCTCAAAGCAACAGGAGACTACCACTATGGTTGCCCACACATGTCATGTGAGCCGCTCGTCCTCCTCATATCCAGCACAGACTTCCCCAATGCTACAGGCAAACTGCAGGAAGATCATCAGACATCCGCCAAGCAGGCTTTGTCTAACATCAAACGCCCTGGGCAAGGATGCTGCTCACGTCCCAAGGCTATGCGAGGCTCACACCAAATGCCGCCCAGCATGTCACCTACCTGGCATGGACGGGCAGGGAGGCCAAGCACCGGCTCCTGCTTCTAAAAGGCAAACCCAGCCTCTCCTCGGAGATTAAATTCAGTCTGGTTGGTCTGCAACAAGGACATTTTCTGAAGATCTGAGATACCCGCAAATTCTGGAATCCAGAAACCTTGGATCTGGTTTGGTGGGTAAGCGAACTTTCTGAAAAACATGTCCAGGCTTCGTTCCCGTGACCCACCCAAGGGGGGATTTCTCTTCTTCGCATCCTACAGCCTATGCAGGAGAAGCCCCACTAAGGCCCCAATGGTTTCTGGGCCCTCGAACTGAGTTGTTTTCAAGGGAAACTGAAGAAATTGGTCTTCAGGGGTCATGAGCCTGAAGGAGGCGGCAAAGCCCATTCCAACCAAACTTCCAACGTGTCCAGCTGCTGACAAGCGGACCCTTCGAACGCATCACCGAACCACTGACTAAGAGCGACAAAGAGCGACGCAGGCGGACCAGGTAGAGCGGCCACAGCAGGTCCCACCTTCCGATGAGCTCCAGAGCGGTTCGGGGGGTTGCTGTTGGGATACCACCTGGGCTTACGGCAATGGATTCCTTTTGGTGTCCCTTTAAATGCCGACCAAAATAAGCCACCATTTAATTAGTAACCATCGAGAGCTGATCCAAACCATGACCCATTCACTTCGGGCACAAGATCGAGGCTGGGAGGACTGCAAGTTCAACCGCCCGTGCACTGACGGGAGCGCTGCCATTGTGCCACAGCCTCCCTTTCGTCCCACCTTTCCCTCCCGCCCCAAAAAAAGCAGTTTGCAGGAACGGAGTCATCTCAAAACTTGTCGCACTATGCCCTGTCTGTTCGCTAGTTGGGATACAAATGGATTGGCTGTACCCTCTACACCCTGCTGTATTATGTTTCCCCCGTGGATGGTGATCCTTGTTGGGGGGGGAACCTTGCAGCAGATTTGCTGAGGCCCCCAGCCCCATCAGCAGCCAACCCAGCAGCCAAACCCCGGCCACGCCCAGGCCAACCTCACGGGCTCACAGATCCGCTTTACTTCCCTGTCTAAAAGAAATTGTGCATCCACCTTCAATGCACCTTGGATGTGGAAACCCACGCCTTCCAAAGAACTGTGGAAAGACCCCGCTTTCCCTTTTGGGTGCCCGATTTGTTGGTGGGTGACACGGGGTTGTGGACTTCAGGAAGTGGATTATCACAATGTCCAGGGGATCATGTTGACCTTGAGCCTTAGACAATATGCATACGGGTGCACCCACAATACTTCCAAACAACATAAGCCAAAGCCGTAGATGGCCTCACTTAGCTGGGGTTGATTGTGCCTCATGTTATTACGCCAGAGAAGAATTGAATTTCCCCTGTAGTTGTCCGCTCGGCGCCAACTTCCCACTTCCGAAAGTGGAAGCTTAACGTGCGGTTGACCCTCTTCGATGGCCAGCCATCGTTACATGTGTGGGTTGTGTCACAATAGAAGGACCCCCTAAATAATTGTTGCCCTTGTTGAAGAGAGTACCCGGACCCTCAAACAAACACACACACACACACACACACACACAGAGAGAGAGAGAGACACACAAACACACAGACACAGACACAGACACAGACACAGAGACACACACAAACACACAGACACAGACACAGACACAGACACAGAGACACACACAGACACAGACACAGACACAGACACAGACACAGACACAGACACAGACACAGACACAGACACAGACACAGACACAGACACACACACACACACACAGACAGACAGACAGACAGACAGACAGACAGACAGACAGACAGACAGACACACGCACAGACAGATACACGCACAGACAGATACAGACACAGACACAGACACAGACACAGACACACCTCAGACACAGACCTCAGACAGAGACCTCAGACCTCAGACGCAGACCACAGACCTCACACACAGACACACAGACACACAGACACACAGACACACAGACACACAGACACACAGACACACAGACACACAGACACACAGACACACAGACACACAGACACACAGACACACAGACACACAGACACACACAGAAACACACACACACACACACACACACACACACACACACACACACACACACACACACGCGTAGTATCCTGTGTCCCTCTTTGAAGGCAAATTTGGTTACCCCAGCTCCTTGGCTCCCTTCCAACCATCAGCTAGCGGCTGCCCAACGCACCCTTGAGTTCTGCAGAACCTCGCGAGGTGTCGTGTTTTCAATATCTGGGGCATTCAAACAGTCTACCCAAACCAATGTAAGAAAGGACCATCGCGCCTGGCTGTCCCGGAACCTTCACTTGCCCTCGGGTTCACGCCCCATTGATGAAACTCCTTAAACGCCGGTAGATGTATTCACCAAACCATTGCTTGCTTAAGGAGGCAGGCTACTGCGTAAACACAACCGTGGCAAGTGGGTATAACTTAGTTCCTAACCACTGGCTAAGTAGCCTGCCTTAAGTGATGGTGCCCAGGGAATGCCAGGGCTACCCGGATCGGTTTGATTGCTCACGCGGCCTTCTGGAGGAACTCCTTGTCAGCGCTTATGCCGCCCCTGGCAAGGAAAAAACGGGGATACTCCGGAGCCAACTGAGGGGGCCCCTTGCTTGCATGCCCCAACTCCGCTAAGGAGGCAGGATACTTAGTACGTGGTTAGCAACTCTAGTTGTAACCCAAAGGCAACTAACCCCTTTTTGCCTCCTCAAGTAGGCACAGCCCCTTGCCTCGAGGATCCATGGCAAGAAGTGACCGTGGACATTGATTTCTATCATCACTCGTTTCCTTCTGTTTTTCCCTTCGGGAAATAAGGCGTGCAAATGGCCATTTTGTAACTTGAAGGATTTAAGGAGAAAAAGTTACCGTTCACAGAAAGTGTCCGTCACGCTCTACGGAGACCGCCACCTGAGTAGCTGGACGGTTCTACAAGGAGACCACTAGTTTGCGAAATCATACAATGTAACGAATCAAACGGGCGGGTATCCGCACCCAGTTCGGTTTGAGTCGGACCTGGACATCCAAATCCGGTGAGGGATTCCTGTCCACCCACCACTTTTGAGGCGGATCCAAACTGAAATAAAACTTCCCATTTGCATGTGGGACTGTCCCCTCTGCCCAGCCAAAAAGCGAAAGCTCCCGCCTCTTGCCCTTGGATTTCGACGCATCGGCACCGTAGCCCTGGCAGGGGCGCCCCCCAACACCCCGGTTGCCCTTTTTGTCAGGGAGAGGTGGGGAGCAAAAGTCAGGACAAAAAGATGTTCTCTTCTTTATTGTTGTAGATCTTGGGGTGTATAACTGTGGAAACAGAAAAAGAAAAGGAAACTATAATCTTGGAGAGATTCCAACAAACAACAATCATATTCCAGGGTTCAGGGCTGATGTTTCCTCTTTAGGTGCTCGGTGGGTATGCGGTGCGTATTCGGTGCGTATTCGGTGCGTATTCGGTGCGTATTCGGTGCGTACTCGGTGCGTACTCGGTGCGTACTCGGTGCGTACTCGGTGCGTACCGTGCCCTCAGTGCAAAATTGTTAATGGGTGTAAAACGAAAAAAGGGCAATCAGAACGTGAAAAAGGGTATGAACACAGAAAAGTGGAAAAGTGTTGTCTTGTTTCTTCTCTTTTTCTTGGGTGGAACAAATGTCGCTGGCCGTCTGGCGGCAGGGGAAAGCATGAACCCCAGTGAACATCACCAAAAGAAGCGAATATCCAAAATCCTCCCAAAGGTGAGGTTCAAAACCACCCAAAGGGCAAATATGGGCGTACGCCGTTTCGGAGACCCAAAGGAAAAACGCAGCCACGCCGGGGGTCCAAGTCCTGATTGCGAGCCATACTGCAGACGAAATCAATTCCTGCACCACCCAAGAAACCCTGGAATGATTCGATTCCCTTGCAAATACCAACAAACGTCATGGTTTCGCATGGTTTCATTTCGTGGTGCGAAATGGACTTTGTCCATCCACAGTATGGGCCGGCCTTTTTGAGCTGCTTGGTGAAACCTAGGGGCACCGAAGCCCGATCTCTCTAGACCTGGCTTCGTTTTTTCCCCCTTTTCCAGGCCCCCTTTTCAAGTGGGCAGTCAAAAACTCAAGCAAACCACCAAGGGAGCCCTGGTTGAAAGGGGTCTACCAAAAATCATGAGGAAGCGGGCGACCAAATCTTCTTATGGATTGCCCCACACCAACCTTCACTGACCCGAATCGGTTCTGATTGCGACTCAGGTTCAGCTTGCTCTCCTTTTGGGCACTGCAGGCAGGCACGGACCAATCCAAACAACCCCCGTAAAGAAAAGGCAAGCAAGGGAACCACCCTTATCAAATGGAAGAGTCCTGCAACGGGGCCAATTGAGATCAGGGTCCCCAATTTCCAAACCACCCAATCCAAAACAATCAGGCCCTCACTCGCGCCTCGAAGGGTTGGATGATGGGCCGTCCGCCGGAGCCCGCCATGGAGATGGTCTTGCCATAGGTCCCGCCCCCCTCGATGTCCGCAGGCCCGGGCACCTGACTCGCGGGCTCATGGGAATGGATTCCTGATGAAACATTGCGACTGTTGCCAAAATGACTTGTCGCCCATTAACATGAGCTTGATCATGTTGAAGACCAGTGGGGAGACCAGTGGGGAGACAAGTGGGGAGACAAGAGGGGACACAAGTGGGGAGACAAGAGGGGGACACAAGTGGGGAGACATCTCGTGGCTGGGAGCAACTCTTTGCACGAATGGAGAACCCCAAGCTCTCCAACAGCTCTGTCTCTTTGGCCGTCCAATCGTCTGGGGCCCTTGCCACTTCCGGCGCCGTGTGGCGCGGTCTCATGAAGGCCAACCGCCAGGGCAGGCACGCGCAAGTGCCCCCGCCCAGCTCCCTACCGCCCCCGGGGAATGAAGGGCCCCAGCCCAGAGTAGGATGCGCCGCTGGCTTGGGGATCCTTGTTGCACTCGGCTGGCCTTCTTTGCGCTTCGGGCCTTCGGCCTTCGGCCTTCAGTGACAATCGCGGCGCCTAGATGGTTCGGTCCTGTGGCCCTGTGGCCCGTGGCTTGTCCAAGTGCTCGAATCCAAAACTTGAGCCAAGTATCGAACAGGAGCTGGATGGAGCTACATGAGTGAGCTTGAGGGAGCCCATGCAAACCTTTGACTGCGGGGAGGGGCGGGACCTTCCAAAAATTGAAATGTCCATTTGGCATCTGGTTCCCAATCTATCCACTTTCCGACTGGAGCGGAATGCACCCAAGCGCAGTTGTTTTCCTGTTCGCAAGCCTGCCAGCTTTGGTGGCGAGGGCCAGATACCAAAGGACGAAACTAAGGTGCAACCTAAAGCTCATTCTCATCCATGCGTTTGTCCTTTTTGTCTTTTTTTAAGAATGCCCCTTCTAGAGGTGCGTGCAAGGGAAACCGAAGCGAGGCCCCGTCTTTGTGTTTTTTGTGTGTGTTTTTTCTCGGGATCCCGCATTTGAAAACAAACCTATATTTTGTAAAACGTATGTCTGAACAAAGACGGCAACTCCTCCAGGGTGCCAGGCACCTTCCCGCCCTAAACCAGTTGGAGCGTAAAACGAACCTGACAAAAAAAAAAAAAAAAAAAACTCCTGGCCTTATCTGCCCTCATTTGGTATGATTATGAGTTTTGTCTATTTTTTGAGAGAGTGTTTGGGGTGGTGCGGACTTCCAAGGGAAGATAAAGGAAGGCGGGCTATCACCAATTGAACCCTTCACAAGGCCTTACTCCTCTACTACTCCACCCGCCTAGGTCTCACTTGAGTGGGAAAGTGAGGTCCCCCCAGTTTCTGGACCTTCAGAAACGGGGAAGTGAGAGGTCCGTCAGGACTGCCTTCAGCTCAGCTCCGGCCGCGCAGCACCTGAGACGGGATTTGAGTCGTGAAAGCCCAGCTCCAAGACGTCTGATGTCAAACACATGGCAAAGAACCCAAATGGCCCGGAAGTTGCTACAGTCGGACCCCCGCATCTACCCACAGTCCATGGTGGCTGATTTTTGTTGCTTGTCATCTCTTGAGACACTGTAGGACCCTGACACCATTCTGCAGCCCGGTTTTCATGGGGGCTGGGAAAGGGGGGGGGGAGGAGGGAGCCCAAATAAAGCCCTGCTTAAGCCCCTAATAAGCCTTATTTGGGGCTTTTGGGCCCCCCCCCTCCCTCCGCAAAACAGGAGGAGACCTGCGAGTGCGAGGTCCGCACCCAGCCCTTGGAGGCAGCCAAGCGCCGGCACAGCGCCTGGAACTTCGCTGGCGCGGCTCTTGGGGGGTTTCCTTTAAAGGGAAGCCAAAATAAGGGCTCTCCTAGTTTGAGAGACCCACATATGCACCAAATGAGGGAAACCCAAGCCCCGAGTAACAGGCCCGGCCCGGTCGAGGACCGTAAGTGCGAAACCCCTCACTGGTCCGGGTCCGGGCTTGACCAAGGCATCTACCACAACAAGCACCAAGGTGTTGACCACTTCGGCTGTCTCCCCCTTGCTTGGTCTGGTGTGCTCTCGGCCGCTGGGCCGCGAAAAGGAGGGGTTGCTGCGCAACGGGCAGGATCCGTAGGAGGAAGACTCAGCTGGAAGCCCACACACCCCATTCACCCAGCCCTGAAACAATCGCCCCAAAAGTGGAAACAGAAAGGTGGTGTTCCAACCGCCCAAGAGGTGATGCCCTACCCCCAAGGTGTTGTTTCAACCATGCAGGAGGGGGGGGGGAAGGGGGAAAGAGTGTTCCACACCAAACACCTCTAAGTGCTTAAGTGGCTACATTGTTGGTGCCCTTTCAGGTTGGGACGAAAAACAATCGTGGTTGCGAACAAGACAACTTTCCGTGGGTCAGCACGGCTGCAACAGTCTGGAACACATCCAAAAGCCGCGTGCCTCAACCTCCGAAGCAGGTCGGAGGTCGTCGAGCCGGCATTCGATTCCTCGCCTCAGTGCCCCTCTGTTTTGCCAGGCTCCAATTAAATCGGCTGCACTCGGGTGGGGAGGAATCCCGCTGGCATCCCCATCGTTCTTTGCAAAGAGCGCTAGTTGAAAACCATGGAAAATCTCTGAATCGTTTCTTTAAAAAGAAGAAGAAAAAACCCAAAACTGCTGCTCTTAACGGCTAGTGTTCGAAAAGAACGATTGTCGAAAAGAGTTGACGAGGAATTTTGCCCCGAACATACATATTAAACGAGCTCCTGGCCACCGAATGCCATGTGTCTCAAAAGAGCGATGAGAGTTTGATTCGAATGGGGGATCAACTGTTTGAGCGCAATCCAAGGCTGGTCACCGGATATCAGGCGTTGCTCCTTCAATTTTCGTATCTCCATTTGAAAATACGCTGCCACCCAACACAACGGACCCCCTTTTGGTTGGTGGTTTGAGGCAAGCGGGAAAACAACCAATCAAAAGTGCGCCAAATCGAAAGATACAGCGATGTCTTAGCTGTGCACCAGATTGGATGACGACCTGAGCACGGCCACTGCTTGCCGAATCCAAGCGGAACTCGCCCAGAGCAGAATCCAGACTTTGCATCTTCCACAGGTCCAGGGTGCTTGAAGCAATTGAACGCGGGCCCCTTGTGGCGCAGCTTTCTATTTAGACAAACCAAAAAAACAAAAGAAACAAAAAGGAAACCATGATCATGTTTCTGTTACCTGTCTTCAGCCTGTCTTTTTTCTTCTGCGTACCTCGAGGTCATCCTTATCACTTTGGTCGCCGTTCCCATTTTTTCGGGGACCCTACCAAAAGCCCTGAACCCCTCAAAAACGAAAAGAAGGGGTTAAATGTTCCGTCTTGAGGCCAAATAATGCCAAAGTCTTTCGGGGGTGATCTGCAGGCCCCTGGAGGTCAGGACGCAGGTGGCACATTCGAGGCCCCCTGCCTGTACTTGCAACCCACCGTCTGGCTGCACGCTCCTCAAAGACCTGAGAGATCCAGTTGGCTGTCCTTCTCAACCCGGGTATGGGCTCTCTCGATACACCCTAAGTGTGCGCAAACTATCTTGCCGGTGCCCATGATCAGTAGACTACAGCACCTATGTTTCCCCAAGAAAAAGCCTCAATGTCAGCATCAGCGGTCAAAACTCCTTGTGTAGGGCGTCTTGAGTCTCTTCGCAAGAGACAATGTGGCACTTTGACCGATCTTGTGGGGCATGGTCCTGCAACCCCCTTGACAAGAACTCTGACATTGGTCGTCTAAATTTTATGTTAGGGTGTTTATGACCATTCCCATGTCAGGCCTGCAAAAAAGTCACGAATCCAGAACGGCTAGGACCTTTTCAAGCACGCACCATGGGTCCCGCCTGCATTTTCGCTGACCTCCCAAATAGTTGTGCTTGGTGTGACTCATGGTTGGTTCTCTTTCTCAAAGGGGCATCCTGGTGGTTGGGTCCTTTTGGTTGCCCTTTCAATCCATTCAACTGCTATGTTCTGCTGTATGCTGTCGTGTTGAATAAGTCCTCATCATACGTGATAATGCTGATACTTGTTTGCGGGACCCCAAAATGCTGGCTTTCTGTTTGATGTTCCTTTAAAGGTCAAAGCAGGGTACACTACACTCAAAAAGGACACACCCACATCGGCTTGAATTGTTGCTTTTGCTCTGGCGTAGTTTGTCTACGAAGCAAGAGATTCCTGGCGCCTGTCTCCAAAATCCGGAACCCTTTCAACCAGCTTGCGATGGCATATCCAGCTTCCTTCAAAGTGCACAAGCCCACTAGTGGCGCTTTCCAGAAAACAAAACATTGGAGGTGTTGCAGTGTTGCTTTTCTTGTTGCTTTTTTTGGAAATTCTCTACGATTTCTCTCCAAACAGGTTCCTCTAAGCGGAGCTTTTGTGGGGGGCACCTCCGCAGTATTCGGGGTGAATGCTACCAGACTTGGCAGGACTTCGGAAGAGTCCTTGGCGCTCACTTGATTGGGTCTTTCATGGCTCCCCTTCATGCCAAAAAACAACATTTGCCCTCGACATGGGAGAAGACGTGGTTTGTTGTACGAGCACATTCTCACTTGCATGCCGGACATACTGTTGCCATTTTCAAGGAACCGAGCCTCGACCAAAAACGGGAGGCCGAGCCCGCCATGTCGAGGCCGCGGCCGAGCCGTGCAGCACCGCAGGCTTCACGAAGAACTGTCCGGTGATGGGGCAGAGCCTCAAACGCTCGATCAGAGGCGAGGTCGCTTCTTCGGCGTTTGAGGCAAGAGCCTGAACTCAGGTTGATACTCTGGATGGACGAAATCCTGCACCACTTTGAAACCATAGGAAGGCATTTGTTGCTGGTATTTACAGCGGGATCATCATTGCAGGGTTTCTTAGGTGGTGCAGAATTTCGTCCATCCACAGTAGTCCTTTTCCATGAAAACCCAAAGGCACGCATCGCCTCGGTTTTAAGACTCGCAGGTCTCTATGTGACGAGTCGGTGAGTGGGGAGGTGACACTATGCGAATCTCGCACAGGATGCACCTCAAGAGCCGCAGGGTTGCTCCTTGGTTCAAACTTGGTAGGGAAGCAAAACGAAACCGAACTACAATGGGCTGTTGCCAAAAGTCTAATTCTTGGTGGTTTAGTGAAAACTACCACTAAACCCTAAAAACATAAACTGGTGTTTCTCAAAATAGAGGGGATCCTGTTTTGGATGCTTTTATACACGGGGAAACCAAAATGAAACCACATGAAGGGTCCTTAATTTAAAATATATATATATATATATGTATATATATCGGAGCAACCCTGTTCCTAAGAGTGTTCATTCTGTTGGAGATTGGCATCTGCGGAATGGCCTGCACCCCTTCACGCCAAATTCTCGCATTGGTCGGGCGTGTCAACCCCCTGAAGGGAAAGAGCATTTACCCTAAAAAACAATGGTGTCAGATTTTGCTGAAGATAAAGGCAAGTATTTGGAGTGGGGGTGTCCTTGACAGGCCTCTTGTCCGCTTCCTGCGCAATCTGGATAAATATGCCGAACTTTCAACCGGAGACGCCATACAGAGTTCTTCCGCCATCTTTGCAGCCCTCTGCGTCTCCGCATCTCCAAGGGGCTAAGACCCAAAGAAGCTGAGGAACGTGCTCTTCCTGAGGCGCAACAGGACAGATCCAAGCTTCCTTCTCTCCCTCTCCCACCAGGTAGCTCAGAACAGTGACGGAGCTCCTTCAGAGGAAAATGGTTGCCCAATGGGGGGTTCCTACAGGTTCCATGCGAGTGGCAAGGTCCTTGTTGAATCCAACGAAACTGCTTCGACATTTGGGGCACATGACATTGCAAAGCCGACTTCAAACCGACCCAACCCATTTTTAGGTGAATATACGTATACAGCTTCCCCAGAGCCGTCCCATGACCATGGGGTAGCAAATGTCTTCTTTCCCGATGCGGAACATGAGCCTCGGCCAACAAAACAGACCCTGGCCCCAAAAGTATGTTGGGCGACAAAGGGTCCTCAAAGTGGAGTCCTTACTGTTGGCCTGCCTTTCAACCGACCTCGCTTCGAGGCCCCCGGCATGCTTGGCACGTCCACGTGCTCGGAGAGCCACCGGACATCCACCACCTACCAGGGTCGCTGTTGAAACGCTGAAGCAACCAGACCCGTTTCGGCCACCTGTAAAGGGGAAGCAACAGTCAATAGGTTGCTTGAAGAACAAAATGTAGGCGGACCCTTTGCTGGACATGGTCCACCAACCATTTTGGGAAAAGTCCCCGACTACTATTCATAGTCGTGTCAGTTCAAGTAATGGGGACCCCAGAGGTTGTTTATAGTGGGGGTGTCCCTGGGTTTAATTAGTGGGGATTCATCACTTTGGGAGGGGGCACCCCCAATGAATAGGAGGGGTTTATTAATCCGGGGTCAACATGACGGAGTCCCTGAAGACCGAGCGGATTCTTTTCGATTTGGATTAGACTCGGCCGGTCTCAACGAAAGGACGGGTCGTCCACAGCTAAGAACCAGCTGCGTCCTTCGATTTGGGTACGGCAAGAAAGGACCCTAGAAACCTTAAACCCGCGATGCTTCAATTTCAGCTTCGATGAAACACACCAAATTTTGTTGTAAAGCCAAAAAGCCGTCCTTGTCGGTCTTCCAACATCCCGACACCACCTGAAATACGAGCCAAAAACACCTCGGTGTCTTTTCTTGTCAGCTGTTGAACAAAAAGGGGATCCCTGTTTCGTTGGACTCGGGAGCTAACGGGACGACCAATGGTTGACCCCTGAGCCTTGGCAGATTTCAGGTGGAAGGAAACCAATGTAAAACCAAGCATTAGTCAGATATATGCGGCTCCCCGAGCCGGGCGTGGGAAGATGAGGGTTGCGTCCCCTGGTTGTGGGAAACTTAGAGACTGTCCCCCCATGTTCCTGAGTCGCACACTCAAAAGGTATGTCAACAGCAAGCCACGCTCATCCCTCTATCGGTTCGGATCGGTGGCTTCGGGGGAACGGCGTGGCTGATCATTTACTCTCTGCAAAGCCCGGGGCTCAAATCCCCAAACCACTGGAAGTTGCGCAGAGTCATCTGTCACACGCATCTTACCCAAATTCCAGAGTGCTCGAATCATGTTCCCCCAGCCTCAAACAGGTGCGCAACACACACACACACACACACACACACACACACACACACACACACACACACACACACACACGCATTTAGACCCATGCACGCGTCAGTCACCCCCCTTTGGGCCCATAGGAACCGCAGGACCCGCCAGCCTTGCGCTTGTCCCGCGCGGCCAAGTCCAACCAAATCTCGAACTCCGTGCCCTCCTCTGCGCGGCCACGGGGCAAGAGGCCACGGGCTAAATCGATGTCAAGGCTGTCTCAACCCAAAAGAGGGCGCCCGCCCAAAAAAGGTGCCCGTGGGCAGAAGTGAGGTAACATGGGGTAGTCCGCTTAGACCAGGGTTACAATCTACTTTGAACCTGCAATGAGATGTGCGCACCACTTGGAAATCCAGGCAGAGCAGCCGATTCTGAGAAAAAAAGGGATACAACTTAGGGAGCCCACTTTCAAATAAAGGCCAAGAATGAAGAACCTGTTAGCTGAAGAACTTGTCATTGCGACCACGGCCTTTGGGGTGATGCCGCCTTCCTGAAGGATTCTGAATGAATGCTTTCTTCGATACCGAAAAGAATTCCCGCCCTGTTATCACTTAGGGAATTCCCTCGGTAGAACATGGGCCTGTTTGACCCCGTTGTCATTTTCGGGTCGCTGACAGCCGAAACTTCTCCTTCAAGCAGGTCAGCAGGAAGTCGCGATCTTCTGCCCGACCAGGTCCTGCACTTGGATGCGGCTCAACACCACAATTCGGCCCCTCCAAGTCGATATGTGTGTGTGTGTGTGCGTGTGTGTCACATAGGCGGACCGCAAATTGGCGATATGCTCATGTCCAAACCCGGAAACCCAAAAAGGGTCCAACTCGTTCTGACGCATGGCAAATGGAATGGACTGAAACATGCGGCCCACATCCGCATAGGGTGCAACCCAGCAACGCTCTTGGACCCATGAAATTGGTGCCACGGGTGCCCGACTCAAACCAGGTAGACCTCGACGTGTTTGCATGACACCATGCCCACACACAGCACAAACAAACAAACAAACCAACAAACAAACACGGATATATACATATATATATATATATGTATAATTTTGGCCAAACTAAAACAATCCCCGACCAGAAATACGGAACCCCCTAGTAGGACCTCCATCATGTTTAAGATCCTTTTACCCCTAGCTCGTTAGTATCCATTGAGCTATGAACCAACTCCTGCTGGTGCAAAGCAACTCTGGGGAAGTGATTAGTAAGATATTTGAGAATTCTAATGTAAATCCAAACAGCCTGAAAATAAGACATCCAGGCAAAGGACCCCCAGGCAAGCTCGCCACAAGATAGGCAGCGCGATGCATTCCGAACAAGGGTCCTTTCACAATGGCCGTGCCCGGCGGAACCCCGCCTTGGCAAGCAAAAGCGCTGGCTACGCAGGCGCAGGTTCCAAGGAAAGCCATGTTCAAACTTGGGGCCCCCCTTTGAAAGGGAGAACCTAACACTAGTTGAAGAATTGCTCGTCGCTTTCAACCTGTGGTCGATGCCACCTTCCTAAAGGATTCTGTTGAAAAAGGCGATAGTGGGAGGTCCATCGACGTCTTCGCCTTGGGATTTTCACTTGAGTAAGGAGAATAATCCCATGGGTTGACCACCTGTGGTTCCGTGTAACGAGCCCAGGAGCTTCAAAAATGCCGTACGTTTTGCTAGACGCGCGACTGAGATGTGAGTGTTGTAGGTCAAGTCAAGCGTTGCTCGTTGATCATACCTTAGAATGTGTGGCTTGCTTCTTTCGGTGCTGACAGGGGTCCCTACAGGCGGGTTCCCTGGAAATGCCACTTTTGGAGGTCAAGAAAGGGGGCCTGAATAAGCAAGTCAGGACTTCGCCTCAGTAGGGAAGTCGACTAGCATGCAGCCAAGCTTCCGGGAGCGTCCGGATACCTGACACAAACGTGGAGCAATCCCAAGTGGCAAGGCTGCCTTCTGCCATCTCAGAAAAGCGGGCATGTGTCCAAACTAGGAATTCCTCCAAATTGTGTCGAGGTTTTCCCGTGTTGAAGCTCCGTGCCCAAAAGGGTCCAATTTCGCTTTGACACACATCCATCAAGCGGTCCTCACACGCACAAGCACGTGTGCTTGCACGCGCTTCCTGTGTGAGCTATGGTCTGACTCCTGTGTATGTCATTGGTCATGCTTCCCTTGGTAGGAACCCTTCTTGCAATGCTTTCGGGGGTTGATGACAGTCCCTACCAAGCCAAAGAGAGTGTTGAGACCGTGGCATGCAGCTGAGCCGCATCACCAGATCTGGGTCCTCATCCACTATAATTGTGAAGCGCTCCTGTTGGCGACAGGGGCCAGCCTCAGCGGGCACCCTGTCCAGTCACTGACGATCCGATTGAAGGCTTCGGCAAAACGAGCACATCATGAAAATTGGATGCCAAGGACACCCACGAAGCCTGGTTTACCTCTGCTTCACAGAAATGAGCCGTGAAAAAAAGACCTTCTTGCTGTTAGAGCACACCAACGTCAACAGTGGGCCGGACTTCCCCTTCCGACAGTCGGTCCCGCTCTCAAGGGCATCCTAGAAAACTGCCCTCTTGTCCAAGTGTTCCACTTTCTTTAGGTATGATGCCAACCCCTGCCCAAAAAAAGGAGGTATCTACCATGGAAAACCTAGCTTTTCAACATATACCCTTAAACAAAGGCCTGGAGAGTACTCAGAGCAGGGGGTAGAAGAGAACCACTGGATGCCTGCAAGGGCGTCCGCGGCTCTGAACTGAACCATTGATGTCTTCCTAATCGGGTCCCTTGAATAGGGATGTCTTTCCAGGCGAGCGAAAGGGATCCGTATAAGCCCGGGCGGGCGGTACTTTCATGTCGTGTCTATTTGGAGGTCGACTTATCCTTTTTGGCTTTTGCTAGGATTTGAGGTCGACTGAGTGATAGCCATCCTGTTGTCCAACCGTGGTAGAAAAAGGCAGCTTCTTTGGGGGTTGACTTTTATGGACTAAGGTCTTTGGTTCATTCCCACCCAAGCCATGTTTCTCTTGACATGGCTCTGAGGTTCCGGCAATCCCTCGAAGCACAAAGGCCCCGGGCCTGCACGAGGCATAGAAAAGCAAAAAGCAAAACAAACCCCGTGTGATGCGTGGGGTTTGCACACCTGAAACGGCACCAGGATGCAGTATTAGTGAATAAAGAGTGAACGTGTGCATTTGATGTAAGATGCATTCCGTTCGTTAAGTTCGTTACGCTCCCCAGGATCGGCTATACTTGCCAGACAACAACGCCACCCCTCCTTTGCAGAAAGTCTCCATCGCGAGTGTCAGGCGAATGACCGAAAACATGGAGGGCGTGCAACACTGGTGGTCGTGGTGAAAACTTCGCCATTGCAGCATGCATATTTCAGCACCCGGACATGTCACCGCAGCACGTCCCTTTTTGGCAAGACCGGCGTGAACTCTGCAGCTGCCAAAACCCGGGCGTGCCAATTTTTGAGGGTTCCTTCTTTTTGACCCAACCGAAGCGAAATCCCACCCAGTTTTGTGGCCATCCCTATTTTGAGACACCCACCCAAAAAGAGCCGCGCCTTTCTCCGGGAAGCATCTGCTCTGGTGTCCAGTTGTTGAAACTTCCCAGGACCCAGTAGCTGTGACCTGAGAAGCCCAAACTGAGCGGTTTGCTTCTAATGGCCTCTGAATCAGAAACCTCCCAGTGAATAAGTCAAATAATTCCCACTGGACGAAAGAAACTGTCCAGTTCAAAACCTGCTTAATAAGCGAGGGGGTCTTCATCGAAATTCTATCGTCATTTTGAGGGGTTGGCATTATGTCATCACAAACCAGAAGCCTTGATACCGCAATTGTCGGTGGGTTTGAATTTAACTTCCTATCACTCGAGCGGGGCTCCAAAATCCATGTGACTTTTGTAGATGCAAGATGATCGCCACCCAAGGGTGTGTCTACGAGCCTGTTTTGTCGGGCTTCAAGGCAAACCGAGAGGAAAACCACTATTTGTGTTTTGGGGGGGGGGGGGGGGTGAGGCGGGAGGTCCTGCTAAGCAAAAAAACACATGAAGCGTTGGCGTGAAGCCCAACTCACCTATGGGAACAAAATGGCTTCGGGCTCCAAAAAGGCCATCGGCTATTGCCAAACACAAGGCAAAGTCTTCACTTGTGGCAAGGGAAAGTCAAGGAAACACACAAGGCAAACAGTGAAAAAGGTTGGCAAAGTATAGCAACCCTTACAATGATTGTCTTTAATCCATGAGGGGTTGATGACCGTCGGGGCCAACAACAAGGATTTTGCACTAGTTGATTACCCAACAAAAGCACATCTATATAGTCCTGACAAAAGCCCGCCCAGCCAAACAGTAGAACCCCCCTTAGTAAGCTGGGTGTGTCTAAGAGTTGGTTTCCAGTTGGCTACGCTTTAAAACCAACCAAAAGGGGAGTTTGCCAAGCCATGACGCGCCCAAACGGTTTCGGACCTCTGCTTTCTGTTGCTAAGATCCCCGGCGAGCCGGACCCGTCATACCGCTAGCAGACCATCCTGAATCTGCCTTGGTGACACCTGAGACCAGGTTTGCGCATGGTTTAATCATGTGAGCCATGGTCCAAATTGCTTGTTTCCCATACTTGACATGGGAAACCTACTGAGTCTGCCAAAGGGGGTCTCTGCACTTCCATGATTGTTGGTGGGTTGTTGGTGGGAGGGTGACTAGAACTGTTTAAACAACCTCCCGTTCGGCTCCTTCAAACTTCATCGAGGCCAGGTCTTTCAGAATTTGTGCAAACCCCCAGCCTGATACACTCACCGTGATCATGGCGTCAACGATTTTGAGCTGGATGCGAAGCTGATCTCCTTGTCTCAGGTTTCGTTGAATCCGCCGAGAAAATCGGTTGGGGCACTGTGCCATACCTTTCCCATGCTTCTCAGGGGGCCTTCTGTTCAGGAAACCATCAGACACCCAGGGGAAAAAGCTGGTTTTCGAAAGGAACAATAGTGAAAAGAATGGGGAATCAACCCCTAGAACTGTTGAAGGGGGCTGAACAAAAATCGAAGTGAGCTGTGAATAGTTAGGCTACGTCTATGAAAGTGGCATTCAACTTCCCCTTCAAAAGGGGCCTCCAAATGCAGTTTCTGCTTTGGGGGACTCAGCACCCGCCCCCCCTCCCCCCCAGTTTGGCTGGAAAAAGCCTGGAGACGCTTTGTTTGACCCCCAACCTGTTTTTGCTTGGGATCCAACCCAAAGATGAAATGAAGCGGGAATTTACAAAAGGTCTGGATTGGAGAAAGAAAAGCACAACCTAACCTCTCCACCTTTCGGGGTAGAAATGTGTGTGTGTGTGTCTTTGTTTGAGGCTCGGTGCCCGTTTGGGGTGGAAAACCGAAATCCAAACTGAGGGCCCCCTATTTTGACGCATGCGCATGTTGTTCTTTGGCTTCACTTGGTGCTGATAAAAAGTAGTTTTTCCAGACTTGCCCTGAAAGCCGGGCTTAAGCAAATGGAAAGCCCGAAACTTTGAGGCGAGCCTCCTCTTGTGCGTACGCTTACTTTGCATGGAGAACCCTGAATCAAAATTTGTCACACACCCACATGGTGTTGTCTCCCTATTTGGCTGACTCCTACAAAATCTTGGTTTGTGCAGACTTCGCTTGAAGCAACCTACAACAGGGTCCCATCAAAAAGAAGCACGGGGCGCCGCCTTTTTTGCGAGGGTCCCCCTTTTGGGGAAACACCAATCATTACACTTGGGGGGTCCATACGGTCTTCATGTTTTATTTTTGTTTTGGGGGGAAGGGGGGAAAGACAAAAGCAAACCAATCGGTTATTTTCGGGGGTCCAAAACCGAAGCCACGCGAAGGCCCGCCTTGTCTCCCTGAGATCCGCCAGCTCTTGTCGTTGCACAGCTCGTCGGGCCCCCGTACCGGCACCTCCGAGGCCTCGGAGTTCGTCGCCGGCTTGGCGGGGTAGATGGATTGGTTCGCGTCCTGGGCAAGACGTCCCGGGTGGGTGTGGGTCAAAACTAAACCACCAGGAATCGGACCCCCTGTGTTAGCCATGGGTTCCATTTTCCAGGGTTCCATTTTGGGTACCCATTTTTGACCCACAGCCGGGTGTTTGTAGGACCCACGAAAGGGGGGGGCAAAGGTGGTGGTTTGGGACGCGACCCACGCGAAAATCACCGGTTTCTCCATTGGTTCTAAAGATTAGTTGGTCAGGGGGGAACCCCACAAATGATTCGGGGGTAATTTTCCCACACTTGCTCGACTGTATCCTTTAAGGGCCCTGTATAAAGGGAATAATCAAAACCCCCATGAATCAAAAGGGGAAGGCTTGCTTTCCAAACCTACTGTATTTCTATGGTAAAGGGGGCAAGAGTCTCCAACTAGCCCGGCTGCTAGAACGCATGTCAAGTGTTGGTTGCCTCAAAATTCGGACCCCTCAGGCTGGGAGTTGTCATCCCGGTTCTGACCACTTCCAAAAGGCGTCCTGGTCCCTCACGAAGCGGAAGGTCTCAGACCCAGAGATGCCGATGCGGCAGTAGGTCTCGAAGAGGAAGGGGCTCTTGGAATCTGGGTTCATCTCCAAACAGGTCCAAGAGGTCCAAGAGCCCACCACGAAATACCTGCCATGTCCCGGCCCGTGCACCAAAAAGGCATCAGCTCTTTGCTGGCAAGTGGCAAAACTGCTGGCAAGTTGTAAAACTGCTGGCAAGTGGTCAAACAAATGTGTATATGTACATATATATATGTATATCATCTTCTCCAGAAGATGAGAGAGGAAATGACTATATACTATATAACAATGATGATAATACGAATCATTAAGACATAATACATAATATATATATATATGGATTTAAAAAAGAAGGAAACAAACTAGTTAACTACTAGGACCTTGATTTGATCTTCTCCAGAAGACGAGGGGAACAAAGATCCAACCAATCAGCAGCCAAGCTGCCTGTGCCGTGCCTTGGATCCGATCACCGCCCGGTCCGCGACAATCTGCCCGGAAGTCAACATCGAGTCCAGTCGTTTCCAGGTCACCTGACGCCAGCGGTGGGTTCGCCGTTCCTTGTTTGAGCCATCCCAGTGCTTCCAGGCAAGCCACTCTAGTAGGCTTGCCGGGGGGTTCCCCATGTAAAACCTAGAGGTAGCCGTACCGATGGGTTACCTACTATAATGGTAACTGTGAAGCACTGGGCATGCGTTTCACCGCTTTTGTTGAAACAACCTCCCGACTGGGCTGGTCAAAATGGTGTGTTGGCCAATCTTGACCCATCATCCCTATTGGACAACCACTACAAAGGGGACTCCTTTGTAACCCAAGCTAAACACTCAGGATTGCCTTAGCCCAGCCTGTTGGCTGTCCTAAACAAAATTGCAAACTTGTTGATTCAAAGAACACTTGCCAGCCAGCTGCTTGAACAAACTTTGCCAACTGATTGTTCAAACACATGTTGCCAATTGTTGATCAAGACAACGTTGCCAGCTCAATGTTGAACCACGTGTTCTTTGCTAACTGGCTGTTGTTGCCAACTGGCGTCCTTTTAAGGTTTCCATTGAAACCAACCCAAAAAAGGTACGGGTACTCCAAAAAGTTGACACTTTTTCCATCTTCCGGCCTGAAGCCTCAAGCCCCAGTGAAGCGTCACTCTGAAAATCGTGCCCGTGGGCACTTCCTCGTCGCGGCCGTCGATCAGCCAGAACTTGTCCTCGCCGGCAGTCTGGGGCCCGACCACCCGCGTCATCATCGAGCCGTTGTTCCTGAGTTGAGTTGAACCAAAGGCCTCGTTGTTCCTGCGTTGTTCCGGGGTTGACTGAAAACTTTCGGATGGCCTTCACTCAAATGAGGAAACCACCTGCCTGCCAGCAAACTGTTTATGAAACAATTTGCCAGCTCAACAGAAAAGGTTCACATACGGATGGATCACTGCGTCGAATTGGGTTGACAGCCGGAACTGGAACCTCTCGTAGCGGGTCTCGCCGAGCTTGACCAAACAGCTCCAGCTATCATCATCCTCACCTGAAGGTCTCTCAAAATGTCGGATGCTTTGGTCGGTGGATTGTTTTCTTTCAAAATCTTGGATTGGAAAACCAAAAAGGACACCAAAAGGAACCCAAAATGGATCCGGTTGGAGGGAAACGAAAAGGACGCCCATGTTCAAGCACTTGAAAACGGCTGTTTTAATTCGGCTGGAACCACCTGGAGTCATCTCGACTGCATCCTTGAAGCCATCCCAGGAGCCCAAGATGCTAATGCCCGTGTCCGGCTTATCCCCTGCCACCTCCTCTGCAGGACTCATCTGGTACTTTCCCTCGTACAAGCTGCTGTTGTAGTCATAGGTGTCAAACTCGTCCCGGATGCTGTCGCAGTGATACCTGTCCCAAACTATCGTCAAGTCCATATCTAAGCCAATATAATCGAAAACCCTTGTTCAAAACCCAACCTCCCTTTAGCTGCCCATTTTGGGTCGTTCAAACACCCCTTGTTCAAAGCACCTCTCACTTCCCGAGTGGACTGGCCCACAAACAGGTCCAATCCTTCTTATTTATTACCAAAATGGCCCCAAATAGCTTATAAAGTCCATGAACTCAGGGACTGAGAGAGACCTCCTCCCCCTTGGTGGCCCCTGTAAAGAGGGGGGGAGACTGATGTCTTCTTTCGGTACTGGGCCCCCCGCCTGCCCCTGTTCCTGAAGATCCGGGTGCCGGAGGTGGGCACCTCTCGGCCATCCGTGTAGTGCATGGGGCCCTCGTCGAAGGGACAGGTCACCACCACGTAGTCCACCTTCTCTAAGCTCACCTTCCCGGACTTCCTGTCGGAAAATGGGCAAAGGCCGCTGGCTTTAAAGACCGGCTTGGAGGAGGGGGGGGGGCTCACCTGCGCAGACTTGCTGTCAGGTGCCTTCCGGATTTCCTGTCAGGTGCTTTGGAGGTTTCGGGGGTGCCCGGATATTCGGCGAAAGGGCCGCTGGTTTGGAGGTTTGGAGGTTTTTTCGGGGGGGCGGGGAGGGGGGGTGGATCGCTCACCTTCCCGGATTTCCTGTCAGGTGAAGAAGCCGAACCGTCACAAAGAGAATGGGCGCTTAGCCCGCTGGTTTGGAGGTCGGGGGGCGGGGGGTGACTTCCTTGGCAGCTGAACGGCAGGCCGGTGGTTTGCAGATTGGGGGGTGGTGAAGATAGCTTCCCGGGTTTCCTGAAGCCGAACCGTCACGAAGACAAAAAACGCGGTTCGGCCGGTGGTTTGAAGGGTGAAGATTTCGTGTGCGGGTCTGGAGGTGTAGCGCCTACCCATATTTCCTGCCAGGTGAAGAAGCGAAGCGTCTCGAAGGGTGGTGAGGCTGGTGGCTCGGTGTGGCTCCGGGGGGTGGTTTTTTATTTTTTTTTTATGTTTTTTTCTTTATTTTTGTTTCTCCCTACCTCAGATTTCCTAACGTGTGCCTGGAAACACAGAGAATGACACTGGCCCCCTTCATCCGTCAGGGCACATACCTGTATAAATGCTCCGCCCCGAAAAATCAGCGGTATTTACAGTATATATGTGTGTGCGAGGTCCATCACTGGAAAGATCCGGGAAACACGAAGCCCATTTGGGTCCACATCCCGTTAGGTTGGACAAACCCATATTCTGAGGGTGGTAGTAACGGTAGTACATACTCCTGTGCATACCCCTTGATTCCCTGGTCGCTTGCCCCCCCTTGTACATACAACTTTTGGGAGGGGTATAGACAACAGCGGGTTTCGGGGTGGCTTACCAAGGGGTGTATGAAAGGGCATCCGAAGAACAGTCAGGATTCATCGTCACCTGCTGTAGTAAAATGGGATCACTCGCAAGTACAAAAATAGAACATGCGGGATACTTGCCACAAAATCCAACATCATTGGCGGGCACTTGCTGAAGACTGGCTATAAACACCTCTAGACAGAACAGCTATGTGTACCCTTTTCAAGAAGGCATACCACTTGAAAAACAGCGGTTTTAAGGAAACCACCTTTTTCTTTTTTGGGGGCGGTGGGGGTACCTTATGTCGACACGTCCGTTCTAATGCGTCCAAAAAGCTGTGGCTTTCCTTTTGCTCTCCCTTATCCAGCCGAACAAATCCTTTGCCCCCAAAGACCGACGAGGACGAGCGCCGCCCACGTCGCGCCGCTTCGGCCGCGCCTGGGCCCTCGGGAGGCGATGGCGAAGACGTCCGCGCGCGCGTTGGCGCCGCCGAAGCCGAAGGAGGACACCCCCGAGTACCCGGACTGATCCCCGTACTCCGCCTGGGAAAATGACGGGGTTGGGTCAAAAGATTGCAAAAGCGGAAGCCTCAAAATGGTGGATTTGCGGTTTCCCTTTAAACCAACCCAACAAGGGTACCAAAATGGGGGATGTCCTTGTGGTTTCCCTTTAAACCAACCCAACAAGGGTACCCTCAAACAAGACACACTCCAATCCCCGTGCAATAGATACCGCTTACTGTAACTCGTTATCGTTGATTGGGAACCATCCACGCATTTCCCCAGGAAAAGTCCGAAGACCCGACGCAGCCGAGACGCCAACTCGGTGTTGAACACGGTGGGGTACCCGTTGACGTCCAGGTGAGGATTGAGGCTGAAGAGGTGACAGTTGGGAGTACCCGCGCAGGAGTTACCTCAACGCCACATTGCCCACCACAAGCAAGCTCTGGACAGAATTTTTCCAAGTTGGGGGACGCCTCCAGGTAGAGGAAACACCAATTCACACCGCTGTGGTAGATCACCCTCTCTGTGATGCCAACATGCATTATTCCATAACTACTTTGTCACTTTGAAGGGGGTGAAACCAAGAATAAAACCGCCATTGTGTTTGTGCGGTCCCCCTATTTTACCACAACCCCCGCCCCCCACCCATAGTTACCCGCGGGTGGATCTCAGATCTTGTTACAACCAACGCTGGCATTGAATCAATGAAACTCAACCAGTCCTACTTAGATCAGGGTTCCAATCATAAGCCTCAACCCCATGGCTTCCTTCCCCACCTACACAGAGAACACCCCCCAACCAAAACCAACCAGTGATTCACTAGATCCGTGGTTTACCCCCAAATGGCCTGAACCCCACGCATGGCCATGGCTTCTCTCTCACCGAGTTGCACATGATCATGCACTTGATGATCCCGGCCTGTCCCGCGTTGGCCTCCAGGTGCCCGATGTGACTCTTGGCGCTGGTCTGCATGATGGGCGCCTTCCTATTCCTTGGAGCTCCGGCTTCGGCTTCGGCTTCGCGGCTGGCCATGGCCATTTTTATGGCCAAAGACGCGGAACAGTGGAGGCTCCTCCCTGCTTTTTTGTCTCCTTTTCTTTGTTTTTGGGGGGTGGCTCGGAGATAGTTGCACCTCCGGCTACTCCTCGAGCGATTCGATAAGGTATATGTTTGGGCGACAAAAGGGAAAGAAAGGGAAACTTCAGGAACATAGGGGGTTCCAAAGAGGTCCCTGCTGGTTTCCAACGGGATTCACCCCAAATAAGGTCTTGCCCAAGATCACTGAAGACACAATCGTATGACGAGGGGCAACATTGCAACCCATGGTTTGCGCCATGGGAAAGCAGCTTCTTGGATGCTATCCCTCTATTTTGTTTCTGTAAAACAACCCATCTATAAAAGGACAAACCCTGCTGTGGATAGACGAAATCCTGCACCACTTTGACACCATGGTTGAAACCATTGTTTGCTGGTATTTACAGGAGAATCGAATCATTCCAGGGTTTCTTAGGTGGTGCGAACGGATTTCGTCCATCCACGGTATCGCCAAAAACGTGAGAGCTTTCTCCAGGAGTCTGCATGACCCCCTTCAGCGCGCCCACCTCGATGGGGTCTCCCAACCTCAGCCAGACGAATCCGACTCGACCCCCCAAAAACGTCGCTCGCTCTTCGGTTGAAAGGGGAAACAAACAAAAAGAAGCAAAAACAGCAAACCAAAAGCAAAGACAGCAAGCAAAAAGCAAAAACAGCAAGCGTTGGTGAGCTGAGCCCTGGCAGTAGGAACCCTCGCAATGGTTGTCGAAAATGCATAAGGTGCTGATGACCATTACCGACCCCAAGTACCAAATATTGAAAAGGTGGGAATCTAAAAGCCAACTTGTTTCTGGAAAGATGGAAAACAGGCAAAAGGCTGCTTCTTTCAAAAAGCTAAAAGGAGAGCTAAAACCGGCAATAGTAGCAACGGGCTGCCGATATCAACCCCCAATTCAAGAAGACGGTTGTGAATTGTAATTGGTGACTCTCTGAACATCATTTAGGTGGGGGATTTGCGCCCACCAACCATTTGGAGGGCATTCCTTCTCATTCCTTCTTAAAATTCGCAGCCACATGGACGTGAGCGGTTTCTCCTTCAAGTGGGGGGATGCCCCATGTTACCCCTCGGTGTTTCTGTTTTTCATGAGCCCCCCCGACCGGCCCTCCGGCCCCCCGGCCCTCCGGCCCTCCGGTCCCCGGCTCCATCGATCCCTCTCCGGCCGCGGCGCGCGGTGCCGGTGCCGTGGAGCTCGGAGCAGGTGATCTGATTCGCCGTGAGCCCGGCCTCCCGCATGGAGCCCCGGAGGCACTCCTGCTGCGAGGGCCCGTTGGGCGCCGTCATGCTGGCGCTCCGCCCGTCCTGGGGGAAAATGAAATAACAAATGGCCCGGGCCAAAAAAGGAGCTGAAGAAACGAAAACCAGAAACACGTGGCACAATCAGGCCAAGTTGTGGTCCAAAAGCAACCCGACAATCAAAGGGGATCCCCCTTTTTCGGGGCTGTTCTTGTTTTTATGCAGAAGGGAAGTCGCTGGATTGCCGAACCTAAAAGGGTGTTGTCACCCATCCAGGGCAATGAATGACCACTTCAGGCTGGTGGGGTTTCCATGGGCCCTTTTCTGAACTGCCCCGCCCGATTCAAAACTTTGCAAACCCCCTAGTAAAGTACTTCTTTGCCTTTAGTTGAGTCCCGCACAAGTTGACAGAACTATGTCTTTTGGCCCAGTTTTCTTCACCCTGCAGTTGCCTTTTCTGAACTAACCCAAATTTAAGCCATCCTTGGTGCTGAACAACCTCAATATGCTCACTTTAATGGACCTGCCAATCTTCCTTGACTGAACCACTTAGCCCCTCCTAATTCAGTCCACGGGAGGACTTGACCCCTGGGTGTTAATTCCCTTTGGAACCCTGTTTTGTCGACTGAGTATTCCCCAAAAAGTGGAGATAAGGCCTTGACATATTCGAAACATGGCACCACATCATGTTGCTTTCTTCGAGCACTGAACCGCGCCTGATTCAGGCAGGCCCCAATCACCGTGGCCAGCGCGTCTCGCGGAACCGACTCCTCGCTGCGGGCATAGAAGCAGGAAGAGCCCTCTCCGCGCTCGAAGCCGTCGGCGGACATGTCGAAGGTGAAGCAGCGCCCAGCGACAGACAACATGTGGGGCCCGCAAAGGTTCACCTGAAAACCGGTGGCTCAAAACCTATTGACTGTTGGTTCTACAAATATGGCTATAATGATTTAAACAAAGCCTTTATGAAACCTGGTAGTAGAACCACCTACTAAATTGGCCTGAGACAATGGGGGGTTGCACAAAACCACACAGCCAAATTTCAGAACAATTTGAGTATTTCTCCAAGTAGAGATCGGTCCCTCTGGCAAGGGCTTCCTTTTGGTGTCCCTTTCAATACTATTCAAGAGAGTCTTTTCTGAATAAATGGGGCCCCAAACCCCAAATGCCTTCCAAAACCCCAAATGACTTCCGATTGGGACTGCCTACAAGAAGGACCTCCTACAAGAAGTTGAACCTTTTTGGCTGGTTGCTGGGGCCGGCAAAGGTCACCTGGGGTTAGGGTGTCTTTCAATCCCTGCAAAAAGCGGAACTCGCTGTTTCCTTGGTTCGTCTTTTTAGACAGGACCGCCTGCAAAAAGTCGAACATGTTGGCCGATGACACGGCAAACCCTAAAGGTTCGCCTGAGCAGCGGTAGCCCAAAACCAATTGACGTTTGGTTGTGCCAACGTCATCAAGGTTTATATACGCCTTTACAATCCCCTCTAAACCCGGGGAGTAGAAGCCCTTGGATGGCCATTGCGAGCTTACCTGGGGTGGTCTTTGTCCAGAAAACCCCGCAGAAGCGAAACTCAGTTGGAAACACCCCTCGCCATGTTCCAACAGGTTCATGTTGGTGAGTTCGCAAACGGGGCTCCCCGTTCAGCATCGCAAGTTGAAGCTCAATCAGTTGGATTTAACCAACCCAAAAAGGGAGACACATGTGCCATCATCAAAACTCCGCGGGGTGGTCATGGTCGTTGTTCCCTTGAGATGGACCAAGGAACTTATTAGTATGAGATCACTCAATTTAAGGCAAACCCGCCCAACACAAATGTTGATCCAACACTAGCAGCCAATCAACTGGATAGACGTTCAACCGCCAAAAAATGCGGGGACGATTCTAGTACAGACCAAGTTGACTCCTCTAATATTGGTCCAAAAGGTGATGCTAAACGTTTCAGTTTGAAGCACCCAAACAAAAAAAACAAAAACTAAGGAGCCCTTGGAGACGTGGCTTTGTCTCCACAGTAGAGAAGCCCCCTATGGCTGGCTTCCCCCCCCCCACTGGCCCAAACCAAGTCGCGTAGTTCCCGGGTCCGGGGATCAGGTTGGCCCCGCCCATCAGCGCCTCAGGGGATGTTCAAGCTGGCCGCTGGGAACAGGAGCGCCACCACTTTTCTTGGCCTTTTGGTTGGCCTTAAAGGGAAACCCCCTCCACAAAAAAGGAGACACATGTGCACAATGTGCACCACTGGGTGTCTGGGACATGGACATCATGCTGGGGGGGGGGTCCGCCAACCTTCCGAAGTGAATTCATAGCCACATGGTTTGTACGCCTTGTGCTTCAACAACCTCCTTTTGGCTTACAGCCAACAGTGGACAAATCTGCCCTTGTGCTTCCCCTTTATCGGGATACCGAAATGGGTCTGGCGGGTTTAACTTGTTTTTGCAACCAACGCAGGCTACAACCTCCCATATTGGGTTATTGTCTAAGTTGTCGGTGGGGTTCCTTTTGTTGGGGACTAGGACCTAGCCGTTTATTTAGCTCACTTCCTGAGTAAAGTCCAAGCTGCGTGTTTGCCACTAGAATGGTCTTGTGTCGTCTCAAGAAGGGGGAAAGGTCCAGTTCTTCAAACATCTCTTGCAACTGAACATGCTTGAACCGCTCATTGCTGAAACAAGAGAACCAGGGGGAACTCCCCTCCAATGTCCGAAGCAACCAAGGAGCGGTTTGGGGGATGCCAAGGCTTGGGACGTTTTCATGTGGCTATGAATTCTAATAATTGGTACCCTGTTAGCTTGGTGTAAAGGGAAACCAGAACATCAAAACCACAACTTCGGGTGTCTCTGAAAATAGGGTACTCAAGGTGTCGTGTCCTTTTGGCTTCCCTTTAAAACCACTCCAAAAGAGCTTTCCCATGGTTTCAAAGTGGTGCAGGATTTGGCCCATCCACAGTATACCCAAGAAAGGCGCCCGTGATTTTTGTTAAAACCACTCCAAAGTGGCCTAGATGACCCAAAAAAGGGGGCACCCTCCACCCGGCTTCCCTTTAAAACCCCTCCACACGGCCACCCTCAAGACCGACCCCCCCCCCCCGCCCCCGCCCCCGGCCACCGGTCGCCTCGGTGATGCCCGAGTTGGCCCCCGCAGGGCCCTGGTCCGGCAGCGCCTGGCGCAGCGCCGTGTGCCCCACGCCGTAGGCCACCAGGGCGGAGGAGCAGGCGGTGTCCAGCAACGCCTCGCAGGAGGGCGGCGCGCGCGCGCGCGCGCGGCGCGCGGCGCGCGGGGGGGGGGGGGGGAGGGCCCGGGGGGCGGGGCAAAAAGTTGTGTTCACAAGTTGGATGAAAATCCATAAAAAACATGCAAAAAGGTTATAAATATACTAAAAACAACACTTCCGCCAGAAGCTATCATTGTAATTTGTTGATCAACTTTGATGTTAGTTACTGGATTACTACCCACTGTGCTTGACTATGTTAGAGTCTTGTTCTATTGACCTGATCGTATGTTTAATTTCAGCAAATTCTAGAGATTCTTTCAAAGCAGGTCTTGCAATTGTGCTTTGGCACAGAGGCCCTTTGGCAATTTGGGCTTCAGTTTCCCCAGAGGAAACCTGGCCAGCCCAAAAGGGATTAGGGGAACCCAACACCAGTCGGGTTTTTGCAGGTCCCAGGACACCCCTGTCTTTTAGGGAGGAAAAAGCAGGCAAAGTGTCTCACAAAACATGATCGCAAAATACTGTTTGTTGGCAGATTCCATCTTTTGGGATTGCCTTTGGGGGTGTTGAAGGGAAACTGAAAGAAAGCGAAGGTTAACCCTCGGTGAGACAGGTTCGGATGCCTAAATGGAACCTGACAAGTGGCTCAGGCCATCCCCAACTTCACCGAAAGGTCCTCTAACAATTCCACCCAAACCTTGCAAGTTTAGGACGCCTTGTGGTTGCCATAAGGGACCAAAGATGTGAATCGCCCTGGGAAATATGGGGATCCACCAGCCGAAACATTGGGATTTAATGATGAACCTACAAAAAAAAGTGTGGGGAGGGTCCTTCGATTTGCGGTCTTTGATTTTGCATGGCGGTCCCCCTTCCTTGAAGAACCAAACGGGACACCGACTCATGTTGGAGGTTGTGTTGGGAAGCCAAAAACTGAAGCCACCATTTTTAGGGTCCTCCATTCTCAGGCTGGCCTTTTGCAGGTTTTGGCGGACAAGCAAAGGAGAAACCAATCATGCTGGGCCTACTTTGAAGGGAAACCAAACAGAGAGACATGTTCAAACCAGGATTGTTTTAAACAACCTTCGTTGGTTACTCTTTAAAGGGAAGCAGGCCCGGTCTCAAGAACAAAGGAGCTCCGGGCTAAAATACCGCTTTTCTCAAATTTTGGGTGGGCTGCTGATTTCAATCAGAAAGTTGGGCCCCATGTTGCCCAACCATGCTATAGCATCTTACATAAAAATGGCTCCACATATTTCCACAGAGGAGACTCAACTCCAAAAAGTGGTGGGAGAATTAAAATGGCTATAAAGGGAATTTATGGGTGGGTATCGTTGTCTGGTTGGTTTACCAAAAGAACAACAACTGCCAAAAGGGACGCCCTGCTTGTCCCAAAAAAAAAAACGAGCCTGCGGACCCTGGAGGCCCAGCGTGTAAGCGATCCGCCCAGCGATGCAGGACCACTTCCGGGCTTGGTAGGCGTACTTGTGAGCGTCCGTGCCGCCAGCGGTGAATCTGGGATCCACACTCCAATCATCTCCGCTGTGCCCAATGTACACACCCATCTTCTTGCCTCTGACCTCAGGACGAGGCAAAAGCCCTGACGAAATGTGTCTCTTCTTGTTTGCTGGCAGAAAAGAATGAAAGCATGAAGGAGAACCAAAAAAGCCGAAGGTAAAAATTCGGTGGGTGATTTCCTGTTGGTGTCCTCTTTAAAACATCCCAAAAGGGGACTCGTATTTGGAGAAAGAAAAAAAAAGAGCTAAGTTCGGCAGTGTGGCGTCCTTTCTTCGCAGCCCGGTGTTGAACAAAGCCTCATAGCTTCTTTCGAGGAGCTGGCGACTGGCTGGCGCCAGCAACCAAGCTTCTGGTTCTGGCACTCCAAAGAAATCGTTGTCGAAAGAGAAGATGTCCTCTCCAGGCGTGTCGATCAAAGAGCGTTGCAAACAGTCTTGCTGCACAAAGAGGGAAGATGAAGGAAACCCACAAGCCCTGGTGGTCTCCCCAACAGCCTCGGAACCCTCCCTGAAAGCTGCTCTGCACCAACAGCAAGCCCCTTTGCACCCTTCCGAAGCAGACGCTCTAAACTCCGGAGCCTTTCTGGGCCTATCGACCGCAAAGCTTCAGCTGGGCAAAACCGCTTTCACTTGTAGCTGGGCAAAAAGCAGAGATGGAGGAACAGGGGTTCCACTTCTTGACTACCCCGAGATAGACACCCCCCGGGGTTCCGTTTGGGTAATGAGCCACCCAGGGTTAAAGTCGATGTAGAAGCTCAACTTGAATTGAGCCAAGAATGTCCTTGCAGTAGCCGCCATGGATGGTGTAGGTCCAGCCAGGTGACCAGTTCTCACCCGTGCGTGTGTAGGCGTCAATATCAAAGCGCTCGATGGGCGCCTGATGGGACTTCCAAGCATTCGAACCCCCCTCTGGGATGGGTGCCTCTTCAAATAGGGGGACCCCAAAAATTGTGATCTTCCTCTTCCTTTTAAAGCCACCCGTATTACCCGTACAAAGCCCACTGGTGTTTAAAAAGAACCCATGGTTGAAAAGGATGCAAAACTTCCAGTCATTCTGAATCCCCCGCTGGCCCGCTGGCTAGGACAACAGAAGTGGGGTCTATTGAAACCATCCTCACAACTACCCTGATGGCGTAAACTGAAAACAGTATCTAAAAGTAGTGTTGAAAACAGTATCTAAAAGTAGTGTTGAACACCTCTCAAGATGGAATTACTTCAAGTCAGTTGAGCGGAACGCAGAGGCAAAACCTCCCCCACCCTCGCCGGCCTTCCGATCGAACCACTATTCTAGTGGGGTTCGGGTTCCGGGAAAAAACTTTAAAACGTGACCCATCACTTTTGGTTCTTGGGTTTCCCTTTGGGTAGTTCGAACGTTGGCTATTTCGCACACAAGAAATCACTCGCCTTGGTGTAGCCATCGGTGCCCATCGATACTGCGCACCAGTAGTTGTCCAGATGCTCAAAGGCCGCCCCGGGCCTAGGCGTGCCGCATCGAATCGACTGGGACCAGTTTAGCATAACAAGACTAAACCTGCAGTTTTTAGGGCCATACATGTGTCCAACAGTCTTAAAAGGAGTACCCTGGACCCTAAAAAGGCAAATCGGGAGAGGCTGTTTAACCTGGTCGAAGGGCTTCTCATGGCTCTTGGAGTCTGTCTGGGGGCAAGGGTGCCCCAAACATCTCCTGATTTCGGAAAGCGAACCAAAAGCACAAACAAAATCAACAAAAAGGTGAGTAGATGTTGCATGTTGCCGGTTAAAAGACGAAAACTAACACAACCCACAAAGGCGAAAAAGGATGAAAAGTGAGTAATGGTCAGATTGCTCATGTGCTTCCGATTTATCTCGAGGGAAAATCCCTTGAATGCAGTTGCGAGCCAAGTCTTTGGCCATGGTGCAAGTTCAATCCCACCCCGAAGACGCAGACTCTGCGTCCTTCCGGCGTGTTGGGCCCGGACACCAAGCCGTAGAGCTCGTCCTTGGACTTCTGATCCCCGTCCATCATGGCGAACTGAAACTGTGCCGGCGCAGTCAAAACCCAAGCCTGCAAGACCAGGTCATCTTCCGACTCCGGCCGGTAGGTGTAGCCTGGGATTGGGCTAGTAAGTCTTGGAAAATGCCTTTCGGGGTTTGGAGTCTTCTGTTTCAAGTGTAGGGAAAATTGCTTTCGGGGTTAGGAGGGTATATGTTGGAAAATAAGGAAAGTGCTCATCCCCTTGCTCCAAGAACCCTCCAACATGCCTTCTGAGCATACCGCATTCCCATTCTCTCCCATGAGGACCCTCTTCAATGGGGCTCCGCTGCATGCTGAAAAGCTTCGTTGGATGGTTCTTAGACCTTCCTCCGTCATCCTCTAGAAAAGCACAAGTTACAAAAGAACAAACAAATCAACCCATCCAATAGAAAACCAAAAACAAACCAGAATAACAAATCAACCCATCCTCTAGAAAACCAAGCCCATCCCCTTTTAGCTCTCTTTTTAGGGAAACCACCAAAACCCGGTTGCTCAACGCCCAGACGCTCATCCGGTCGTGGCGGAACACCACCAGCTTCCCTGGCTCCGCGCTCAAGGTGACCTGATCCCCGTCCTCGCACGTGGCGCGAAAGGCGCGGCTTTCTTCGCGCCGGTTTGGTTCAAATAATTGGGGGGTTTGCAGAAGTGGATGAGCCCCAAAATGGGTTGGGCTTCCTGTTTGAAGGCTTGGGTTTCCTGTTCTTCAGATGGCATAAAAAAATGGTGCAAACTTTGTTTGTGTACCACTAACATGGTCTTCCCCAAAAGGATAGTGTCCAGGAACTCCGAAAGTTAGGAACAGGATGAGCCCTGAAATGGGTTGCTTGAAATACAAAACGAAGGGAAACAGAGACCTTTGCGAGGGGTTCGTGGACATGAATCCTCAATGTTCAAAGGGTCCCCTACGGACGTTTAAACCCAATTCATGCCTTGGGCTCTCCTTGTTCAGAACAAAATCCTTTCCGTCCCCTTTCTTGAGGCCGGCTGCAAATGTCCGAACCATGCACAAGAAAACAACCTCCTTTGGGTCCAAGGGGGTCGAAAACGGGCTGGATATTTACACCCTTTCAAGGCCATGGTTTGGGTACTTTTCTCTGTATGCTAGTCCAGGTTGTTTAATCCTTTGGGCAGAATTGAGTTCTTCAAAGCAATAGTACCCCCCCTTTGAACCTCCTGTTCAGCGGCTTGCTTTGCATCAAACCGGTTTCTGCAACCAACTCGGTGGTTTGGATTGGTTGGGAGGCAAGGGGCAGCTGTTTTCATTTACCCTCAACGAGAACCAGGGTTCCAATCCCCAAACCACCGCCGCAAACCACCAATTGGGACTAACCTGACTATCAGAAGTTGGATTACGCCCAGCTTAGACTGCCAAAAAAAGTCAACTTTGTGCTAGCTAAGGGAAAATAATAGAGACCCAACAGAGTAAAAATGTGAAAGGTTGGTGAAGTCTGGCAATCTTTGAACAAGCTTTGTGCCCAACCCCTCCTTGGGGTACAGTGACAGCTCCCCGCCACTGCCGTCCGCGATAAGAAACATGCACAGCTTCCGCCTCCGCAGGAAGTCCACGTGCCTCAGTTGCCGAAAGGAAGTGGAAGTAATGTTTCAAGATAATAACAACAATAATAATAATAATAATAATAATAGTAATAGTAATAACACAAAAACACCCCCGCAAGAACTGAATCGCTTGGGACCTCGACTTGACACAGGCCGAAATCGGACCACTGCATATGGATCCAAATCGGAAAACCGCGGAGTCAGCTCCTTCCGTTTTCCGCTTGGGCAAAGACGCTCGTCCACCAGGCCCTTGGCGATGTCCTCGTCGCTGACGGCCTCTGCCAAGCCAGTCTCCGCGGCAGAGGCCGGCACACGCAGCATGCCGCTGGTGCGGCTGTGGGGCACAAAGTCCAAGGCGAACGGGGCCACGGGCAACAGGAACTGCGTCAATCTCGCGAGATACCTTGGCCACACGGAAAGAACCATTCGGCCGGCAGAGAAAAACAAAAACACAAAAGATGCCTCGGCCACGCGCAAAAAAGCAATTCGGCCGGCAGCAAAAAAGCAATTCAGTTGGTGCAACAAGCGTTCACGTGCTGGTTGAAAGGGGAAAATAAAGAAAAGCCAAAAGGACAAGAAAGAAAACCGGACTATTCGACTCTGGCATGGCACAGGTCCAGAAGATCAAGAGGGCTGTCCTTAGCCATTGCTCCCATTCGACGGTCGGCACAAGGCGAGAAAACAGGTCGGTGAAGGAAACCAAAGGAACCAACGGAAAAGCAGCGGAGAACCAAGGAGAACCAAGCAAAGACCAAAAGAAACCAAAGGAAACCAAAGGAAACCCAAGGAAACCCAAGGAAAGCCCAAAAACAATCAGCCCTTGAGGCTTCGTCCTCTCGGAACGGCTCTGCGACCACAGCCAAGACATGGCCTTTGCTTTTCAGAAGCTAAGGCCCCATCCATCGACGGCTTCTCCTCCACCATTTCTTCCAGCCATGCAGTTTTGCATTTCCTCAGCACACCATCGGTGAACAGGGTGCGAGTCAACCCCTTTCAACATGGGACTCATCCGACCAAAGCGCACCTCTGGGCTGTTTTTTCCATAGCTTCCAAGGATTCGGACCAGAGACGGTGGCAAAACCATAAAGCATCCTCTGGGTGTCCATTTCCACCGGCCACCTCCGGGCCCGCTTCACCAATTTCTTCAAACCCACAGGGTTGGACCCGGTGAATACCTCAAAAGCCATCCAGGTTTGAAAGAAATGGCGCGTGAATTTGCGAAAGTTCGCGAACCTCCAGTTGTCTGTTATCACAAAGGCAAAGCGTCCCAACTGGCGTTACACTCTAAGCTCCAAAAACTGAAAGCTCTGGGGCTTAGAAGGCGAGGGCTTCCCTCCCGCATCCCGAAAAACACGCCTCTCCGTGCTCTCCGCGCCAAGCGAGCGGCTGGTGCTTCCCCAGGTACGCGGGCTCGAACTCCCGGCGCAGGCGCTTCCACCGGTACCTGGCGCGGGTCGTGAAAAATCGGGACCGTGCTGCAAATGGCATGTCCACAAGGTGCGGTTTACATCCGCAAAGGAAACCCATGGGCCAAAGTTTGAATCAAAGGGGAACAAGAACAAGGCCCTTGAGGTTTCCACGAACACGTCCAATCTAAGATACCCCAGAGACTGAAGGTAGCGAGGTCGCGCATCAGCGGCATGTGTTGTTTTGTTGTGGCCAGCTCCGAGTGAGTCCCTCCTCCCCAACCGGTGCGCCGGCCTGCCACATTTCACTTCCACCGCGGCTTCTGAGGTGGTCTCATCACCTCAAGTGAGGTGAATTTTTACCCCTGACTGAGCTGATCAAAATGGAAGGTTGGCCAATCCTAATCCTTGATCCCTAGAAAGAAACCACAGCTTAAACATTGATGAATGAATAAACCCCCTGGCCTATGGCAAGCTCACCGATTCCGGGGTAGAACGAGCTCGCACCGATGTGGGGGCCCTTACTTGGGAGTCCCTTATTTTAGGCTTTCGTTTGTAAAATGTGCAGGTTTCTTCCAACCGCTACATAATAAACCCTTAATAAGGGGGGAATATCCTTCCATCAACCAATATGGCTTCAACATGGCATTTGACTCGCGGGGTCTTGAAAGTTGTTTTCTCTTCAGGGTCCTTCTGGTGGAAAGCATTCCTCAGGGTCGACTACTTGATGGTAATTCTTTCAAACCTCTAGCTGACACGCTGAGGCCCCGGCTGAGTGGAAGCTGGATGACACAGTAGCCCTCTTTGGCCAAGGCATCCACTGCACTTGCCGTAAAGCCGGCAAGGGACTCCATATTGCCTCATAGCAACAAAGCCGCATGCAGTGGCTAGCTCAGTCAAACTGTGTCAAAGAAACCAACAAACGAGATGATCAACTCATATGGAACATGAGTTGAGGGGGTTCTGGAATCAGTTTTCTTGTATGTGCTACAAACTGCAAGGGACTGAATCATCAACATAGCATTGCAGAGAACCTTCAACAAGAAATAAGTCATCATCACAATGATCATGAGAGAAACGTTGGTGTGTAACTCTTCTGCCCCCTCTGTCATTTCCTTTTGTCACGTGGGCACCTCCGGAACCTCTCTCAAGGACCTGAGCCTCAGACCCTCCGGAGGCCAGGCCACATGGAACCCCCCGCGCTCGGGGTGCGAAGGTGCAAAGTCCTCTACGAGCGCTCGCTTCGCGGGTTTCCAGGGGCGCGATTCTCAGGGAATCACCAGGGTTTGGGGAATGAACCTGGGGCTGGATTCCCCGTCGAAAAGTGCTGAAAGAGTGCTGAAAGATCGCATGAAATCCAGAGTTGGGGTTCCAGAGGTTCTCAAAAACCTGCTACGTTTTTTTTTGAAGGAGAAGCCCCACCCTGCACTGGTTCCTGAAACAGAGGGTTCTTGAATTCCCTTTCAGGGTGTCACTTCAGGACCCTCAACATAGCAACCAATGGGTATAGCATGCCAAACGGAAATGGACCCGTCCACCCATCACCTTTGAGTAAGCCTGCCTCCCATCGACAGTCCTTGAGGTTCTCCGGCTCTACTACCACCCGGAGGCCTGCGATTGCCAAAAAAGGCCCCGTGCGTATTTCCTCCGGTTTGATTCTTGGCTTTGGCTCTACAAAATAGGGCAAGTTTGCTTTGGTGTCGTTTGAAAATTTAAACCGAAAGGGAGGCGTGAGAAACACTGAGTTGTGTTCAAGGGGTTATGGGCACATACCCATCTCAAGGGGGTTGAAAGCTTGATTTGTTTACCACAAGAAGCAGGGGGGGATGATGGCTCGCCCAAGCTGCGAATTCTGATAGGGGGCCATCAAAAGTTCCGGCATCCAGCAAGAAGAAACCCAGAAATCCGATGGGCATGGGTCCACTCAAAACTTCTCGGCTTTGTGAGATACAAACAAAATATGCCGCTCCCGTGGAGCCTGGCTTTTGCGACAATGCCAGAGTCCCCTGGCCCCCAAACTGACTGATGCAGCGAACAAGTGTGTCTTTTAGAGTGCCCTTGTTTTGCCTTGGTTTGAAGGGACACCACGTGGAAAAAAATCCGGGGCCAGTTCTTGGGACCCCGAGTTCGACACATGAGGGCCTTGTCCAGTGAGGGGCCCCTTTTCCGTCCTTGAGGATGGCTTCTTCGCCGACCCCAAAAGGCACCTTCGCTTTTAAATCCACCATGCAGTCAGCGTGCCTCGGAAGGTTTCTACCACCACCTTGCCATCCTTCTGGTACTGCACCACCTGCCGGACGCAAAAAAAGGCCAGCATCTTTTTTTCGGACAATATGTGGGATACCCCGGTACAAAATGGAACTCGTAAAAAGGTCCCGAAAAGGGAGCTTGCTCTTGGTTGGTTTCGTTGTGGTTTTCCCTTGAAACAGCCCCTGCACGTGTTTCGGACATCAAGAAGGGGGCTCCCCCACCGGCAGACCCAAGGGCGGGCTTTCACGCCTGACCCTGCCAGCCGTTCGGCCGCAGGTTCTCCGTCAAGTCCTGGTCGCTGCCAGGCAGCAGCAAGTCCTGGCGCGTGATCGCACGTGATCGCACCTGTCTTTCTTTGAGGATACCCAAGGCCAAGAAGACTGCGGAAGTGTGCGCCATGCCTACATCCTTCGTGGAAGTTGGCGGTTGTGGAGCTCGAGAACCAAGAAATCACCTTGCAAATGTGGACCCGGATGGATCAACCTGGCGGATAAGAAATGGGACCTTGGGCCAAAAAGCAATGTGGATCCCCTCTTAAATGGGGTGCCCCCCCCCTCAAAATCAACCAGGGGTTGATTCATCCACTGGGCTCCCGTTCGTGCTCCATGGGCCTTCCAATGTGTGGGACCCTTCACACCAGTAATTGGAGCCCCCAGGACTAGCCAACCGGTGGACAAAGAAGGGGTGTGTTGCACTTAAGGGGAAATCTGGCAGTTTCGTGGAAACACCCCCCCTGCTCCTTGTCCAGGTTGATTCATCCGGAGTCAACTTCCAAAAGTAACCCCCGGTTCCTAATGGCATGTTTGGGGGCTCGTATCCAGCATCATTTCCTTTGCTACTTTACTACAGACTGACAGAAGATGACAGCAAATATTGACCGTTGCTCACATGGGAGAATGAGCGACCAAGGCTTTGGCGAGTCCCTTATGTGTCTCCCAACTTGAATTTCGGATACCCTCCTGTCCACTAAAATGGAACCTGACTGAGGGTCCTGGAAGACCATTCTCCTTGAGAATGGACCCAGTGGATTCCATGTTAGTGGACAGGAGTGTAATTGGAACACATAGTGCTGCTCATACGGGTCTGTCTTTTTTGGAGAGAACTTGCTTCTTGGCTTTAAAGGGAAACTCAGAGGCCCATCACCTTTTTATGGCGGGGGTCCCCCAGAAAAAGGCCACACATCCACCTCCAAGTCCAACACCCCGGCCCCGGGGACTTCGCCTTCGCCGGCACCTCCTCAGGGAGCCCATGAAGCTCGACCAGCGACGCCCCCGGGGCGCCCCTGTCAACCGTGAAGCCGAATCGGCGAATCGCGCGCGCGCTCGCGTCTGGATTTGGTGGGTTGCAACCAGAGTAAGTCACCCAAGCCCATCACGGAGCGGTGGTCTACGAGCACTATGCCCATTTATCCCTGCAATGACCAAGGTCATAGGGCATGACTTGTTTAAAAGAGCGTGGAATGTGTGAAAAACACAGACTGCCTTTTACAGTGCTGCACCGTGGCCATCTACTCGGGTGCCACAAGTAGATGGACAACCCGCTTCCATGGGAGCGGCTGAAGCGCGAAAGAGAATGGCGCGCTTCAGACGGAAAATTCTCTACAGGTCACACGTGGTCCCCCTGGCCAAACCATCGATGCCGATGTCCTGAAAATGTCATGTCCACAAGGTGCGGTTTACATCCGCAAAGGAACTTCATGGGCCAAAGCTTGAATCAAAGGGGAAAAAGACTAAGGCCCCTGAGGTTTCCACCATCACGTCCAATCTAAGGTAATTCAGAGACTGAAGGCAGCGAGGTCGCCCATCGGCGGCATGTAGTTTGCTTTTGGTGGGCAAATGGGGGGGGGGGAGGCCCACCGATTTTTGTTCGGGGAAGGTGATCAAACCAAGCGATTCCTTGTCAAAGCCGAGTGATTCCCTTGGGATTTTTTTGGGATTCCTATGCCCTGCAAGGGATCCGTGACTTTGACATCCCAAGTTTGCTTCAGCTCGGACCAAGGCAGGGCCACTGCGGGCCCCTCACAGCAACAAAAGCACCGCCCCCGCCTGGGAGCTGCCATAAGAGCGCCAAAAACGCCCGCGCGAGTCGTTCGAAAAGCACCCGCTGTGTGATGACGCTGCTACCTCAGACCTGGACTTCGGAGCGGGAAAAAAAAACGACCGACTGAAGGATTGGCAATTCCAACCAACTGGTGGCTTCGTCATGTGTTTTTTTTTTTTTTTAACACTTCAACGCCGGCTCAAGCTGAGAGAAACAGCTGCGAGGACGCGAAGCACATGGCCTCAAATCACAGGGCGAATTGTGTGTGTGTGTGTGTGTGGCCTGGTCAGAACTCGGAATCTGTGGGACATGGTTGTGGTTCCAAAATGGGAACCTTGCTTTTCTTTCCTTGGCGGGATTCAGAATGTTCATGGCCTTGCCCGGAGCAAGGACCCCCGCTCTTAGGGGCATGTTTTCCAAGTGGAAATTTGGTGAGCGTTCCCAATGTCACCCCCTGTCCGACAGAACATGACCCCACCTAAAAAACGGGCCCATCTCCCACAGCTGCATCGGTCTGACAACTCCGCCAACGACATTTGCCTCCAACTCCAAAAAACATGTGTTGGGCTACTAGACAACATTAAAGGAGATCCCTGGAATGTCTGCCCCGCCCTTATTTCACGTGACCCCACCTTGCCTTATTTGGCCATACTGTGGATGGACGAAATCCGTTCGCACCACCTAAGAATCCCTGGAATGATTCGATTCCGCTGTACACAGAGACAAAAAAAGTAGGTACAGAGACAAAAAAAGTAGGTACAAAAGTGGGTACAGACATAAATGGTATAGCATTATTAGTTTATCAATATGTTTTTACAAAAATTAAATTCAAAAACGATCTTGTTACTGAATATATTAATTCAACTTCATTATCATTATATATAGGTAAATCTGGCAATTCTATTAGACAATCAATAAAAAGAATGAAGAAAGCAAACATTATAAAAACTATTAATATTATAGATGGAAGAAAAGGATCGGCACAGTATCAAATAGATAGATGTGTTTTTATACAATTTTTAAAAAATTAAATAAAAAAAGACCCTTCTATTAATAATAGTAATAATAAGAAATTATTAGTACATACCAACACATGGTTTCATTTCGTCGTGCGAAGGAATGCGGAATCTCACTTCCTAGACCAAAACTGTTCTAACTACCGCTAAGAACCGGTCCAATCCCAAAAAAGCATAAAGTCCAGGAACTCCGAAAGTGAGTCATAATCAAACCCGGTACCAAAAAATGGTCTACCCAGAAGCATGTAAAGAATTAAGAAGGCGGCCGCAGCTATTTAAAATTGGGATCTTACTAACCTTCATCTACCCGGGTGTTGATTGTGGCTCGCGTGAGGTATTGAGTCGTTTCCCGACGGTTTTGATGCCCCAGCCTTGGGTGGGGGTCCGACCGAGGTCTCGGCAGATCTGGCGGCACCTCTTCGTCCACCTCCCCATCCTCCGCTTGAGTTGAGGTGCCCTCTTGGTGGTTTGGTCGGTTTGCAGGTCTCTGCCGGTGGTTCCTATCTTCGCCCTAGGACCAGGGGGTTCAAGTCCCAAAAAAAGCATTGGAAGAAGCAGGGTTCAAATCCCCCATGGGAAGATTGGAGATGCTAGGAATGCTGTCAAGCAAATCCTGTCAACAGGATTGGATATTCATTCAAACCTTCTTCCAAGCCTCTGTCCTGTGTCACCAAACATCGGGTTCGGAACTGCCTGGATACGGGGGAACAAAACAATGCAAGTGAACCAACGACACCCGGCGTTTGCCGCGGTTTGCATATCACCGCCGTTCCCTTTCTGCAAGAGCATCTGGAAACCATGTTGGTTGGCAATAGATGGGTCAGGCTGGAAAAAGGGGCAATGGCATGGTGCGCCCCCCAGTTGCCCCTAGCAAAAGGAAGGGAAGTCGATTCCATGTTTAGTGGGGAGCCCAGACAAAATACGCAAAAAGGATGCCACTGAACAGGCTTGTGTGTTTGTGCAAACAGCAAGTCAGCCAATATCCCAATACAAAGCTGTCCACCCGAAACCATGCGAGGAATTGCAAAGGCGGCCGCACGTATTTTGCGGTTGTGAGGCGCTTCTTACCCTGGTTTTGTTGTGACTCAAGTTGCGGCTTGCGGATGCAGAATCCGTCCTCTGCAAACCAAATCAGCTCTTCATCGTCCTTGCAAGATCGCTGGATTGACCCACTTGCAGGCTTCATCGAAAAAAGTCGTCACTGTTGACTTGCCACTCGAGGTAATACGAGGGCCAAATATTTACACACGTGTGTCTCTTATGATCATGACCTAGCTTCTGTTCAACCGTGCACGTTCCTTGACCTTTCCACTGAGTCGACTTGACGCTTGCTGCCTCGGCTCCTGCTTGACCCGCTAGCCTCAGATGTGGCTGTCTCCAAGCAAGCAGCCAAGCACAACAAAGCCATCCGGGGGGTCTGGGGGTTGCCAAGAAAAAGGAGCCCGCTTTCAGACTAGTCTGTGTGGGCTGAACAAAAAAAAAGTCGCAAGCTCCCCAAACAAGGGGAAAACGACAGGTGAATCCAACCTAGGTCGGGCGCAACTATCACAAGACAGCTTGGGGTCTGGTCTGTGGATTTGCAAATCTTCAATATCCAACCAACATGGAACCTGAAAGAGCCTGGCCCTGGAGGAAGATGGGTGTGGCTCAAAATTAACGAGCCAGGGTTACGCAGGTTTTAGTCTTTGGTTCCACATCACCCAGGTGTCATTTGCTACCATTTTTTTGGGCCACAGCCATATGTTCCAAACCAACGCAGGCATCCGAGGACGCCGCCGGCGCACGAACCTGCGGCACTTTCGGCCACAGGACTCCGCGAGCATTGGCCTGAGCCGAGCGAGAAAAACTCGGAGCGAGATCCATGGCAGCCCCAAACCCGGAATATTGAGGGCAAACGGATGCGGCCGAGGGTACACTGGAATGGCCCGGGCAAATGTGTGCGAACCCGGAAAAGCTTTGCGAATGTGTGCGTGTGTGAATGTTTGCGAAGGCACATCAGGAATTGCAAAAAAGAAGCCAGCCGAGGTTGGGCGAACCTTGCAATCAGCACTGGCCAGCCCAACCCGGCCGCCCAAAAAGCCATCCGTGAGAAGTCTGAGAGGTCAACACAAGCAGCCGTCGATGCAGCTGTGCCTCACAACCAGGTCACGTCTGCATGCCATGTTCTCCAACATAGAACCAAACCAAGGGTTTACCCTCCGAGCATCAGTGTAGACATCTGCGTGCGGGTGTCCCTGAGCTTCCCCCAAAAGGGGGCAGCTTGGTTTGTTGTGGCCGGACAACTAGCTTTAGCGCGGCCTCCTGCAGTAGCTCTGTGAGGCTGATCACCACGTAGGGAGAAAGAACCTTCGGCGATGCGCGGCCCCACCCCGGGGTGGGAAGTGTTGCGAAGTATCAAAGAGCATGGGCAAGGAAACCAGCTAGAAAGGAGAAAAGCCCGTTGACTGGTTGGGTTACAACCGCCTTTTGTAAGAAATTCCACTCAGAATGAATCATGTGAGTTGGTCATAGCCTCGGCTGTGACATGCTCGTGTTTTTTCCAGGCCCAGTGGGTTACCTGATACTGAGAACTGGGACCCTGGAGACCAAAACATAATTTTTAATAAAGGCCACCCCTGTCCCGATTGGTTCCTCCGAATCCCTGCTAATTGCTTGCCCGCTTTCCACAGTGGAACTTAACATTTTGGGGCTTCCCCAAACCAAAAATGAGGAGCAGTCTTCCAAATGGTCAGCTTTCAAACCTTCCTCTCTCGTCAGCTTTGGATGATTGGAGGGAAAGAATGGGTATGTGTCAAACCTCCAACATTGCAGGTTATTCCTTGCCCCTGGCAACGAGTACCCGCAAAAAACAAAGTTGCCCACCCCTATTTCCCGTGATCCGGGGCGGTCCCCTCCTTGCCATCGCGGAGCTCGGGGCAGACTGAGGCGCCCCGCAGCGCAGGAGGAGATGTGGAAACACATCGCGGCCATGGGCGCGGCAAAGGGCGCCTCGCTTCGGCGCGCCGCTTCTTTTCGCGCTTCGGGGCTTCGGGGCCGAAGGGGAGAAGGGCCCACCTTCTGGGCGCCGGGTGACGAATTGATCCCCGTGACCTCAACCTTTTTAGTGGAATATGGACACAAAGTCCAACTCTATTTTTGTTTTGTTGTTTTTTAAGTCGTAAAGCCCATCCAAAAGGTATGGCTGGGAACCGCCAAGTGGAAATAGACCATGCTGGATGTGCAGAATGCCCCTTCAGAATGCCCCTACATGCTGGTTTCAATCATCATGCACTGCGTCTTCGAGGAGGAATCCAAAGCAACTCCTCCACCCCCCCCACCCCCCCACCCACCCCCAATGAATGTCTCTCCTGTTGTTGGGATTGGTTTGCGCTTGGGAAGGGTTCCAAAGAGGACTGGCAAATGCAGGTGTCAAAGTTTGGACCACTCCCGGGGGCTGGGGAGTCCGATGGTCCGATCCCTAGGATCACTCCATGGTTGGTTCGGGGTTGCCACTCAGTCAGCTTTTGTACTTTCCATACACGTTGCTTGCTCCATTCCGAAGGTTCAGGTCGAGCGTTCCGAGTTGTACCCCCAAATGGCTGCATCTCGGGATTTTTGCCGCAGGCCCTGAACTTGCCTCAAACATCTGGGCGATGCCTTTCCTTGAGGGTACCCTTTTTGGGATTCAGAGGGAAACCAAAAGGAACTCCACTTTTCCAGGAGTGCCTCGCAAGGAAAATGAGATGGACAATTCCCAGATCAGGTCTTCCCCGCAACCTTCCCCAAGCCTCCCGCTGTTGAAACCCTGTTGGTACATTGGTGCAAGTTGACACCAGTTCCCACCGAGCGCAAATGTCCTAGCTTCCCCAGGTGGCCGAGCCGGCAATGCGGTCACGGGCCAACCCCCCATCTCTGCTTGAAGTGCCAGGATACTCAGCAAGTTGTTCGCAGCCATTGCTCTTGCTCGCTCATTTTAAAGGGATTCCTCGGATTCGTAGGGTCCTCCGACCCGAAAGCCACTTTTTTGTGTATTTCGGCTGATATGAAAGGGACCATTATTGCTGTTGAGGAAAAACTGGGTTCCCCATAAATCCCTTAAACCATCACCCTTTCCAAGGGAAACTCACATGTGGGCACGAAGAAGATATGGGTATGTGCGGTATGTGTCAAAGATGGGGAGACCCCCAAAACTGGTGTCTTTCCTTCAGAGTTTAAACCAACCCGAAAAGGGCACACCGACACCACTGCTTTGGAAGGCCGCACGCTGGGCCCACTGCTGTCCGCTCCATCACTGCCCAGGAGTGGGGAGGCACCTCGTCGCCGCGCTGGGGGTCCCTCAAAAAAGGGGTAAGACTAACATGGAAGCTCCCAGGACCCCTTTAGAAGACTTGGTCCCATTTGCAGAAGCCTTCTGGGACCTTCCATGTTAGGCTGAGGGAGTGTAACTGCAAAATGTGCAGATAGAACGCACCAACAGGTCCCTTGTCGAGGAAAAATCCGTGGATCCATGCATCCCTGCCGTCACACCCTCACCAGGTAACACGGATCCATCGCTGGAGAACAGAACCAGAACAAACAAGCTGCTGCTTTTCCGCGCAACCCACGAAACCATCCACTGGCCAAGCTCCAAGTCCACGCTTCTGCGCTTCGGGTTTCGGCGCCCCACGGCCCCACGTCCCGCGATTTTCGAGCCCCCAGCCGGCAGCAAAGAGGTGATGCCGGAGGCCAGGCCGTGCAGCACCTGCCATCAACTCAGAACTCGGGGCTCCGAGTTCTTTTGGGTTGCAAAAGGCGCCCTTCTCTAGTCGCAAGGGAAGCCAAAAGGGAAAATGCATTTTGAGAATCCCGTTCTCAGACTCGTTCTCAAAATGGCCTTTCAACTTTGTTCGCGAAAAGAACAACCCCGGTCACGCTCAAAGGCTAGTTTTTGCACGGACCCAACCAAGCCTACTTCAACTTCAGGAGGCAGGCTACTCAGCAAGTGGTGAGTAACTCTGCATTTAGTTTACCCCTGCTGCACCGGATTAATACACCCCAGTATATTAATAAGGGCACCCCTATTTATTTATAAATCAACTACCTAAAAATGGGTAGCTTCCCTGTTGGTCGACTCTTTTGAACGAGGTTGCCTTTATTTAATTAATAAGGGGGCTCCCCTCCAACAGTGGTCTGATTGCCCACATTTCACCCAGGGAAAAGCACCCCCCTATGTATAAACTGGTTGGTTGATCAAAAACGGCGATGACTCCCCGCATTTCACCCAGCGAAAAAGCACCCCCTTTGTTAAAACAAACTGGCTTGTTGCTCAAAAACGGCGATGACTCCCCGCATTTCACCCAGCGCAAAGCACCCCCTTTGTAAGAAAAAACTGGCTGGTTGCCCTTTGTTTTTAAAAAAAATGGCTGGAACGGCGATGACTCCCCGCATTTCACCCAGCGCAAAGCACCCCCTCTGTATAAACTGGTTGGTTGCTCAAAAACGGCGATGACTCCCCGCATTTCACCCAGCGCAAAGCACCTTTGTATAAACTGGTTGGTTGGTGAATCTGGGTTCAACCACTTACCGCCGGCCTCAACGACTCCTCCCCCTCGCCAGCCCTCGCAGCCGCCAAATCCACCCGTGCGACTCTCGGGCGCCTGCCGCACCTCCACGGCGAGGCGGCCGATGCACACGCCGCTCAGCGCGCCGAGCCTGGGACGCGCGAAACGCGGGGGTTGGTTCTTCTCACCTCGCGCTCGGTGCGATAGATGCAGGGAGTGAGGCTAGGTCCTCCAGTAGAGAGGTTAGAATGAGGGTGCCCTTTTTCTGTAGCCTATTTTAGTATGGGAACCCTCCCAAAAAAATGGTAAAAGGGCACTTCTGGGAGGGAATGACCCCTATGAACCATCCCAGACCCCCAGAGGTGCACATGTTTATCATCTTCTTGCGATCGGTGCGAGAGTTGCAGGGAGTGAGAAATGGAGTCCCCCAAGAAAACCGTTCCAGATTTGGCTTCCTTTGAGGGAATCCCCAGGTGCAGTCCATTTCTCATCCCGTTTCTCGCATAAGCAAGCTCAGTAGGGGGTTTTAGTTGGAATGGCCCAAACACGAACCGTCCAACTGATGTGGCTTCCTGCAAGATCCCCATAGTTCTTCCCACAAAGTCGACATAAGGCCGAAGGGGTGCCAGAAATGTTTCCCCCAACCAGAGTCCTCTCCAAAACGGGGGGTTGATTGATCCTTCAGTTCCATCAGCGTGGGAAGCCCAAGGCAGCCCCCCAGGAAAGGATCGAAGGGAACTCTCAGCAAGGTTCCTCCAACCTTTCTCGGGAACGGCACGTAGTCTCTCTCCTGAACGAAAAGAAACATGACAAATGTTCCCAGCAAGTTTAGCTGGTCGCAGAGGGTCACTTTGACCAACCCAGTTCGGTCAACCTGATAAGTAAGCCCAGTGGATGGGGGGGGTGATTGAACTTCCTGCTCCCGAACATGGAGGATCCCCCCTCAGACCCCCAAGAATCAACCAGGCACTCTTTGATCCGTTGGGGATACATCTGGGTGACTGGGTCTGGCAGGCCAGCCTCAAGTGATCTCCTGCTCAGGATTTTTTGTTGAGAGCACCATGTTTGGGTTGGTGTTAAGGGAAATGGACAAGTCGGGCGTGCGTGGGGATCATCTATTTTGAGACAAATCCGAGTCTCGTGGTTTCTCAATACGACACCAACCTCAAGGAACCTTCAGGAGGTCTGACACACATACCCCTTTTCAAAGTAAATTGCCCGGATACCTTCCAATATCGCAAACGGGTCCACGCCCTCTGAGTATGTCGTTCTTTGAGTTGGTGGGGGGTCGTTTTTACCAAAACGAAATCACCCATGGGAGTCCACCAATTTGGGACAAACCCATCCCTTTGAAGAGTTCCTGAGGCGGAGGCAAGTTCAACTCCATGCCGTGGATGGTCCATGGGCTAAGCCTGCCAGCCAATGCAAGACCGCTTAAAAGTCACAAGCGACTTCTTCGCACATGCTATGTTGGGGGATTCTCAAAATGGTGGACCCCTTTTTGGAGGGCTTTAAAGGGAAACAAAAAAAAGGGGCAAGCCATAAAAAGAGAATCCCCTATATTGAGAACCTCCATGTGCCCATTTGCGAAGGCTCCAAATGGAACCGGCGCAACTCGAGGCTCTGAGCCCCTCGCATCTCATCTGGCTCGGGTCGATACCTCGCACATGCGTCGAGAAGGGGATCTTTGACCAGGTACCCCAGATGCCTTCGGTTGGGCGAAAGACATGCGCAAAAATCCAGATGAAGACGCCCCTTTGAAGGTTCAAAACCAGAAGCCTGGAAGCTCATGCCTTTTTCGTTCCGGGTTGTCCTTCCAGCCTTTGTGGCAAAAAAATCCTCCCCAATCAACAGAAGACACATACTAAAAATGCCAGTGACTCTCCAAGTAAAAGACACAATCTCCACGGTTTTACCCGCCCGGCTTGCCATGACTCATATGTGTCATGGTCAAACAAAATCCTGCTGTGGGTCATGGTCATGGTTCCATTCAGAAGAACCCTTACGCTGGTTGTCTGAAATCTTTACCACAGCGTCCGTGACAATCCCTGCCAACCCAAGTAAACGAGTCTTTCGATCATGGCACATCTGCGCAACCGCATCAAGGCCAGGGCTGAACCCAGCGGAAGGGTGGCAAGGACAGCCGGTTGGCAACCTCAGCATTCCGGTTGCGCATTCGGCGAACGCGCCCCAGCACGACGAGATACTTTTGGGTTACAAGGGGATCACCCAACCACGAGACGCTGCTTTAGAGGTGGGGCACGCAAAGGGCCTGGAAATAGAAGATGAACCTTTTGGGACCTAAAAATCCAAAAACAAACACTGGGTGTCATTTCTTGAGTACCCCAACATAGACTTAAACCCAGGGCTTCCTCTTGGGGACATCAACCACTCCTGGGTTTGAGTGGAACCCTTCTTGGCAATGTTGTGTATCGCTCGGCGTCACTGTGTGGGCTGGTTTTGTCCCGCAAGTGAGTAAGTGAAGAATGTGGCTCGAGTAGATGGGCCAAAAAACGTAAGCACGCTGGTTTGCCACTAGAATGGTCTTGCCTGCCGAGGGCAAACTCCCGCAGGCTTCCAGTGCGGGATTGTATCTACAAGGATTAGCAAGCCTCCAAATTTCCCACACAACCAGCCTTGTCCTTTTCAAATGAGAAGTTGAGGGGAGCCGATCGTTGAGCCCTGCCAAGAACAGTGCTGCAACTCTGGAAAGTCCAGGATCGCAGCGTATCTCGAATGGGAACGCAAAAATCTTCGGTCTGGAGGTCCCACTTCCCATTCAAGTTGATAAAAGGAAACTCTCAGCTGTGGCATTGGAATGCTCGACATCAAACCGCGGAATTGCGGTTTAATCAATTGAGTCGATTGACATCAACAGCTGACATTGCCTCAAGCTCATGCAGTCGATCGTTTTGAACTGGGTCCACTCCAACATGTTGAGGGCCTCTCGCCCAAAAAACGTGGGGACCCGGCTGCGTGAATTCCAACTTTGAGGCGTCCCAATAGTAATAATAATAATAATAATAATACTAATAATAATAATAATAAATATAAATATTAAAAAAAGCCTCCTGGGCGCCTTTCTGCCTGCGCCGCTTCCAATGCGCTTCTGGTTTTTTCCTCGCAGAAGCGGAGGCGATTTCCGGGCTCGCAGTCCTCGGCATCGAAGAACTTCCGGCCCTGGCCAGGAGCAAAGCTTTTCGGTTTTTGAAACCCAACAAGGGACTCTTGGCGTTCCCTTTTTGGTCAAACAAAGGGGGGCTCCCTAGAAGTGAATCCAGGCTGCTGTTGGGCGGGTTTAGTCTTGATTTTGAGTGGGTGTGGGTTGGCTTGGAGCTGATTTGTGTTGGGTGGTTACTTTGGGTGTGGTGAAGTGAGTTTTGGTCTCGTTTACAATTGGAGCGTTGCCCCCAACCACCCAAACCAGCAGCAGCACTGCTAATACAAATCAGCTCCAAGCCAACCCAAACCCACTCAAAGTCAAGCCTAAACCCGCCCAACAGCAGCCTGGATGTCAGCCCTTCGCTTCGCCAGCATCAACCCCAAACGACCCCAAGACTCACCCGAGCAACTCCCAACTGCCACCCAATCAACCCCAGGTCCAAGTGATGCTGGTGACGCTGGGGATGTTGCCAGCCCTGCAGAAAACCAGTTCGAGGAAAACGCCAAGCTCTAGGGGAAAAAACACTGTTACATCATAGCACTCATACTCTCCCTGCCGGAGAGAATTATGTGCTGAAGGCCAAACGGACCGCGATCATGCTCTCCCTGCCTGATAACTCATTATGTGCTGAAGGCCAACGGAAGGCAATCATGGGGCTGATACACTCCCTGGCCTGGTGATTCATTATGTGAGGCCAACCGGACCTAGCAAAAACGGACCGTTTCCTCTTGGGATGTTTGTCGTTGACAGAATATACAGACATAGGGACCCCGGTTGTCCTTCTTGGTCCCAATGTTTGCCAAAAAGGAATTGTTTGCGGGAAACAACATGCTGCCACCTGGAAAGGTGTTCTTGCCACCCTCATGAAGATCTAAAGCCCCCCTAACTTAAACCAGCCACCCAATCAGAGCCAATAGGCAACCCCAGCGCCACGTAAGGCAGATGATGCCGAGGATGCGGCCAGCCAACCAACCAACCAACCAGCCCTGGTTTTGAAAAAACAGCTCTGGGAACAAGCCCCAGCCAAAAAAAACGCCCCAGAAAAAAAAGACCGGATAGTAAAAACACTATCTCCAAAAAGGAAACCCGATGTTCAAAACCACCAAACTTGGGAAATTCGGGGAACTCTTTTCTGGATGCTTGAAGGAAACCGAAAGGAACTCCTTTTCGTGTTTGTTGTTTTTGGGTATCCAAAACTGGGGGACCCCATTTTCTTGGGGAAACCAAAAGGAAACCACTTCTAGGAGTGAACTGGATTGGTTGACCTCCTGCAAGCACCCATGAGTTGAAACAGTGCGGAAAAGAAGGCCGGAGATCCCAGTTGGAAATCAACATCTTGCGGGGTAACATCAGACCCTTTGGTTCCCTTGAAAGCGGTTTCCGCTTCAACTCGCTTTGCGCGGTCCGAATATGCGGATACGCCTAGGACATGGTTCCCTGGTTGTCGTTGAACCCCTCCATTGTCAATAGATGAAGGCAACTTTGAGCGAACCCTGCTGACCATAGAGTTGCCCTCCGGACCCCAATGATGTTGGGATCTTACACAAACTGTCTCTCTCAGGGCTTGGCAGTTGAGGCCCAGGCAAGATTATGTGATTCCCCTGGTTGGCACGAGCCTGATTTTTGTGGGGCCCCCCTTCTCGTCCTTCCAAACCAACAGTAGCCCAAAAAAAAAAACATGTTGTCCGAAACCCGAAAGATTGGACGACCATCGAGAGACCCGCCTGCAGCTCTTCTGGCAGATAGCCCTGTGGGCAGCCCCTCGTGTAGCCCCCGGAGGGGTTGTAGAAGTAGCCCTCCCCGTAGCCCAGGCTCCTACGGCGACCCCGAACGGTCGGTCCGGTTTCGCGCGTCCTTCGGGCAGTTCTTCGAGCCTTGCCGCATCCAAGGCATGCAAGGACTGCCAAAAGAGATATCATTTCTTCCTTGGTTAAAGGGTGACATCAAGGAAAAAAAAGACATATCCACTCTCCACCAATTGTAGATGGGTAACAAGACAATGTGCAACAAGATATCGTTTCAGGTCGCTCAGACGTGACATGAGTGGCCTTTACAAAGAGTGCCCTTGTCCCTTGCGACGATACGTGCAAAAGGAGCCGACCGAATTGGCAGTTTTGACCTGGACGGTCCAGCTCGACAGCTAAGAGCAGAGGGAAACACTGAACAAGTTGTTATCTACATATGCGTATGTGTGTATACATATACATATACATATCTATATATAATATATGTATGTCGATACATGCCAAATATGTATGTTCGTGTGATGGGATATATGAGGGAGTATCGCCTCAGGAGTCATGTCAATTTTCCAGCACCCGTCCTCATCATTTTGGTGGGTGCATTGCGGATGTGCAGCGGCACTGCCGCATGGGGCTCGTCGATGCAAACCTTCCGGGCAGCTTCGTAGGCCTTGCGAGGCAGGGCTCCAGGCCGGAGGATGGTTCAACTACTTGCAGGTGCGAGAGGTAGGGAATGAGAAATGGAATGAACCGGACGGGGATTCCCTTGAAGGAAACCAAATGAGGGCTGGTTTTCTTGCGGTCATTCCCACTCATTCCCTGCTGAGCACCAGCAAGACTAGCATGGTGATAAAGGTTCATGGTGGCGATTCCACTGGGTAGTACTTTCTTTTTGCACACTGCTCATGCAGTTCTAAGTTTGAATTTGTCACCCTGTGGCGCACATCCGTTACATTGAGGATGGGTGTCCACCCATGTAACAATGTAGGTGTCTCATTTTTCCGGATACCCTGATTTGGTCCGATACTGCCCTAAGGAAAACTAAAGCGAAAACAGCCACCCGTTGTGTGGGCTTCCGAAGCCATTTTGGGACAAACTCGAATGTTTCCTCGAGAGCCCCCAAAGCTTTGGGGCAGGGAGCATGGAACCTCTTTTGGAAGGGAGTGTTTCAACAGATTTTTGGAATGCTCAAAAGGGGTATAATTGCTCAGCAGCCAGAACATGCACAGTCAAAAAAAGAGGTATCCGAGCTGAGTTGATGTAACAACAACACACATTCTTCCATGTAGCAAGCGTTTCAGCAACCGGCTGTTTCAGAAACCAGACTGTCACATTTGTGATACCAAAGTGGTTGACTACCACCGTCTCACGGGGATTCCCTTAGTACAGAAACTGGAAATCCCCTAATCCCACCCCACCCCACCCCAACTTTCCAAGTGGAAGGGGATTTCGGAGGATGTCGGGCTGGCTTCCTTTTGGCTTCCTTTGCAGCCAGCCTTCAAAAACAGACCTGTCACCACCAATTGGGGAAAACCTCTCGCCTCCCCTACATGCCCACCTCTCGCTCCCCAAAAAAAAGTGTGCCACGCGCCTTGTACACCGCACAGCTCTTCGGCGCCAGCGCCAGGTACACCACCAGCTGGGCGATGACCACTCCCGCCTTTTCGGACTGGATGGGGTAGGGGCTCAGGGCTGTTTAGCCAGTGATCCAAGCAGAACCACTGCAAAAATCGCCCCAAATGTTGCGAAAGTGTGAGATGACGCCTCTTCCGAGCAGGGTTGGTTGCAAAATGCGAGAACCAACCTCTGCTTGTCCTCCTGCCATATCCAATGATGAGGTTGCTTCTTTTGAATGCAGCCCGCGTCGAGAATTGGTTCACGGGCCGACGATTGTCGGTAGGGGCACCCGGGGGAGGGACTTGGCCTCCCCCCTTTAGCCCTGTTGGGCGGGTAGACCACCCCCGTGACTGTTCGTTCTGTTCCTTTCGGTTTTGTGTTTTCTCATGCTGATAGGGCGCACCCTGTTGCGGCCTGCGTGCTTGGCACAAACGCGTGCCTTTGGGAACTCCACGCGGAAAGCAACCAGAAGATGCCGGGAGGGAAGCAAGGGTCAGGCCCCTTGCTGCGGGTCGCTCCCCCTCTCTCTTGCTCTCTTTTTGAGGCTACCCGTTTGGGGGTTGGTTCGGGGGGTGTCCACATCCCTATTCTGATGGGCCATACCCATTTGAGTTGGTCTACCTGGTGTCATGGGGTTAAAGGGAAACGACCAGGAAAACCGGAATTCCAGACTTTCCCAATCCTATTTTGACGAGCCGAAACTATTTGGATTTTTGTCTTGAGATTCGGGAACCCCCCCCCCCATGCATGGACGCCTAGTCGCTTTTGCAGCGAACCCGAAAAACCAATCCCCCAAATCAAGGTTGCAAAACAGACCCCAAAGTGCCCATACGGAACCTCCCCGCTCCCCCCAAAACTAGTTGCTGCGTTCCTTAATCCCCCCCAAAAAGAACTTACATGTCTATCTTCTATACTGTGCGAATTCAAATCATTCATCAAATCTGTTGAATACGCAACATATCTCAATCAAAACAAACTATGAAATATTAACCCCCTCCCCCCCTCCCCCCACCCCCCCCCCCAAACTATAGACCCTAAGTGTCCACACGGCACCTCCCCCACCCAGTGGGTCCCCGTCCCAGACTCGGCTCCTCCGGCATGCCGATGGCATGGGTGGCCTGGTCCGCGGCCACAGCTTGCAGGAGGGCCGAGGGGTCGGCCAGCCTCGAAGGGAGTTGGTACCCCGTCTTTGTGGTGGGAACCCAAGTAAAAAGACGCCATTCGTCTATGTGTTGTGCTTAGTTGTTCTTTCTCTCTTCTTTTTGGGGGGGAGGCCGCGGGGGCCCATAAAAAGAGACAGACCCTAATATCAACAAAAAGAACAATTTGGGAGGGAAAGCCCCTTCAAAACCAAAAAGAAAGTGTTTGCTTCCAGGCTCGGCACCCTTGTAACCTTGGTTTAACGGGAACCCCGCCAAATTGACAGGACCCTCTCTACCCAGCGAAACCAAACTTATCATCAACTCTAACGAACTCAAAAACACGCAAAAGGCCAAACCCCACCCTAAACCAGCCCTAAAACCTACCACGTACGTGCGCACACACAGACAGACGTGCTTGCTCCCAAGTGTTCAGCAGGGCCCCCAACCATGCAAACAAAAAACAGTGTATTTTGCCAGCACGCCAAGCTCGCTGCGACGTGTGTGAGCACAAACAGCAAAGTCATTCAGGGACAACACTTGAAGGCGGATACCATGCAGAGCAAACTGCGACTTTGACGGAGCCGTCCACACAGCATAAACAACATGAAGCTAGTGCATGCCTCAGGGCAGCAACGGCTTGTAATCCTTGGCATCTGAATGGGAACAGAATCTGCACATATCCAGTATTGGCTACGACGACCACACCTCTCATCAGTCGAAGACATCATGAGAGGACATTCGCGGGCGCTTGCGGCATCTCCGACGCCCGGCTGGGAAATCAACGCAGGCACTCATTTTGCTTTTGTGGGTATGAGGGATGACCGCGTGACTTTCAGGGAGGAGAGCAAACACCACTGGCGTGAGTGTATCTCTTTCAAACAGAGCCTCGAACGGCTCACAGCAAAAAAAGAGTGATCACCGCGCGGAGTCTGGCCTGGCCAGCAAGATAGAATGTGTCTGGCAGCGGCCGTCTCAAGCTGCAAAGTGCCACACCGTTCTGGGAATGCCCAGATGGGTGTCAAAGCACTCTGCGCTGCGGTCAAGGCAACATTCTCATGATGCCATCTGCTGCAAACCTCATAACCGAGCAGCCAATGTCAAGCCAAAAAGGCAAAGAACAAACCGGAACTGAGCGCGAGAGCGCTGAGATGTGCCTCAGCCAGTTGCTCTGGCAGGCTCCGCAAAGTCCAGCTTCGTCACGCAGGGACTTGCCAGCTCGGTGTTCATCACTTGCTAAGCTGCACCGGCCCAACGGCTGCAACGGCTGCAACGGCTCCAACGGCTCCAACGGCTCTGCGCCTTGCTCAACTCCAGGAAGCACCCTCCTCATGATGCCATCTACTGCCATTCCTGGAAGCCATCACAAGCCTTGTTCCAAGCGGCCAGTGCCAGGGCAAAAAGCCATGGAAGAGCAGGCATCAAACGCAAAAGGTGTGAGCACACGCGCAAGCCAGCCGCACTGCTGGTCGCAGTACTGCGTCCAACACCCGCAGTCTCAAGCTGCAACTTGCCGCAACATTCTGGGCACGGCCAAACTAGATCGGCCCGACGTCTCCAACAGCCCCATGCTTTGCTCAACTCAAGGCAACATCATCCTTGTGACGCAATCATCGATTGCGAGGCCAACACAAACTTTGTTCCAAGCAGCCAATGCCAAGGCAAAAAGCCCGGGAAGAACATGCTGGGACGCTCAACGCGAGCACTGAGATGAGCCTCAGCCTTGCAAGTTGTTGCCTAGCAGGCTCCACAAAGTGGAACCTCGCAAAGCTCTAGCTACAGTAGCTACAGCCAGATTGGTTGGCGTCAACACCACTTGCTGATGGAAGAGTCACTGCACAGCACTGCCATCTAAGCAACGCCTGCGCCCGGTCAATTTAATATCAGCCTAACCCTGTTGATTACAATGCTTACCGAAGGTGCGACCTGCCAGCCACATGCGTGCGAGCCCAGCCACCAAGGCACATGCTAGACCAAGACTGCGTCAAACAATTGAACCCCGCGGCGCGCAAGCCTCGAAAGTGTATGGGCTGGAAAGTAACGACGCCAGCGTACGGCAATGAAGCAGACTCAAGCGGCGTGAGTACCTGCGCAAGCAAGTGCGCGGCTATTTGCGTCTGCCAATCACAGCAGTCTGGAGTGCAACTTGCCACGAAGCTCAGACCACGCCCAAGCCAAGCACGCCGCGCTTTACGCTCCAAGTCATGCCATCTGCTGCTACTCCTGGAAGCCAACATAAACCTCGTTCCAAGCGGGCAATGTTAAGGCAAAAAGCTGTGCAAGAACAAACCGGAATGCTCCAGTACGTGAGGGCCGAAATGAGCCTCAGCGAAAGCTGCTTGGCTGACATGCTCCGCAAAGCCTAGCTTCAGTATCGCGCGGCAGGGACTTCACAAGGAACCACAGCCAGGTGGGTTGGCTTCACTTCCATCCGAGCAGGGCCTGTGCCCTGTCAATTCAACCCGAGGCCTGGCTGTTGATTACAAATATTGCCAAACGCGCAACCTCTTGCCAGCTACATTGATGCCAGTCCCTCCACAAAAGCTAATGCTGGAGCAAGACTGCATCATGCACATGAACCCCAGCGCGCCAGACTTGAAAGCGTATGAGCTAGAACGTAACGATGCTGGAGGCATCAAGTGCGAAACTGTGAGCACATGCGCAAGCCAGCAGCACTGCGGCCAGCAGCACTGCGTCTGCCGTCTGCCAGCCGCAGCAGTCTCAGGCCGCAATGCGCCGCAAAGTTTTGGGCAGGGCCACACTGGATCGGTCCAACGGCTGCAACGGAGCTGTGATTTGCTCAACTCAAGGCAACATCCTCCTCGTGATGACATTTACCGCTACTCCTGGAAGCCAAGAGAAACCTCATGCCAAGTAGCCAATATTGCGGCAGAAAGGTCTGGAAAAGCACGCTAGATGCTGAAGCGCGCCAGCACTGAAATGAGTCTCAGCCTAGCAATCTGTTTGGCTGGCAGGCTCCACAAATCTTTCATGCTGGAACTTCACAAGGTACCACATGGCGCCGCTCGTGTCAAGCATGCCTCCTGCGCAGCATTTCTGACTCGACTTGTTGATTCGAAGCTTACCACAAGCGCAACCTCTTGCGAGCTACCTCGACGCGCCAGCCGCTGAAGCAAAGGCAAGAAGCCAGACAAATAACATCCACGTGGCACGACTTGAAAGCAAATGCGCTGGAAAAATATGCTGCTAGCGGTGCTGCAAGGCAAGGCATCAAGCGCAAAACTGTGAGCGCATGTGCAACACAGCAGCACTGCGTCCGCTAACCACTGCAGCTTTCTCAAGCCGCAACTTGCCACAAGTTGCTGGACATGGCCAAGTCGGATCGGTCCAACGGCTCCCACGGCCCGGTCCTTTGCTCAACTCAAGGCGGCGTCATGCGACGTCCTTAAAGCCATCTACTGCAAACATCATTCCAGGCAGTCAATGGCAAGGCAAAATATGGAGAATTTTACTGGGATGGTCAAGTGCGCGAGCGCTGAGATGACCCTCAGCCTTGAAGCTGCTTGGCTGGCAGGCTCCACAAAGCTTCGCTTCAACATCGTCCAACTGGGACTTCAAGGTCGGGCTCTACAAAACTTGCTGATCAAAGCGTCATTGCAAAGCACCGCGCCATTCTAACAGCGTCTGCGTCCCGTCAATTTCAGCCAGGGCCTGGTTGCTGACTAAGCAGTTTCCCAAAAGCTGGTTCCAAGCGCTCTGCGCTTTTGTCGAGTCAAGGAAACATGACACTCCTTGTGATAGAAAAACTGACTGGCGCTCAAGTGCGTGAGCGCTGAAATGAGCCGCGCTGCCAGCGCTGCAAGGCTGCAGCCTCAAGAGGCGTGAGCACATGCGCATGCCAGAAATGTTGCACCTGCCAACCACAGCAGAAATGCGAAGTTGAAAGGACACGACCTACACGGCAAGCGTCAGGGCAAACCCCCACCCGCACTAGTCGTCTTCGAGCATACCCGTGAGCTTACTCTTTATTTCTAGTAGGACCGTTCTACAGACAATGGAAGCTTCTGCTGCGCCTGCGGGTGATCTAGACGACAATCATCTATCATGATGCTAGCTCGAATGAAGGTCATTCGTTTCTCTGATCAACCCGTGACGCTGCCAGCCCGCCGGCGCTTACTGACGCGCTGAAAGGCATGCTCAAGGTCGTAGGATGCTGCTGCCAGAGGGAACCTCTTTTTCCAAAGAAACGGTTGTGAAGTCCGACTCAAGATCGTCACTGAGTGACGGCAGATTTACTCCTGCCACTGCACCAAGTGAATGTTCGGCACACCTAGTTGCTTGCAACCCAGGCGCCGGGCAAGCATGTCCTGAAGCTATACAAATGTGCTTATTGTGCAATCATAGAAAAGGTTTGGCTGCACTGTGGCTCGTTGGGCCTCAAGGCATAGCATGTCTGAACGGCAAAGGCTAATACCCTTCATCGGCTCGAGCCAAACCTCTCAATCAAAGATCGTGTTGTGTTTCTCTATTTTGTTTGCACTGCTAAACTTGGCACTTCTCGCACATGTTGAGGGAACTGTTGCCGTTGCCGCGTTGCCTTCTTGTTGCCTACCAAAAAAAATAACTGGCCTCTCAACCTCAGCACGGCACGCAAAGCTCGAATCCCAATTTTTGGAGGGCGTTGCGAGCCTGGCAACCAGTCTGAGCTACCACTAACAGTTGCAAAAACTCCTGTCCACGTTAAAAATATAGATTCAAGCGTTACCTGCTAGGGACCCAGGTAACCAAGTGACCGTTAAGTGGGAGCGCTCAGCAGCTGAACCATTTTGAGCCTCCATACTGCAATGCAGCCACATGATGTTAAACATGAACAATACCCCTTGCAATTCAACACCCCCTCTGCGTTCAAATGGGGCCTTGGACGAAGCACCGAACAACTTCACGCAAAAGGAAATGGAAAAGGGCTCCAAACAGTGTGGGGGCCGAAAGGTGAGCTGCACCTTGTGACAGTCTTTGAACGTCATGGGAACATGCAAACTTGTGGATCGACCATCCAAGCGGATGTTGTCAGTGGTCATCGGTGCTGCCTCGTGGATCTGATCAGCTTTCCCACCACCTGCGATTGGATCGGTCAGTTAGGTCATCTCCGGGCTCTCTCTCTCCTCGCGGAGTTCGTTTTGCGGCAGTCGCTCTTTGAGTCCTCCACTTCCTCCTGCAAAAAGACGTCTATGTAATGCTCGTCGGCTTGCTCTTTGAAGTACCGTTGGGCATCAGCATTTTCGATGGCCAGTTGAAACTTCTCTCTTTGCCTCTCAACTTCCGCTGTACATGCGATGCGGCTTGGGCAGCGAAGCCAACCTCACGACCGAGCTTCGATCATCACAACTCCTAGCGAAGCGCATGTTCATATTCACGAACATTACGCGCCTGTTTCGCATGGAGTGCCTCAGCAGGCATCATTCCCGAATGCAAACACTGCTGCGTCGCTCTTGCTGTAGGGAACTAAGTAACTTCCAACTTTGATGCGCGTAGCACGCGCGTCTGTCTGCGCACCGCTGCTAGTGGCATTCACTGGCAACGGATTGCTTCCGTCTACGGGCACTGACGTTCCATCCCGAGGCAACATGTTCATGACTATATTAAGCTAGCGCCTCCGGCTGACAACCGACAGATTCAAGGGTCACCTGTGTTTGGGGCCCAACAAGCTGCTCAACCTTCAGCACATGGGCGGAAGCCACCCGGACCTGAGCCAGTCTCTTTGTTTTCGGTGTAAGTGGCGAGTTTTGGCCATGGTTAGGATAAGTTGGGATTCTAACTGGAGCTGAAGGCAACGAAGCCCCACACCGCCCAAGGGTAGTGCATCATTCTTTGCGAAGCGCTGCAAGATTGGCTTCACAATGTGCCAGGCGCCATTTTCCCCTTTGAAAACGACACACAACAACACAGATTCATTTAAGCTCCACATGGTTCAACAGCAAAAACCATCGCCAATGGAAACGTCAGCTCTGTTTTGACCAGATCTCCACTCATATGCCAAACGTAAGCTCCCTGCATGAACCCAAAAGACATTCAGAAGCAGAACATAGACAGGAAGCGCGCTTGCCACTCAAAGTTTCTTGAATCGCCGGAACTCCGAACCCCGAACCGCCCATTTAGGCGGCCCAGCCCAGGCACCCCACATCCTCTGAGGCGAAGCGGATGAGGCGCCGGGTCAGGTACCGCGGCTCCTCCCCAGCCGTCAACATCCTGCGCGAAAGGACGGCCAAAAATACCGCTGGGTACGGTCAGAGGGAAAAAATGCCCCAAATGCTGAAACCCCCCTTTTGGATCCCCCTTTGAAGCAACCTGAAAAGGGGTACCCTCAAACTTAGAAACACGCGCACACACACACACACACACACCAACACGTGGTACCCCTTCCTTGAGATTTGATCATCTGGAGGCCAAAGGAGCAAGCCCCCCTCCAACCCCAGCCGAGGATCCTCGTGGCGTAGTACAGCGCCCCGTCCGCGCATCCGCCGCGCAGGCTCTTGTGCAACGCACTGATCAGGTCGTAATGAAAGTCCCCGTTTCGATCGTAGAGCGCCCGCTTTTGGACCGCCGCACGGACGGCGTCTGCATCAATCCTTCCAAAAAATGGGCGGCCTACTACACCTGAAACGCAAAAATCCCGTCCGCCACTACTTTGGTAGGGGGCAAAGATGTAGCTCAGATGTCTGTTCTCCATTTTCTGGTCGCCATTTGTTGACAAGGAGAGGTGAGAACCAATACCGCTAGGAGTCAATTATTTTCCACCCACCACCACCACCACCACCACCACCTGTAAAGGGCAAATATGTAAGATGGTGCCAATCGTGATCACCACTTGCAACGTACAAGTCCGCAGAGAAAAAACGATTGGTAGCCAACAACGGTACAGGTACCCCAGGAAAAACTGTGAACAAACATCACTGACTCAATACACAAAACGTGTTCACCGCTTGCACAAACAGTCAAACAACAGCAACGAACAACAACTGAACATGTAATCACAACTGGAACAACAACAATAGAGTTGCCCGAGAAGAAAAATAATGAGCACGACCAAAACCATCACCAAACTCTCCAAAGGCACCTCCCAAAACCAAAAACCCGAAACGGCCCAGCCAAACAGCTCATCTCTTCCTTTCTCCATCAAGTAAAAAGCAGCAGAGGCACCCCTCACCCAACCGACTTTTGTTTGGCCAACAGCTCCCTGATACCCCTCAAGTCAAACAGCAGAGGCACCCCTCAGTACCCAACCAATTTGTTCTATCCCTTCCTTTCTCTCTCAAGTAAAAAGCAGCAGGGGCACCCCCAAGCCCCAAGGATTTCTTTGAGCCCAGCCGCCCGCCCGAGGTCATGTTGGCCGCCAGCTCCAAGGCGTTCAGCGCCACCCGCGCGTCGCCGTCCGCGGCGCTGGCCAGTAGCTGCCGCGCCTCGGCGCTCACCTCGCGGCCGCTCAGCGCCGCGTCGGCGCGCGCGGCGCGGTCCAAGACGCGCTCCAGCGCCTCGGGTTGGGTGGACGTGGGAAACGTGCTGTGGATGGAAGAAAACAAAGAAGAAAAAACACATCTAAGAAACCCTTGAATGATGATTGCCCTGTAAATACCACAAAACCATGGTTTCCCGTTGTTTCTTAGGTGGTGCAGGATTTCGTCCATCCACGGTAGAAAAATAGGCGTGGCTCAAAACGTTGCCAGGGGACTGCAGGTCTTGGTCTCTTTGCTTATATTTACCAGGGCAACTCATTTTGGGCTTCTATTTCTGAGCCACACCCAAATAGAGGGATACTGTACGGAGATAGAGGGAAACTATAGGGAAACTATACAGAAGCTATGAGGGGGTTGCCTATGCCAAAAAGCTTGACTGATTGCCTTTGGCCCCCCATCAATCGGAGTATTCCTGACCGTGGGTTCAAAGTGCCCTTTCGAGTGGTTGCGTCAGCAGGTTCCTTGTGAAAACCCCCCCTCCTCCCCCCCCTCCTCGCCCCCCCTCCCGGACCCCCCCACCCCACAACCCACCCCCCCCCCAGCGACCACCGCTGGAAGACCCAAGCGGAAAAGCAGCGAGGAATCGATCGCCTCGGCGGAGAGCTTGCCGAAGACCACCAGGCGGCACCGGGAGAGGATGGCGTTGTTCAGCGAGAAGGAGGGGTTCCTGACTCCAAACTGAAAAACACCCGGGGATGCGAAAGATCGGTCTGGAAAAATTAGGAACAAGAACACGTGTTCTTTTGGTTTGCCTTCAAGTAAATTCAAGATTATGGACTATTTAGCACCAAGCACCCAGCACCAAAGGGCAATGTTCAGCCACCAACTACCAACCACTAAAAGGAATCTGAAAAGGAAACTGAAAAAGGGACATGGGTTCCTTTTCTGTCCAATCACGAAAACAAAGAGAAACTTTGCTAAAATTGGCCGAGAAAAGAAAACAATGCCAGCCAGAAGGAAACTGAAGCAGGGAATGGAAAAAGGCTCGCGAAATATTCTGTCTCAACTAAAACCGGCCAAGGTGATGTGTAAACCACCCAAGTCCAAATCATCCTGAAGGAGGGGAAAGGAAACTCAAACAAATAAGGTATTCTCAAAGCAACACAAAGGAAACATCACCTCAAGTAGAACTCCAAGAAATTGAAGTTTCAACCACAAAACAAATAGGAAAAATCTAGATGACCTGCACAACGGCTGGCTGCCTCCCCAAATTAATCCTGGAGGGCTTCTCCGTGGTGGCCCCGATGAGCGTGATGGTGCCCTTCTCACAGTCCAGCAGCAAAGCATCTTGCTGCGCCTTGGACCACCGGTGGATCTCGTCCACGAACAGAATGGTCCTCCGGCCAGGCGCCAGCGACAAACCGAAGAACTGTTCCTGGTGCCTGGTTCCACAAAGAGGCTGTTCCGCCAAAAATGTTTTCAACCGCCAGCCATGGTGAGCCAGACACATACAACCGACGATTCCAGGGGCTGAGAAACATCAAAGGCAGGGGAGGGTGTTGGGAAGGGGTGGTTGGTGGGGCGCTATGGTGTCCTGTGCGAGGGTTGAGAAACATCAAAGGAGGGTGTTGGGTTCCCTGTGGGTTGATTCCAGCTATTATTTTCAAGCATAAAAACACAAGAAACTCCCATTTCCCCTTGGTAGTGTGTGATGTTTTTGTTGGAGAAAAAACAAAGATCTCTGGAAAGCAGGGGGAAGTTCCCCCCGGGAACCGTGGCCGCTTTTCAAGGACAAGCATGGGCCGATGGTTAAGCAAACATGATGAGCTGAGCCCAAGACTCAAGGAGGTTTGGCTCAAGCACGGTCTTGAATGATTTGATACCACGTACTGCAACCCCCATTCCTCCAGACAGTGGAACCAAGGATTTTGTGAGGTTGGACCCTACGTCACCAAGCAATTGCTAGAACTCTTGGGTAGATTCGGCGAAAGAAATTTGCAGAAACATGTTTTTGCAGAGGCACGATCAAGCCTGGCATCAGAGAGCCTTCCCAAAACCATGTCAAGAAACACATGAATTTCTTGTCGCGCCTATTTGTCTGTGGTGCGAGCACTGTCCCCACAAAGTTTCGACTATCTGAAATTTGATTGTGTTTGCGCTCCCGATTCCCACACCAAGCGTGGTCCCAGTCCGAAAATACTCGCAAGCTTTCCCAAAAGATACATCCCATATAAATCACACGCTTTCACCAGATCCCCTCAATCAGCTGTTAAACGCAATTTGTAACAGGCCAAAACCAATCCTCCCACACAACCCTGTGCCCTCAAAACCACCCTCCCCCCCCCACACAAAAAACAGATAAAGCAAACGAAGAAACCAAACGGGCGAGTTCTAATTCGGCTTTCTGGGTGCCTGTAAATGCCCCGCTCACTAGCCAGTTTTCAGGGGCCGACAGGTGCAAGGATCGAAGGATCGGGGTCGCCTCTGGCCCCCCAGCTGCTTCTTGCCGGAAGCCCGCGCCAGTTCCTCCCTGAGCTCTTGCACCCCTGCCTTGGGTTTGAGGGCTGAGGGGAGAGGGGGGGGGGGGGGTTCAGGGAATCAACGGAACGGGGGGGGTTGGGAATCCGGACGATGCCCTAAAAGGAGCATCTACTCCTATCTTTCAATCAAGCCAACAGGAAAGCTGGCAGTGTGGTTGAATTTTAGAGCAAGTCCCCATGTCCCGAACCCCAATGGGCCATAGACGAATCAGACATGTTTTGCCCAAACCTCATCCGGGTTCAAACAATTGTTACAATCATTAAACACATCTCGGGAAATGCCTGGGCATACCTGACATTGTAAAGGTCGGCCTGTATTTGAGGGGGGTGATGCAGGCCATCCGAAAAGCCGACTGTCTCAAAGAAAATGGAATCCCGGCGAACTGACATAAAGGTTCGAAACCCGACTAAAGGACATAAAGGTCATATGGGAAATCCCGAAGATATGTGGCTTGCCTTTGGAAGCTTCCGCTTAAGCAACCCAAAGACAGGCATACCTCAAATGAAGAACAAAAGGAAACGTCCGGAAACTTACACTCAGGAGCTACCTTTTCTAGACACAACCAAAGAGATATGCAATCTGCTGGAAAAGAGATGTCTCAAAAACATGAGTTATAGCCCACCAAAGCCATTGTTGTAAGTCTACTAACTTGGTCAAATGTTCTTACAAACCTGTATGGCTACGTATGACTCTTCAATAGAAAACCACCTCAAAACTGATTGATTGGTGGACACCATTCCCCACTATGATGTCCATCAAAGGGTCCGGGAGCCATTCAAAATTAGACTCATACGGTTCTCTCAAAATAGGGGAGACCTGCAAAATCGTGGTTTGAGTTTTGGTTTCCCCTACAAACAAAAAACACAACCAAACAAGGGCCCTACAAAACCTTTCGCTTAGCAGGGGGTTGGACCCCCGGCAGTCGTCCCAATAACGAGCCTGTGAATAATAACAAACTAATAATATTAATAGTAGTAATAATAATAATATTAGTAACAGTAGCAGTAATAATGACAATGATAACAACAATAAGAATAGTATTAGTGATAGTGATGATAATGAAAATAGAAATAATAATGAGAACAACACTAAGAATCATAATAGTTATAGTGATAATAGTGATTATGATAATAATAATAGTACTAATAATAATAGTGATGAGAACAACACTAAAAATAACAATAGTGATAGTGATAATAGTGATTGTAATAACCGTCATAACAATACTAATAATATTAATACTAACAGTAATAATACTAATAGCAATGACAACAACAAGAAGAAAATTGATCGTGCTAGTGATAATAGTGATAATGGTAGCTACAAAAATGTTACTGAACATAATAATGAGCTAATATAAATAGCAGTAACAATAATAATCATCAATAATAATCGACACCCAGAGGGCAGCATTCCCCGCCTGCCTTGGCCGCCGACAAGGCCCGGAAGGCGCTCTTGGTGCTGAATGCCACGCAGTGGGCGAAGGAGGTCTTCCCGCATCCCGGGGGGCCCCACAAAATCAGCGAGGGCACCCGGTCCTCCCGCACCGCCTGCGCCAGCTAAGCGATCGATCGCTAGGCGGCGGGCGAAAAACCAGGATACCGTTCCATGCGATTTGGCCCCCGAAAAGCGTGCTTTGACCATTCCTGGTCTACCAAGTAACCTGCCTTCTCAGGTAAGAACCAGGCTTGGTTGCAAATTAGTTTAAGCCAACAGACTTCCGCCTACGGGAAAGCAAGAGGAGGTTGCCGCCGCCACAAGCGCCCGGAGAAGCACTGAGTGAGATGCCAACAAAGCGCGCCGGCTTTCTTTCAGCCCTACGAACCTTCAAGCACCCCAAGTTTTGATGGGCGCAGGCGCTTGAGCCGACTTGTTTCTCCGCCAGGGGTGACTGGAATTAGCGACCTACACCAGAGGAGACATGTTGAGACAAAGATCGCTGAACACATCAAGAGGCTGGCCCAACCGTACTTGAGTTTAGAGGGAAACCTCCTGGAGGTCTGGACCGCTTTATTTCCAACCCAAACCGTGGTTCGAAAACCAAACGATTCATCCATTCGTCCATGTACCCGTTTCTCAGTTCATGTCGTATATAATAAAGTATACATATGTTGACATGAATAATACTTAAACGTGCTGTAGACATGTTTTCCCCCATGTTTGATACGTACGACGTATTCAAACATTTTTGTGACGCTTAGAACAAACGCAAACAACGAGCGAACAAGTTTTGAACGTGCCGCACCTGGGCCACCACCTGGCCCAAGGCCTCGTCCTGGCCCAACAGCTCGTCCAGGCTCCGGGGGCGCATGCGCTCCGCCAAGGGAGAAGCCCCGCTCGGCTCGCCGCCCGCCTCTGGGGCTCTGGGGGTGGGGCGGCTGAAAGGAAAAACCGAACGAGGCGGTTTGAAGAAAGGCAGAGAAAGAATGCGGGTTGAAAGGTGCTCTTTTGCAATAGCCGGGCGTGGTTTGGATATGCTGAACCCTGTTTTGTGTAGGGCTATAAAACCAAAAAATGTGAAGGGCTTTAGAGTCCCAAAACGGCACCTAACGACGAAAGAGACATCTGAGCACCCCTGGCGGCCTTCGGCTTGGCTGCCGTCGACGTCGACGCCGTCGACCCGCGAGGCCTTTTCGAGTCGAAGTCCAGAACGCCGGACGCGCCTCTCTTGGACGCGGATGGCGCGGACGGGGCCGCGGGAACCGCCGACTTTTGATCGTAGTACAAGTTCACAGCGCCGGCGACGTCGTCATTGACTTTGGCCAACAGCTGCTTCAGCTGATCAGTGTCCACCGGGTCGCCCAGAATGGCGCGCAGCGCTTGCAAAGCGTCGCCCATGCCGAAGCTTTGCTGGGCTTCTCTTTCCGAAAAATGGAACGAAATGAAGGGCACCACACCCATGGGACTCCCCTTTCAAGTGCCCGTTGATTCTTTCTGGGGGCAGGCAAAACGTCCAGTGTGGTAAAATAGGAGTTGGATCACCGAGTTGGTTGTTGTCCCTTTGGTGTTCCTTTAAAGCCAGCCCCAACAGGATACCTTCAAAAACAAACACGATATGTGTCAAACTGGGCAACGCAGAAACTACAGTGGGCTTATGTTCCTGTTGGACCAGCCTTAAAACCGGGTGCCGAGACACAAAGATGGCCGGCCGCACGATCGCCCATCTGGCGCAAGCCAGGGTTGGGCCACCCCCTGGTTTCCGTTTGTCTAGACTCCCATTGTTTCAAGAGAACCTCATTTCTTGGTTTCCCTGAAGACAACCAGGCGTCGGTTGTGTCCCATGTCGCCCGAGGGGCGGAAGCTGTTCGGGCGAGTCGATCTCAGACGCGGCGGTGCGCATCCGATGGCACGCAAGAGACGTGATTTGCTGCGCGTCTGGGCACCCCGGCGTCCAGAACCACCTTGGCCTGGCAGAGGATTTGGGTTCCGGGCTGGTTTTCCTGTTGGCTTCCTGTTGAAACCGCGACAAAAAGGGTGGTGATGTTTAAAAACCACCAAAAAAGGCAAAGATGGGGGTTTCTCACATAGGAATCGGTCGCAAAAAGTGGTTGCTTCTGTGCGGTGTCCCTCTAAATACCAAACAAAAAGGGTCCACCATTGGAGGAACTCCTAGGAAGCCTCTCTCTCTCTCTCTCTCAGAGGGTGCATCTGGGTGTGCATGCCAATGGCACCTCCAAACAGCCCTAGAACAAAGCACCCGTTACAAGACATATCTGATCCATTTTGTCTATGCCTGGTAATGGATATGTGCTCAACCAGGCCCCCCTCCAACGAATGGCTTTTTACCAGCGTTCCTCAACAACCACACCAACTGGTTGGGAGGGGTGTCCCTCACTTTCACGTGTGCCATGGTCAAACTCCTTGTAAAAGTCATCGTCACGTCGCCTTCACTAGAAATACTTGCATTCCCCAAAGCATTGACACCTGCCCCTAGTCAAGCCAAGTCAAAAGACGCTTCGCCCATGGCGCACATGAGCCAATGCCATTGTTCATTGTGTGCTCCTTTGTCGCAGGAATTTGACAAGCGACTCGCATTGTCCAATGATAACTTGCTGAGTGCAAGTTATGTCATTCATGTATCTGTGCTTCATGACGGAACAGTTTGACCGGTACCCCATGGAGTATGCCTCAAAGTAAGGGCCCTCCCAAACAGTTGGTTTGATTTTGTCTTCCCTTTTAAAACCACCCCCCAAAACGGGGCACCCTAAAAACGCATAAACCCCAGGTCATCGAAAAATCGGGCACCCCCAAGCTGGTACAGGTGTCCTTGTTTCCTTTGCAGCTGCGCAGGCGTTTCCCCGCACTCGAGTGTTTCAGGCCAGGCGCATGGAAGCCGGACACCAGCACCGACAGAGCTGGAGATGGCAGGACCTACCCCCGGCGACTCCGGGCACTCCGGGGGCGGGGTTTCCGGGGCCCGGGGGAACCAACGAAGTGGAGGCTCAACCCACAACATCAGTGGGGAATAGCCATGGCTTCGAGCTTTCGAAGCCGCGGGTGAAAGGGGATTGGCCTCTGAAAAACTATGACGCGCCTTATCAGGGTTGCACCAACCGCATCTGTGGGCATGTTGAAAATTTCAACACCCAATTGGTTCAACAAACTCCTCTTATATAGTTCCTCAGTTCCTCATTTTTAAGGGGCACCGAGTTGTCCGGTGGCTTGCACCAATTCGCCCAACCACCATGCCATGGACAGTTGAAGACAATTTTGCAGCAGCAACCTTGAAAAAACACACGGTACCCCAAGCCAGCATTCTGCGTCCACCGTCCTGCAAGCAGCCTGCTGGTTCTCACAAATGTCCTGGTGAAACTATCGGGGACAAGACTTGAATACGTGGCAAAATACAGGGACCTACATCTTGGTGGTGTTCCTCTTGGTTTCCGTTTAAACCAACCTGAGAGGGTGGTAACCTCAAAATATACAAACCCACTTTGTTGGGCACTGGGTCCATGCATCCTCGCCTCTGGATACGTCCGCTTCATCCGGAGGCAAGCCGACCTACTTGCTCGCAAAGCAAGAGAGGCGTAACATTTGCATCCCAGGCCAGTGTTCCCTGAAGGATGCAAAAATTAGTGAGAAACTGAGCGAGTTCCCGACTGTGGTTTCCTTTTTTGGATGGCGTGAAAGGGGCTCCCCATTTGTCAAACAGGCCCACCTTCTCACACTATTGAAGAGGGACCAAACCTGGAGTCCTTGCCAAATGGGCTCATTACTCAGAAATTCGAACTGCAAACAAAGGGAATTATTATTCGGACACCTGCGACAGGAGGCCCCAAAAGCCCAACTAACCTCCCCATACTGAACCTGGCTGAAGGCTCCTGGAAGACAAATTTTCCTGTAGTGACCTTCGGGTGGGTTCCGAAGGTACCGCTATCAAGCCCCACTGACCGCGGAGCCGAGTTTCAGCCCTCCGCCTTCCGCAGCCCTTCTAAGAGCAAGGCAAGCGCTGCATCCACGGATGCACCCGCGGGGAGAGCAAAGCAATCATCACCTGCGGCGCGCACACCTCCTCCACGCGCGGAATTTTACATGAGACACGTGGTGTTGGTCCACCGTAGGAAAAGTATGTACTCTTCCCCTGCTGCACATGAGCAACAATAGAGTTCCCGCCCCAGATTGTGAACAAGTGGAAATGTGTGACGCACTTCTTGCAAGAGCTATCCTCTCGCAATCTAACATGGAAGCTCCCAGGACCGCAGGCCCCATGCTTCATGTTTGCTTCCCAGATTCTTCAATTGATCGGCTTCGAAACAAACTTCAAACCACGGGTTTCCAACATCCAAACCACCAACCAGGGACAAGGCAAAAAGCTCCGGGGGAAAAAACAGAGGCTCCGCAACTCACGCCCCCCCCCCCCCGGGGTTCAAAAAAAGCTCAACCCAAATTCAAGAAATACGCCCAGGCGATATCCCCAACAGCAACCCCGGCACCCTTCCGCCTATCGACCCCAAAGCTTTCAACTGTGGGTTTAAAGAAAACACCCAAGCCACTAACTGGTGAACCCAACCTTTTTGGTGAACCCAAGGTTCATGGGGGCTTGGGGGGGAAGGAAGGGGAGGGGGAGGGAGCCCAAATAAGCCCTTCTTAAGCCCTCAATAAGCCCTTATTTCGGGCCTTGCTCCCTCCCCCCTCCCCTCCCTCCCCCCCAGCCCCCATGAAAGGTGAACCCAAGGAACCCGCCTGGCAGGTGACCTGAAAGGCGGTCTCCAGAGTCTCGAAGGGCCGCTTCAAGCGGTGCGGCCTCTGGACCGACGCGAGGCACGCGCTGGGCACGAGAAAAAAGAAGAGAAGAAAGAAAGAAGGAAAGAAGGAAAGAAGGAAAGAAGGAAAGAAGGAAAGAAGGAAAGAAGGAAAGAAGGAAAGAAGGAAAGAAGGAACAAACAAAACAAAAATCCCGAGGAGTATGCCCAACAGCCCCGAGACAACTCCTTGTGGATCTTCGTAGGGGAGCCCCATTCTGAGACCCGCAAAAGATGTCCTCCAGGTTATCCTTGAGAAGGCCATCATCTTAACATGTGCCAACCAACCTCTCCCCTTGAAAAGCTGCTTTCCATCTTGGCCTACCGTTGCTACAACAACCTCTCCCTCAACTGAACCAAGGAAGCAGTAGAACAAGGACCGGAACATATCACTCGTAGAATGTCATCAACCGCAGTCACAAACTGCTTGTTCTTAGCCGGCAATATGGGAATGAACCTTCTAACCCTACAAAACCCTAATAGTGTTTGCTTAAGTGTCATTCCAGCTACAGTAAGAACGAGCAAGCTGAAAAAGACCGCTAACATGGATGGTTGCCGAAGTCTATGCCCTCCAATTCCACAGAAAGAGTCTTTTTGAGAATGCTACACACAAAGCGATCGGATTCCCAATCCTCTTAAGTCGTATCCCACCTCCAGAAGAGCAACTCAACTTGAACCACCCCTTTCCAAAAAAAAACAAGAGGACAGCAATCTTGGGCTTCCCTTACTTGAGACAACACCCATGACGCTTCAGCCTCCCTCCAATTGGTGGTTTGGATTGGTGGTTTGGTGGCTAGGGAGGGGTTTCCCTTTTACCCTCTACAAGAACCAGGGGTTCAAATCCCACCACCAATCCAAGCCACCAGTTAAGGGGAACCTGACATGTTTGGGCCCCAGGCTTTTGCACCGCACGCACCGCCTGGCGAATTCGGCTTCGCTGAGACCCGAGAAAGTCGGGTGCCTCGCACGGGGGCCCCAAAAAACCGCCCAGTGGACGGAAGTGGATGGCCAAAATTCCAATTCCGGTTTTCCACTGTTCTTGCCATTTCCATTTTGGAACTGTTGCGGAACTGGACCATTTCCAATTGCGGAAGTGTTCTTTGCCACAAAATGGTCCAGTCCCAAAAAGCGACGAAAGTCGACTGATTGAAAGTGAGTCTTCGGGGACCCTTTGCCAAGCATCATGTGCATGGGGATCTATGTCCACCAAAGATTGTGTAGCGGGTTCTCTCTTTTTTTAGGTTTATGGTTCATAAGTCTTATGATTGTCAAGGGGCACGACCCCTAATGGTGGAAACACCCAAAAGGGTCCCGACATAGACCTGTTTTCCTTTCCAGGAGTTTTCAGGCCAATGAGGATCCCTGGTCCCTGACAACCATATTGCAGGAGTAAGCTCTTTAGTTTTGCATCTTTTTGTCTTTTGGACCCCCAAAATGGCGGTTTCCCCTTGGGTTTCCATGTTTAAAACCACCAAAGAAAAGCCGGGCTCCCCAAAACAAGAATGGGCTTTTTGGCGGAGGCGATACGGCGCCGCAAACAAGCTCACGCCCGAAACCGCTCTCCCACAAGCTGACGTCAACCTGACCCATTTATGTAAAGCCGCAACATGCCGACACCTGAAGCGCGAAATGGCTAAAACCGGTGAGGATATTGAGTTTCTAGAATCTAGAACCCTAATGGCCTCATGATGCCATACCAGCCTCATTCTACTTCCCATTAGTAGTAGAACCCGTTGACATGCTCGATGCATTTATGGAGATCCCCAAAATTGGGGGATCTTTTGGGGGGAAGCACCCTTTTCTCAAATAAGCAGCGCCAACAAATGACATTGATTGTACAGGTTTGTATAGGCCAACTACCTACTCTGCGCTGGTTCTTGTTGTGCACAACATTACCCTCTCATGGTAACCAACCCCCCCAACCCCCCCCCCACCTCCCCCCCCCCACCCGCCCGAAATGTGAACACTTGAAGGGGCCCAGTCAAGTGCCCGGCGGTTTCGGGCCATCGAAATCCATCGTCTTCCCCTCCTCCAAGTCACAGGACTGGCGGTGCTGCCGAATCAGCCTCGCGCGGTTGAGCGGGTCCGTGCGCCCGCTTTGAGTTTTCGGCGGCTTCAGCGGAAAGCCCAGGAGAAACGGCTTTGCGCGACTTTCTTTACAGGACCTTGGAAAAATATGGTTGTCCATTAGGTGTCTCTTTGAAGCTAGCTCAAAACAGGGTACCCTCAAAAGAAGACACGCCCAAATTTCAACCCAGATTCCAAAAGGACTCTGAACAGATACATGAGTCGTAACCAAAAGCTGGAATTGCATGGTCGACACAAAATGCAAACAGTTAAAGGGCGGATATCCACACGTGTTGATTTTGCTTCGACCGTCCCCTGACCTTCTTCTACCCGACTTGGTTTTCATTGTGGTTGTGTTTCAAGAAAGAGGAACCCATCCCAAACTGGGCGACTCGGTGGTGTCCTGGGTCAGCCACCGAAAAGGCGAGAAGGGATACCCTCCCACAAAGGCGCCCCTTAGGGCCGGATCTGACCTCTAAGTTCGGGTGAGGGGAAGTCACAGGTCACTGGGTGAAGGCAATGAGAACGGTTCCTCAAGTTGATTCAAATTACTCTAGGTTGGTTCTGAGCTTGGCTCTCCCGCAAAAAGAATGGGTCCGTTTTTGGTAAGGATACCCTCCCCTGTGTGTTTCCTTTTGGAAAAGTTAGTGATTATGGGCTATATTCTATTCTGGTTTGCTCTTCGCCCGTAAGCAACAGGTCTAACCCTTTTCTGTCCAAAAGATCTAAGGGGCGGTTTGGCCGCGCCAAAGTACAACTCGGTGCCCAACGACAACGGCTGGCGTTGAGACGTCGCGACCCGGCCGCCTTTGTGCCTCATCGGCCCAATCCTCCCGGACACTCTCGGGTGTGCGGAAGCCGGAATCCGATTCCTGAAGGAGAGTTGCGACCGGGAGGATTCAAAAGATGTGGCCTTCGTCTCCAAATTGGGAAACACCCCCCCCCCCCCGCACCCGAAAAAGATTGGTGGCTTCGCTCGCTTTGGCTCCCAGTTGAAACAACCTCAAAAGAGCATGATCTTTTGGTTTCCCTGCTGAAACAGTGGTTTTCTCCTTGGCTTCCCTTGAAGCTACCAAAGAAAAGGGGCTCCCTTAACAAGTTGAGAGTTTTGCACATGGGTTTCCCTACAAAGCAACCCTGAAAAGGGTTCGGCTCCTTTCCCTGTGAAGCACATACAAAAGGCCCCCCTCAAAAAGGGGCTCTGGCGCAAGCTCGTGTCGGCCATGCCAAATGAAAAAAGCGAATCGATGCTTTAGGGAAGAAGCCAACCCCCCGCCCCCCAACATGTTGTTTGCCTCGGACTCAAAAAGGGACTCACGTCCACTAAGCAACAAAGTGAGGCTACCTTCGGCGTTTCTTTACAACCACTCCCAAAAGGTGCTCAAAAACAACGCAGCGCCACATCGACCCCGCCTCTGCCATGCCAAAGGAAAGCAGTTCTAGCAGCTCCAGCTGTTATTCAGGAAAGGCTTAGGAGTCTTCTTCTCAAAGGTTCTGGCTCCTCGGTGTTTATCTCTGAAGAAAGAGGTCGCGGGTACTCCTTGGGGCGGTCCATGTTCAAAATATTCACATGAGCACCCCTGGCTGGAACACTTCTGGCACCATGAGTTTATTGCTGAGGCTGCAGGGATGCATTGCATATAATCCATGGAGAAGATCGCACAGAGCTTCTCCGAACCTCAAGCGACGCGGCCAGAAACTTGATCTGGGCGAAGCCTTTGCTTTCCTTGGGACAAAGATGTCTACCCATGTGACGCAGTCTTTGGAGCACCCCTACCAGCGCAAGGGAGTTGCGGAACATGCCCGGAGTCGCCCTCTTTCTCTTCTCACCGCACTGTCGCACATGCCGACAGGCATGCGGCTTAGCTAAGGCGGGCGCAAGAACACGGCACTGCCCGGTCTGGACCGAGTCAGGGTTCCCTGTCCCCTTCAACATCGCCCTGGAATCGCCCAGAACGCGCTATATGCCAGACTCTCGCGCACCGCGGTGAAACCTGACAGGCTCGTGACATGCGCGGGAGCACCGAAGTGATCCTCGTACCAACTTGTTCGTGGAACCCAAAACAATGTACCTGTAAGGCAACCATACTTTTCCCAACCTTTTCCGAACTCTTCGCAATCAGCTTGTCTGAGAAGGACCACCTGAAAAGGCACTGGCGCCCGTCAAGGCCCCACTTAGGTCTTCTTTCGCTTCTTCCCGTAGAACCGAGACAAGGCTGCACCCACACCTCACAATCGTCGCATGCAAGCGGGTCTTCAACTCGCTGGTGACACGATGGGTTGCAATGGCACGAACGCTAAACCGCAAAAAAACCTGGCATCAAGTGAGTCTGCCTGACTCTAAAGGACGTCTTGCCGCGCCTATTTATGGCAAGGGGGCCCCTTTCCTGGGCCCTCCTTACACCCCCTGGCAAAAAGTTGACTCTGTTGCTGCTCGGAAGGAACATCAAGTAAAAAAGCTAAAGTCGTACCTTTTGATCATCTGGTTGATCAATGTTCCTGGCAAAAGTTAAGTCAAAGGAATGTCTCCAGTTCCCCAGATGAGGCTCCGGGCCAGGCGGCGCCGCCTCCTGCAGTCAGAATGACTGGTGAACTTCAGGCTTTTCCAATGACCACCCTGGTGAGAAAATTGGCCCAACTACCGGACGCACGCACCTTCCCGGATGCCCCAAAGGCAGGATTGGCCTTGCAACGCCGCGGCAGGCGTTGCAGGGAAGATCGCACTCATCAGCACATCCCTCAATTGCTTGGTGCGCCGGCGTGATTCCATGTTAGCTTTGTGGTTAATGTGAAACTCAGCCGAAACGATCGGCCAACACTGATGTGAAGCTCGGCAGACGAGAAAGTGAGTTTCAGCCGATGCATTTGCGAAATTCCTCAAAAACTGATGTGAAATTCGGCCGACGCTCGGCCGACAGCCTACATTGTTGCCGTGGTTTGCCAGCAGAGCATCCCCACCATCCCAACCCGGACCAACCATCTCGACCCAAAGCCTCCCCAGCCATCCCAAGCGTCCCAATCAAACCTGGGACGTTGCGCACTTCACAAAACTGGAGCATGCCAGCCGTCGGACCGTCCCGCCCAAAGCAACCCTGACCCCGCACCAAACCCACCCTAAACCAGCCTTAAAGCCACCCCAAACAAACCCTAAACCAACCCTAAACCACCCTGAAGCAACCCTGGACCAAAACTAGAGCCACTCAAAACGAACCCGAAGCCAACCCCAGTGCAACCCCAAACCCCCCAAAAGCCAACCCTAAACCCAACCAAAACCCTAAACCAACTCTAAACAGACCATGAACCCGGGTCCAATCCTAAACCAACCCTAAACCAACTCTAAAAACTGCCATGTTTGGTCGCATGGGGACGCGCAGCCTTTGAGCAGGGGAGTCCTCGGCGTGGTTGGCCTCCCTGAGCAGTTTGTTTCTTCAGGCGCGGCGAACGCTGCCCCCTGAACGCGTTCATGCTTGTGGCAACAAGGCACCCCTAGCAGAGGTGCAGGCAGTTCAGCAGTGGGGGACTTTGATAGAAAGTAGTGAGTAGTAAGTAGTAAGTAGTATGTTGTAGGTATAAAGTACAAAGTGGTAAGTATTAAGTAGAACAAAGTAAGGAGTAAATAGTAAGTAGTATGTAATAGGTATGAAGTAATAAGTGTTGGGTAGTAGTAGTACTAGTAGTAGTAGTAGTAGTAGTAGTAGTAGTTGTAGTAGTAGTAGTAGTAGTAGTAGTAGGAGTAGCAGCAGCAGCAGCAGCAGCAGCAGTCGTCGTCGTGGTAGTCGTAGTAGTAGTGCTAGTCGTAGTCGTAGTCGTAGTCGTAGTCGTAGTAGTAGCACTAGTCTTTGTCGTAGTCGTACTCGTAGTAGTAGCAGTAGTAGTAGTAGTAGCAGTCGTAGTTGTAGCAGTGGTAGTAGTAGTAGGAGTAGTCGTAGTAGAAGTCGTCGTAGTAGTAGCAGTGTAGTAGTTTAGAAATGTTTTGACGTAGTAGTAGTAGTAGTAGTAGTAGTAGCAGTAGTAGTGGTACTAACATTGTAGTAGTAGTAGTAGTAGTAGTAGTAGTAGTAGTAGTAGTAGTAGTAGTAGTGGTGAGTAGTAGTAGTACTAGTAGTAGTAGTAGTAGTAGTAGTCGTAGTAGTAGTAGTAGTAGCAAGCTGAATTGAGTATTTGTGGAAAAAGCGAATGATATTGGTGTAATTGTTGAACAACATTCACATTATCATGCGGCTGTTGTCTTTCTTGACTTCTGAAAATCGCAACAATGCCAAATTGCTAAGATTGTAAGCAAGGACATGGTAAGCTGCAAAGAACGTAAACGAAGCCAATGTACCACACAACGTCCTACAGTAACAAATGTTATTCATTGCTTGTCATGATCGATTTTGGGGTTCTTGTTTGCCACGCTCATGTCTCTAAGTCCATCTTCATCTGCAGGGCGAAAAAGGGATGCTATAAACGTCAAGCTTCACATAGCCTTCAGCGCAGCTGTTTCCAGCGGTGGCTTGTTGTGTCTATGCCATCCACGTCCGGTTAAAGTACGCTCAGTCTGGGATGCAACCAGCAGAGTGCAGACTTCCAAAGCTTGCTGCTGGCCTTGGGCTTGTTTGCAACGTGTCGTCGGCGCTCGGGAGCAAATGGGTGTGGCTCAAATCGATGTACCAAAATGGCACCTTGGTAAATGGAGCCAAGGACTAAAACCTGCGCCCCAGCTCTGTAATTTTGAACCACGCCCAAATGGTTTCTCCGCTCGACTTGACTGTGTCTGGATGTTGAGAATCAGCTCATCAGTTGCCGCTCTAATTCTCGAGGCTTCCAGTCGGGAAACGTTGGCATCATTGCTTGCATGCCAAAGTCAGCGATAAATTGTTTTGCTCAGGAATGTCCAAACCGCGCAAGGGTGCCTCAGAGGCGCCGTAACCAAGTTGCTTTCGACGGTTCTCAACAGTACATATGTTGCAGGCAATGCTGGGCAGGCAGAAGCAAAGGCATGTCGCCAAAAAAGTGAGAACCATAATAATGGCGCTGCTTGATCGGATATTCGACACCAGCGACCGAAGGAAGAACATTTTGCGCAATCTGATTACCTCCAGGGTTGCGGACATCTGTGCCATCCTTGCAAATGCTGCGGCACCAACACTGAATAAACTCAAGGTAGCCCAGCTTGGGCAGGCCAAGAAGGCTGGCCGCACGAGATGTCCTGCTGCACAGTGAGTGTTGCCAAACATGCGCAGTGCGCCTGTTGCGCGCCTCACCAATCAAGTATTGGGTAGCAGCACCTGGTAGCAGCAACTGCAAAGAGCTCACCCGAACGGATACATGCGGTGTTTTTGATCCCACAGATATAGCACTCCAGCGTCGCAGACATCAATGTGGTGCCAGCCACCATGCTTGCAAATGCTTCCCAAAAGGCCATCAACACTGAATAAACTCAAGGTAGGAACCAGGGTCCGGGCCAAGCTTGGGCAGGCAGGGATGGTCAGCCAGGCCGAACGCTGGCTGGTGCGACCCGAACGAATGGGCGTAATTGGCACAACCTGATTGCCTTCATCCATGCGACGCCAGCAGCCATGCTCGCAAGTGCTGTCTAACCGAACGACGCTTACACGGGCAGCGGCGGTCAGCTGGGCCCAAGGAAAAGGCTGGCTGCAAGAGAGCGCACTTCCCTGGTGCGTAACCTGTTGGCTTGGGAGTGATGCCAAGCATGTGAGGGGCACATATTGTGAGGAATCAAGAAGTTGTCGATGCCAGGTACCGCGAAAGGCGCACAAGACAGAAATTGCAGCGCTTTCAACTGGTGTGGCTTCTGGTCTTAAGTTGTAGGGGGCAAGCAAAAGTGATATAAAGGCAAAACCAATGGAGTACCCAGACAAGCCAGTATGGATCCGAACTTCTGCGAACCCTGGGCCTCTGCCACGAACTTCTGCAAACCCCGGCCCCTTCTGCAAAATTCTGCAATCCCCCGGCACCTCTGATGATTGCAATTTAAGCACGATCTGACAAAAAGTCTGCTGAGCAGAAAGGTTGCTTTTCCCTTGCCCCGTCCGGGCGGAGATTGTCTTAAAAGAGCGGGAGTGTAACAAGGGACTTTCGAGCACTTAGTTGTTTCGCGAAGGATAGTTGCTCATGAACGAAAACAGCAAGAAGAAAGAACTGCTACTAATTTGAACATCGAGTTGTAAAACCAACGACATCTGGAAGTTCAAGGATCAGAACCAGGCATCTTTAACTTTTACACGTTTTGCAATGCATACATCCGAGCTGCCCCAGCTGCAAGCATTGCCATAACCAACACTAAATCAACTCATGGTAGGCAGCAGGCTTAAGCTGGGCCTGCCATGCAAGTTGCAGCACAGGGAGTTGTCAGACATTCAAAATGGCCATGTTGCGACATGCTTTGAGCAAGCTGTAAATGAAAGGAAGCGCGAAGAACTCCCACGATTGGATTGGCCAGATTGGAAGATGCCCTGTTTTCAACTTGTGTCCCGCAGCACATACAGCTCACACTACATGACACCTGAATGCAGACAGCTGTGTGGCGCGTTTGCCGCCATGCTTGCACATACTCAAGGTAGGAACCAGGGTTCGAGCCAAGCTTGGGCAAGCAAAGATGGCTGACCCACAAGAACACACTTCCATGGCGCGTGTCCCTCTGCACAGGGAGTGTTTTTGGTAGCAGCAACCGTAAAGAGCTCACCCGAACGGATAAATGCGGTGTGTGCGAGTTCTATCTTTCCGATAGCAGATATGGCACAATCTGATTACCTGCAGCATTGCAGACATCAATGCGGTGCCAGCCACCATGCTTGCAAACGCTGCCCAAACGGCCATCAACACTGAATAAACTCAAGGTAGGAACCAGGGTCCGGGCCAAGCTTGGGCAGGCAGGGATGGTCAGCCAGGCCGAACGCTGGCACTGAATAGACTCGCGATAGAAGGCAGGCTTAAGCTCGGCCTAAGGTGGAGAGCGGCGCATCTTCCTGGCAGGTGTTCTGCCGCGCTGGACAGATTGCCAAGCATGTAAAACGCGCCCGTTGTGCAGCTCCCTGATCAAGTGTTCAATGCCAGCGACCATAAAGGGCTGACTTGAGCAAATTGGCAAAACTGAGAAATGAGCTGCTTTCACATTGCTTCCTGTAGCACATGCAGCGCACACTGATTACCCTGCCAAACATGTGAAGCGCGCCTGTTGCGCGCCTCACAGTTCACAGGCAGTAACCGTACCGAGCTCACCGAACGGATGGGCGTTGGGAAACTCGTTGCTTGTGAGTCCTTTCAGGCACGGCGCAATCTGAAAAAACCTCCGTCCGCCCGACGCCAGGCGCGATCCTTGATATTGACAGCTGTGCTGCAGCCGCCATGCTTGCGCATGCTGACACAGCCGTCAGCACTGAATAAACTCAAGGCTGGAAGCAGGGTTCGGATGGTCAGTCAGGCTGAAGGCGAAGGCTAGCGGCACAAGAGTGAACTTCCACGGTGCGCATCCTGCTGCACAGGGAGTGCTGCCAAACATGTGAAGCGCACCTGTCGCGCGCCTCACCGATCACGTGTTCAGTGGCAGCAACCGCAAAGACCCAAACCGAACGCATGTGCATGATTTGGAAATGTGATGTGTTCGAGTTCTTTCCCATAGGAGGTACGGCGCCATGCTTGCAAATGCTGCCCAAACGGCCATCGCAACTGAACAAACTCAAGCCAGGAACCAGGGTCCGGGCCCAGCTTGAGCAGGCAGGGATGGTCAGCCAGGCCGAAGAGCTGGCCGCACAAGGGCGCACTTGCATGGTGCGTGCCCTGCTGCACCGGGAGTGCTGCCAAACATGTGAAGCGCGCCTGTGCGCTTCACGGATCAAACGTTCGGTGGAACCTACCGTAAAGACCCGAACGGATGGGCGTTGGGAAATTGTTGCTGAGTCCTTTGAAACTTTCGGGTCGCACGGCGTAATCTATTTACCTGCTGCCCTCCGGAGATCTGTGCGCGTTTTTAAAACGCGCTTGCCAATGCAGCCCAACCGGCTCGCTCACGGTGGGAAGCTTAAGCTCACGAACGCTGATCTTCCTGACGTGTATCCTGCTGCGCTAATAAAAAGGTTACCAAACATGTGAAACACGCCTGTTGTGAAGCTCACTGATCCAGAGCTTCATGCCAGCAACCATGAAGGGCTCATCTGAGCAGATTGGCCAAATTGGGAAACGCTTTGCCTTCACGTTGCTTCCTACAGCACACTGATTGTCACTTGAATGCCAGACATCTGTGCAGTGAGCTGCCATGCTTGCAAGCGCTGCCCAACTGGCCACCGAAACCGAACAAACTCAAGACAGGAAGCGGGGTTTCAGTCAGCTGGGCGCAAGGAAAAGGCTGGCTGCCCGAAAGCGCGCTTCCCTGGCTGGCAACCTGCTGCGTTGGGAGTGTTGCCAAGAATGTGAAATGCCCATATTACAATGTTCATTGAAAAAGCTGTCGATACCAGGAACCGTGAAGGGCTCACGCGAACGGATTCGGACATACAGAAATCAAGTATTTTCAAGTGGCGTCTGATAGCAGACAAACACACGCACGTCCTGCACTGCATACACCCGAGCGGAGCCAGCCACAATGCTTGCCAATGCTGTCGAACCGGCCACCAACACTGAATAAACTCACAGTAGGAAGCAGACTTTTGGCTGGGCCTAAGGCAAAGGCTGGCTGCACAAGAGAGCGCATCCCTGGCATGTAAGCTGCAGCACAGGGAGTTGCCTTTTGCGATGCTCATTGAACAAGTTGACACTGCCAGGAATCGCACCCACGCATATTGCTGAATTTTGGAAATGGATTTGCTTTAGAATCGCAGACAGCTGCGCGGCGCCAGCCGCCATGCTTGCAAATGCTGCCCAAAAGGCCATCAACACTGAACAAGCTCAAGGTATAAAGCAGGGTCCGGGCCAAGCTTGGGCAGGCAGGGATGGTCAGCCAGGCCGAAGGCGAAGGCTGGCCGCACAAGAGCGCGCTTGCATGATGCGTTTCCTGCTGCACGGGGAGTGCGCTGCACGCTTGCACCTGCTGTGAAGCTCACTGATCCAGTGTTCACTGCCAGCAACCATCCTGAACAGAATGGCCAAATCTGGAAATGCTTTTCACGTGGCCTCCTGCAGCACGCTGATAGTCACTTGACGCTGCATACATCCAAGCGGCGTCGGCCGCAATTCTTGAAAATTCCTCCTAAGCGCCTAACCGGCCACCGACACTGAATAAACTCAACGAAAGCTTGGGCAGGGAGGGATGGTCAGTGCCGAAGGCGAAGGCTGGCACGAGATCGCATTTCCACGGCCCCTGCACAGGAAGAGCTGCCAAACGCGTGTGCGCCTGTTGCGCTGATCAGTTCGGTGGCAGCAACCATAAAGAGCTCACCCGAACGGACAAACTAAAGGCAAAACCAATGGAGTACCCAGACAAGCCAGTATGCAACCGAACTTCTGCGAACCCCGGCCCCTGCCGCCAATTTCTGCAAACTCCTGGCACCTCCCAGGAACTTCTTCAACCCCCACGCCCCTTCTCGTGAAACTTCTGCGATCGGCAAGTTTCTGCGAATCGCAGCCCCCTACCACGAACCCCACAAAAGCCAAGAGCGGTACCACGAACTCAAGCAAGTTCTGCGAACCTCCAGGGACTTCCGCGAAGCAATCTGTATACTTCTCCAGCCTGCGTACCCCTTTGGTTATGATAAATGTGGTGTTTGAGGAAGGCGAAGGCTGGCCGCACGAGAGTCTGCTGCACAGGGACTGTTGCAAAACATGTGATGTGCGCCTCTTGTGCGCCTCACTGATCAAGTCTAAGTGGTCCGTTGCAGCCACCGTAAGGAGCTCACCCGAAGTGCAAAATGGATTTGCTGGCGACTTGTTGACAGGAGACACGCGCTGGCTGCTGCTTGGCCTGCAAGCATCGTGGCTTTCGCCACGCTTGCTTCGTAACTACCAGCATCAGGCATGGTCAGCTGGGCAAGGGGCCGGCCATGTTGAATCACAGCGCAGGCTCTGATGCAGTTGCAGCTCACAGCCAGTTGTCGCGCAGTCACTTGACCAACCAGAGTCAGACAGGAACCTGTTAAGGCCTGCCCTGACGGAACATCACTTTTTGGACATCTTGATGGGAAAACATCTCCCAAAGCGCGGCAGGTACCCTTTGGAATGGCAACACCACCGCTGTTCTGAGCTGTGTTTGGGCCAGCTGCGGAAAACGGCCGCTTTCCAAATC